TTTAACGTTAACGTAACGTAACGTAACGTAACGTAACGTAACGTAACGTAAGTAGTAGTAGTAGTATATATATATATATATATAAAAAAAAAAAAAAAAAAAAAAAAAAAAAAAAAAAAGAAAAAAAGAAAAAGAAAAAAAAAAACAACACACACACACACACAGACAGTATCATCTCATTTGTATAATCATACCCTACAAGTTGAAACCATTTGACTCTAATAGAAACGTTTAGGATTCATTTAATTTTGCTACAAAAATATATTTTGACATGCCATAGTTTTTCTTTATTGTATACTATACCATGCTATTATATTCAAGCCTTTTTTTCTATAAGTTAAATTTATTCATAGTGGAAACAATTTACTATTTACAAATAAAAAAGGGTGATTGTTGTATTCAGAAATTGAAAAGCAAACAAAATCAAAAGAAGCAGCATGAGCTTGTAATCGTATTATTTAACATTTCATTAAAGTTACTTTATTTTTGATCAAACTGTTAAAATGCTAAAAACAAAAACACGTTTTGTTTGTTTATTTAGTTAATTGTCATTGAGTATTTGGTTTCATTTGAGGCGAGATTGATTATTAGCAAATAGAACGTTATCAACTTCCATATTTATACATTTATATTCAAATGAAGTTGAGTGTGCTGTAATTCTTGAATTTTTATGTTTGAGCTTATCATCTACTAACGACTTCATTTAATTGACAGTTTAGCAACTAACTGTTTAATTTTGTTCATACTTTTATTTACTTTTCCGTTCGACATGAATCTATCTGTAAAGCAAAGCTACTCAGTTTATGACCCCAAAGCGTTCATAGCGTCTTATTTAATTTAAAATCATATACAGCCATGAACACTTTACTTCTGATTATACGAAAATGACTACTGACGACCTCATTAACACTCTAACGAGCAAACGTGTTAACATATATTGTAAAATATTCAACTTTATACTTAGCCTCAATCTTACAAATGTGATTTTGTCTGCTTTAATAATTGCCAAAATTAAATGATCAGATTTTTTTATAAGAGCAACAACAATAACCAACAATTATACCCAAAATTGTTTATTGAACCATCGACCAAAAGCGCCGCAAAACTCTTTGTCTAGCAAAAAGTTAAAAGCTTTAAAAAGTATGTATATAAATAACATCATTTTTGGTTTATTGGTGTCTCAAGTATTTACCGACAATGATACAGTGATCACGTTCATAGGGCTCCAAAGTAAGTTGCTCTTGAGGTTTAATCTTTTCTTCCTGCATTTTCTTAACTTCGCGTGCAAAAACAACGGAAGCATCAGCAGTAGAATCGATACAAGATGCCTTAACGGAAATGACAACACCACCTTCGTTCTTAAGGAAGGCAGCAGCATTAAGAGCAACAATACGAGCTTGGTCAGGTTGAGCAACATCAGCAAAAATAGCGTCAACCATACCAATCAACATACGGTACTTTTGAACGTGACGAGCATCTTCAACGATAGGAATAACATTAGTGCGCTTCTTAGCCATGTTCAATAAGTCACGACCAGAACGATGAGAAAACTCAACAGCGTATACAAGACCCTCAGGACCGACAACATCAGCCACGTGAGAAACAGATGTACCGTTAGCAGCACCTAAGTACAAAACCTTGGCACCTGGCTTAATGTAGATGTTGTCTAAACCACCGAGAATACCGGCGGCAAGCTTGGAACGGAAAGGGTTCCAGACACGATATTCAACCTTAGTGCCATCAGGAGAGTCTACACTGATACGCTTTTCATTGTACACGGATTCTCCAGGAACCAAATTGCGGGTGACAAGAAGATCTTCTTTACCGCGGGCAATAAAGACACCTCCATGACGATGAGGCTCAACGATAACTATTGTAATTAGCAACTTAGTTCAAAACTGAAATTGAGGATTTTTGTTTTGTAGCCGGATCTGAAAAAATTTTCCATCTCATTTAAACTGTCGCTCAATTTCACACGAGCGTAAGTAACAGGCTACAACAGCATCCTTCCATGAAAAAATAAAGCAGACATACCTTTAGATCCTCCTCTAGCGCCGCCGCGAGCACCGCCGCGACCTCCACGAGGAGCACCACGACCGCCGCCACGAGCACCGCCGCGACCACCGCGAGGAGCACCACGGCCACCGCCAAAACCTCCACGGCCACCGCCGAAACCTCCACGGCCTCCTCCTCTACTGCCTCCACGGCCACCGCGTCCGCCTCTTGCGCCTGGTGTATAAGCCATATTTATTGTTGTGGTTGGTTAAAGGTCGGTAAAATTTTGAGCTTCCAGCACCACATAGAAGGTTGCTATGGTTACTGTTCCCTAATGATATTTACATACACTGCCATTCATCTCGTTAAACCAAAAAGTGAAGCTCACTACATAACTTAAACTTAAGCCTTTACTCGGTTTCTATATGCTGGAAAAGGTTTTAGTAGTGATATATGAGTGTTGGGGAAGCTTATTCTTCTGCTATGTAAGTATAATTATAGAAGTACATATAAATATCAAATATACAAAGTCCATTTTGTGAAGGTTGTGATTAGCGGCAAGTACTAGTTGCATGTCTAAATCTTTACAAACGAATCATGAAAACCTCCTACCAAACATTCAATTCATTTTGTAACTCATATTATTAGCAGAACCAAGTAAATATTTATTAGATGACATTTCCAGTTGGATATTTTGAATACGTTCCTACGAAATTAAATTGAGTAGAATCAGCAATAGAGATATTACCAATTATAGATTGTAAAGAGTAACAGTTTTCACACAATTTCCTTTCAAAAATGAATAGCCGGATTGTCAAATCTCTCCTTGGATCCATAGAAAACTTGCATTGATCATGACTTATTGGATGTACCTATCGCGAAATACGTCAAATTGTTGTTAGATAGGACTAAATAGATCCGTATTTAACGAACTTGCTAGTATTGCAAGAAAAGTAAGATATTATGAGAATGGGTTTCACGTGTTCAACCCAATGAATATACCACACCCAAATGACCTAGACCAAAGGTTCAAAAGTTTATAATTAAAGTCGTACTTGTTTGGACGGGATTATAAACGACAGATCTTGCAAAGCTTTGGTCTTCGTATGGAACAAAAAGTAACCACAAGGCAACAGTAACTTCGTAAACTGAAAATTCCAAGAATTAGCTTCGTTTTAGACAAATGACAGATATTTCAAAAATTTATAAAATAAGATGCATTTAATCGCTGAGTTCACTGCTTAAAACCGCATCTTCGTCAGAGGACTCGTCCAAAGCTTGACCATTCTCGTCACTAAATTCATCTTCATCTTCATCTTCATCGTCCTCAAACTCATCGTTCTCAACATTGCCTAAATAGCATTCAACTGCAAGGGGGATTATTTGGTCTTTAAAGATTTCTCCTAGCTGATAATCCAATTCCAACAATTCAGTCTTGTCCTCTAATCCATCCTCGGAATCAGATTCATCCATTTCGTTAACTTGGGGAGGAGCAAAGAAATTGAAGAAGCTATCAGCCGGGACCGTACTACGAACTAAACGCGTTTGGTTGGTTCGTTTATTACGCTGCTTCTTTGTTTCGATATTAACGGTTAAATTGTTTTCGAGTCCCTTCCATTCAATTTCGCTTCCCTCTGCCCGATCGTATAAAAACTCACCAGTTGGACTCAATTCTTGCTTATAGTAGTAAGTCTTAGTCAAAACCTCATTAGAAAAATAGTCGTTAGGAGAAAACTCAAATTCTAATCGGTAGCCTTTTTCATTTTCAGATAGATTTGCGAATCGAATGTCCACAAGGGCTTCTAAAGCAGCTATATCGCGGCTACTAATCATTTCAGCCACCAGATAAACGTTTTGCAAACATGTGAGCCAAAAATTGGATATACCTTTAACATCGGGGGAATTGTTTTTATACACCTCAAACTCATGATCGAATTCTTCAGGCTTTGGTTCTGAGATACCTTGCACAATCTCCGCTCGTCTCTTGAACAGGGGATCATACATTTTTTCATACTTTCTTTCCAATTCCAGCATCTTTTCACGATATTCAACTTGAATGCCCTCACTGTCGTTCTGTAATCCCTTTAATGCGAAAATTCTAGCATGAACGTCTGCTGGTAGACTTTCAACGTATCCAGACGACTTGCCTACCAGGGTGCTTAAACGTCCTTGAATCATGGAAAGCATCGCAGGGTTGTGGATTAGACCCTGAACCTGATTTTGGACAGATCCTTCTTGTTTCTTCGCGTTCAAATCTTGTCTGGCCTGTTCCAGAGTGCTTCTGCTTAAATTGAAGCCAGTCGAAGGTGTGTTCTGAGGTGTCTGAAGAGGCATTGCATCTTTAATCTCCGAACTTGAATCAGACATTTCAAACTTTTCTTATTTATTTTCCAAGGTAGTTGGTGCTGGTTTGCCCATAAAAACTTTTGCCTTTAATTATCCCATTGGCTATATGATTGTTAAAACCTCGGTATAATAATTATTATACAGTATCCTTTTTATGGTTGTTTTTCTGGAAGTGGTTCAAAATCGAATATATATTTTCAATGGTTTTTTATTTTCATGGTGATAAATGATTCTTTCATTGTCAGCTTACCAAGCGACGAAGTTTTTATGTTCTGTGAAAGGGCTAGTTAACCGTTGTAAGCGAAGACTGTTGGAAATCTTCTAATAACAATACGAGTCCCGTAATGCTTAGTCTTCACTATAGAAAACTCTAGAGTAGACTCAAGAAAGCGAAATTTCTTCTGTTTCTCTACATGTTGATTTGTTTCGTTTACATAATACTAAGTATTCTCGATACTAGCATATTATAAACGTCCATGTAAGGTAAAATAGTAATGTTACTCCCTACGGCGAATTGCTACCTAAGGGAAATGTATACGTGCTACAAGTTGCCTTTTACCATTACGACAATAAAGCTGTAGTGGACTGAAAATGAATTTGACATTTAAAAATTTGCAACAGCAAAAGTTTGTAATTTCTGATGTTTCCTCAGATACAAAGGTATGTACCATTTTGAAGGGTTGTCGTTTAACATGTTAGATTTCAGAGTTGAAAGAACGTATTCAAAAACAGCAGGATTATGAAGTTGAAAGGCAAAAACTAATTTATTCTGGTAAGTGCCTATAACAGAATTAGCTTTCTTCATTTAATGGGTTCTAACTAATGGAAAAGGTCGCATCTTGGCCGATGAAAAAACCGTTGGTGATTATAATATCAAGGAGCAAGATTTCGTTGTCTGCATGGTTGCTCGCCCCAAGCCTTCATCATCCACCTCACAAAAGTCAACACCTACTGCTTCTACCACCAGTACTCCTGCACCTCCAGCTACTACCAGTACTCCTCAACAAGCTCCTGAAAGCGCAGCACCTTCAGCTCAGCCCTCTGTTCCTTCTTCTACCCCTGCCGTAGATACTTCTGCTACACCTTTGGATTCCAATCTCTTGGCTGTCGGTGCACAAAGGAATGTCGCTGTCGAAAACATGGTTGAAATGGGTTATGAACGTAGTCAAGTTGAACTTGCTATGCGTGCTGCATTCAACAACCCTGACCGTGCTGTTGAATACTTGTTGACTGGTATTCCTGAAAATGTTATAAGCAGCCAAGCCCAAGAACAGGCGGCTGCAGCTGCTGAACAGCAACAACAACCTGCGACAGATGCTCCCACTACTGCTCCTGCGCCTGGAAATCTCTTTGAACAAGCTGCCGCCGCATCTAATGAGGATGAACAGGCTCCCGCCAATACAGCTGGTGATCCATTAGGTTTCCTCCGTAATATACCTCAATTTCAGCAGCTTCGTCAAATTGTCCAACAAAATCCCCAAATGCTCGAGACTATTTTACAACAGATTGGTCAAGGTGACCCAGCTCTTGCTCAGGCTATCACTCAAAACCCCGAAGCTTTTCTCCAATTGCTAGCTGAAGGCGGTGATGGAGAATCCCCTTTCCCTTCTGGTGGCATTCAAATTGAAGTTACTCCCGAAGAATCCCAGGCTATTGATAGAGTATGTCGGTTTTGTTTACCTGAAACTGTCGCTAACCTGTTTAGTTATCTCAACTCGGTTTCGATAGAAATATTGTGATCCAAGCTTATCTCGCTTGCGATAAAAACGAAGAGGTAAGTTTTCGATATTTTGAAGCATGAATTTAACTTTTCTAGTTGGCTGCCAATTACCTCTTTGAGCATGGTCATGAGTCCGATGGTGATGCGTAAAAATACCTTTGTTTGAAATATTTAATGCGTTACAAAGTCCTTGGCTATTGACGGGTTGGTGCAATAAAATATAAAGATCATTATTTTGTGTAATGCGTTTAAGTAGCACCGAAGAAGACAATTTGAAAATTATTTATAAAAGTATATGCCTATTCGATGACTATTGAAATTGTAAACTACACATGAGATACTTAGCATTATAATGAAATCTTATTTTGGTAGTCTCTGTAGAGTTAAAACAGACTATTAGATTTTTTGTTTCTTGCATGAATTTCCACATTACTGTTATGAAGGTTGACAACCATCAGTTACACATTGAGTTTTTGCATCACACAAAACACATATACACATATATGTTTTAGGATGACGCATTGTCAAATTAGGTAAATCCATGTATGAATGAACTTAACGATCATATGCATTTAACTGGACATCAAAAGGCGCTTGTTCATGCTTTGGATAATGTTCTGCGAACATACCCTTCGGAGATTCGATATAATGAAATTTGTACTATCACAAGAAAACTTGAGAATGATTTATTGAAAACTTTTAAAGAAACTCCTGGAATGGTTTATCGTTTAGATGCTATTGCTTGGACTCATTGTCATTATAAAGTAACGCAGCATTTCAAGAAGGTTTTGAAATTGGTATGATAAAACGGCAGTAATCATTTACTAATTTATTCATAGATCAACAACAAGCATGTGGTTGAAAGAAAACTGTTAAAGAAGCAGTTGAAAAAATTTCTCAGCTCTTGTACTGTATTCTACGAAGTATGTATAACCGAAGTAACTATTCATTCTTCTATCTTCCAATATAAACCATTTCTTCAGGATTGGATATTAAAACATACAGGCATTGCATTATCCTGCAGCAGTCAAACTCACTTAAGTCCGGCTTCGTTTTCTAAAAGCTACACGGAGGCTCTAGAGTGCATATATCAATGCTTTATTTATTTGGGTGATGTTGCTAGATACTTTGCGATTCTTTTAAACAGACCTGCTACTTACGAGAGAGCTCTGAAGTACTATCACCTAGCTCATCAAACGTTCCCTGGAAATGGAATGCATTGTAACCAGATGGCGGTTATTTGGGCTGTTAAAGGACACACCATTATGTCCGTTTATTGGTTCTCGATTGCTCTTGCATCAGAGATACCTCCGAAAACAGCCTTATTAAATTTGATGGGCCAGTTGGAGTTATTCTATAAAAGAGCTTATGAAACCGGCTTTCATTTTTCTTCTGAAACATTAAATTTACTCGTTGTCTTTAGTGATCTTCTTCTAAGACAGTCTAAAAAGTTAGAGTCATTCCGTTCCAGTCGTCCAATGTTGAAAAGCTTAATCTCTCATTTTTTTAATTCTGACATTTCCTGTTCCGAAAGCTTGAACGGGCTCGAGCTATATTCTCTTTCTTCATTTATTTGCAACCTGCGAAGTCGTTCAATTTTTCGGTCTAATGAGTCTCTACATAAAGTTTTTATTCACTACATTACTTGGCTGATCAATCAAACTACCTCTTGCAATGGAAGAATTGCTGAAAATAAAACTCCATTATCAAGGGCTAATATTTTCCTACCTAGTTTGAAAATCCTACTTATTCACATCTTAGAGCACTTGCCTTCTTGTAATTTTATTGACCAACGACAGCTTAAAAAACTATCGTTGTCTCTTCTTGCAATACAACCTCTTTTTCCCGCATTTAATGAACCTTTGGAAAAGACGAAACTAACTTTGTTTGAAGATTACAATGAGATGGGACTGCATCCATCATTAGCAACCGTGACCAAAACAAACTATGGAGACATTAACTTACCTCTATTTTCAAGCGATAAAATACAAAGTCAAGCTCATCCACTCTTGGAAGCAAAAGCTCGCTTACAGCAAATATTAATAATGATAGAGCTTCTTCTCTCTTAATGTCTTTGGTTGAAATCAATAATATCATCAGTGAATATTTCATTAGTGCATTTATTATCGACGTAACGAACGTAATTTAGTTAGACTTTGTCTAGAAAACCGTTAGAATAAGTTCTGTTGTATTTCTTTTGTCATTGCGGCGAGGTGAAGTTCATCATATATTGGATTTTCTTCTAATAACACTAAGAAATTAGAGGAAACTGGTATGAAACCAACAGAATTTACTTTTCTTCTCATTTCACCAGGTTTAACGACATGTGCAGTTTGCTCAACAGCTTTCAGAAAAGCTTTTGGTAATTGTTCTTCTCCTATACAAGGACGATAATGATCCAGTAAGCGTATTATTTCGTAAGGAGAAAGTAAATTGCAAACTGACAGAATAATTTTAAAATCCTGTTCGTCTTTTTTACGCAAAGAAAAAAGCAGAGAAGACTGCATTAAAGGAAGGAGTGAAGTATTACTATAACTCAGACCTTTTTGATGACACCAATTAATAAGGAGTGAAGTATTGTATGATATTTGAGAACCATCTTTCCACGTGTAACATGTACGTCTAAATGTTAGTAAAATAACCTTTGAGCATAAACTTACCCATTTATCAACTTTGAAAAGGCATTTTCCCCGACATACTGCAAGATTAAAGTTGTTATTTCTTTTAAAGGGGCTTCTTGTAAAGAGGACTTATTAATCAGATCGTATACATAGTCAAGTTTTTCAATCAGCAAATGCATATTTGATTTTGGTTGCTTCCTAGCCTCAGTGTTTATATCGATAAGATCTGAAAGAAGTCGTGAACATAATATTGCCTCAGATGAGCCTTCAATGAAATGATTAGCAGAATTCCGTAAAAATAGGAAAAGTGATCCTTCGGCTTCTAACGTAACTTTCAGAAGTTTCGAAAATGAAGCATTCCAGTAAGTTTCGTCTTTTCGAGTAAAAAGATCCTTTTCACACGAAGATTGCAAATATGTAACAAAAGAACGCACTTCATGAAGGTTTGAAAGCCAAAAGGCAGAATATTCTACCTTAAACTCAGTAGATACATTTGACTCGTCCAAACAGGGGTCAGATAGTTCAGCAAGGAAAGATATGCAACCATTCAACTTCATTATAAAGATATCAAGTTCTTCCTTCAGCGAGTAAATACAACCTGAATATATTAGAAAGTTAATAACTCCTCCAAAGACTAGTGAATCTCCCACCGATCGAGTTTGCATATATTTTTTATTATAACGATTTAAAGCAGTAGGGAAAGCGTCGGATACCAAAATCGATTGGATATCCTTTTTACAATGTAGCAGTTTTGACTTTAGTAGTGTTTCAAGTCCTTTCAAATTATACCTCTCTTCAACACTCGTCCAATCATAAGTAGGTAGAAACATCAGTGTAGAATGATACTTGAGATATTGGTCTCGAGTGTAAAATATATTCCTCGAGTGCAACCCTTTAGTATCATATTTAGACTTCAAGGATGCAGTTTTCTTGAGGGTATTATAGTAAGTATTAAGATTGTCACGAGCTAATTGAGATTTTATGAACACAGTTTCAGATTTTGATGCAGCAGCTGAAAGTTGGAGAGCTGCCTGCCGTAGCTTCACCTCCCCATGCAGCAATTCTGAGATCTGCGAGTGCTCATTTACATGCTTATAATAATCTGAATTGACGTCGTTCTTTAATTCAGGATCAGTGAATAGGCCTTTCCATCGTACAAGAGATTTAGTCATCTCAGACAGTTTGTTTCGTAAACCAACTACTTCCTTAGTAGCAGTCTCTAACATAGAAGATCCTTCTTTAACAGATTTTCTGAGGGATTTCCTTTTCTCCAGTAAAATGCTGGATCTGCCTGCTGTATCTTTCAATTGGCGTAAGTATCGGCGAGTTAACACTGATCGAACAACACACTGAAAGCCAATAACTGTCCTTTTATATTTTCGGAACGCAACTCCGGCATGATAACTTCTCCAGTTCATAATAATGACAGAAGCCGCATGTTTACGAAGTAATGTTTTATATTTTGTCCTAAGCAAATAGCCACGCCCGATGGTTTGGCAACCCGTGATTAACTTCTTAAAAGTATTGTATTTTTTCCTTTGTAGATAGGTTCGCCAAAGATTCTGAATAATCGTAGCAGCCATCTCTCTTTTTCTCTTTTGAAATCGTTCTCTTGCCAATTTCCCTCTAGATAGAGATTGCAGACCTACGATAGATTCTAATACTTTTTTATACTTTTTTCGAGCACTGAATCCTCTGAATAAAGACTGCAATAATGTTATTGACTTGTTGCATAGTTCTCGACGACGAGTTTCGTAAAGTCCTATTACACCCGACCGAAAAAAGACTTTTAGTTTACCGAATTGAAAATAATCGGCACTATTAGTGGTTGATAGCACAGTAGAAATAATTTGCAACGAAAGCTTTTTAGAGTCTTGATTCCAGTCACGAAAAGAAAGCAGTACTCGGAACCGTTTTGTAAATTCATCATAGGAAAACCTTTTTGGAAATCCTAATGAAGAAATTCGTATTGTCTCAAAAACACCGCATGCTCGTAATTGACTTAGAACTAAGGGTGCAGAAAACGACCAAGACGTTTTTTCCTCATTTGGCTTTATGCATCTAATATAATGCACATTCGTAGCTGAAATAGTATTCATCAAATGTGACAGTGATGTTCTGAACATTGATGTTAATGAGGGCTTTTTATTATTTATCCTCTTTTTTGTAGCTGTATTATGGGCATCTATGGATTGAGTACCATAATCCAAAAGATAAGCTACAAATTGGTTTTCAGATGACCTCAATAAACTTATAATCTCAACAGGCAGGGAATCTGAATTTTTGGCTAGAAAATCTTGAACCTGGTAAGTAACGTCTGAAGCGTAGTGCTTGATTGTAAAAGACCCATCATTGAAGCGAGATTTTTTAAAAAAAGGAGCATGCTTTTGAGGGGTTTGATTGTTCAACTTTTGTAAAAACGATCCATCTGTTCCAGACGGAAGTCTGCATTCTTCATCTAATAAAGATAAAACTCCAAGATTATCCTCTATTAAAGAAATGCAACCTTGATTATCAGCATAATCAATAAGTCTCCAATCAAGACCTTCTCTAATATACTCCTCCTGTTCAAGTTTGAAAACATGTTTGTTAAATTCCTGCTGAAGCTTTTCGTTTGCATAGTTGATACAAAACTGCTCTAAAGAATTCCGTTCAAAGTGTTCGAAGCCATATATGTCGACGACACCGATATGCTTTGATGCAGATCTTTTAACCTTAGAATGATCCAAAGAGGCATTGATCATGTGTACGACCCATGAAAATAATGTTGAATAAAGATATTTGGCTACCGAATCCCTAGTACTAAGCACATGTTCATAGGAAGCTGAGGTGACTATCGTTTCCGACCGAGTCTTCAATAACTTTTTAGACAACAGTTTAGCTAAGGCAGAAGGATTGATTCCTAAAAGCTGTGAAGCATAACATAAATACTTGTCATCACTTTTTATGGTAGCTTCGTTACGACTGGCAACTATGGTAACATTGCCAAGATGTAGTAATGCAGCGAGTAATTTATAAACTTCCTCTTGTTGATTTTCTAGAATACCAACGGTTGAAAGCGCACTCGCTGTTGTAGTAAACTCATTATTATCATTGACACCTTCAACATCGATGCAATTTCCCTGTGACAAATAATTAAACTCAGAAGGGGATCCCAAATACCACTTTTCCCTTTGTTCTAGCGTACACCCAGCAAGTAATTGATAAAATATATGGTAATTCCTTTCACCAACAGGAGGACATGTAACACGAGATCTTTCCAGAAGATATGTACTTACATTCGCACCCGTAATAGCCGCCTCTTCATTAAAGGATATCGTTACATATTTTCCAAATCTTGAAGAGTTATCATTACGAATGGTTTTAGCGTTTCCAAAGGCTTCCATGATTGGGTTCGTAGCAAGCACTTGATTTTCTACTGAGCGTTTTGAAGTGGCCTTGTCTAAAGCCTGCACAGAAGTTAAGTATCTCATAATATATCTCGCCGCTACGGTTTTTCCAGCACCAGATTCTCCGGAGACAATAATTGTTTGGTTTTCATCGTCATTAGTCAAAGCACTATAACATGAACTGGCAATTGAGTACAGATGAGGCTCTTTCGTACACTCGCGATTTTCGTGATAACGTTTAATAACGGATTCATTATAGAGCTCCGGATGTAGTTGGTACGGATTCACAGATATAAGGACTATGCCTGAAAACGTATAAAGAAGATGGTTTTCATATCGATACCTCAATGCTTGAAGGACCGACGGTTCATTCAAATAAGTTAAAGTTGTTAGGTCTATTGGAGCTTCATTTACACTTGGATTTCTCGGTTGTAAAGACTGGTAGTTTGTTGTGTCTAATGTTCCATTGTGCTTCTTGACAGTAGCGACACATTTCCCTCCTCTATTGTCTTTTATATCAACTACTTTGGCAGAATCCCAGCATCCTTCATTGTTTGATACCCAGCATTCCCTTTAAAAAACCTGTTAATATATAGTTTAAATATACAAACATCAACTTACGAGCCTACTGATAATTGTACATGACTCATAGCAGTAGCTTTCACTTTTATAAGTTGATTAATAACCCTCTTTAACCCTTTTTAATATTTATTTTTTTGATGATTTCGTAGGGTTTTTTGTTGGATAGAGTTGTGTTGATTGAGTGGTGTACACAAATTAAGCATGGGTGTGAGATCCTAGTAGAGTAGTATGGTAACATAGAATGATGAGTGTAAATATTGCTGTACAAAATAATACAATTTTCATTTATTATAGATAGTAAACAAGAATCTTTATTAATTATGAATAAAAGCTTGGAATAATAGCACTATTCATAGGTCTCACCAAGGAACAGGTTTTACTATTTGGATATTACACAAGAGAGCTTTTGGTCTCAACTCATCTTTGTTGTTTCAAAAAGTCCTCGTTAGAACAAAATCCATATATTCAGTTTCGTGAAATTAGCAAAAGTTCAAAGTATATCAGAACCACCATTTAAGCGAGAATGATTCACATATCTCAGCGAGAATGAAAAGAGCAAGTTGAAAAACATACGGTCACGTCAACCTGGATAGCTTTTTATTTTGTAGTAATCTTTTTCAAACGCACATCCATGGAGTCTTCGGAAGCCAGTACTGAATAGTCTAATTTGTTGATATTAATAAACATATTTATACAATTTTGGGAGATGCTAAGTGCTGCTTAACATTGTTTGCTGTTGCCTTGTGTATTAGAAGAAACCTTTTTCGTGATCATTCCGAAACGTATATGATTAAGCAATGAGGAGAATTCTTCAAATACACTTGTCTCTATAACTTTCATCTCATTTGGCTTAAATTTTCCCAGAACAAAAGAAGCAACTTCATTACTCGACCTTGATTCGCAGCGGCCAATTCCCACACTAATTCTATGGAATCCCTAATTCCTAAGTTAATTTTTGTAAAATTGGGCTGCTGCATTTCTTACCTCCTTTCCCAAAATAGCCTGACAGGAACGAACTCCATTGTGTCCTCTAAGAAGGTTTTCGTTAGTCTTTGATTGTCAACCCATACTTCTCAGAACATACTTATGTGATCCACCTATGCGGTAACGAAGCTTTCCTAGATCCAGCTCTAACTCATCGTGTACAACAATACAAGCCGCTCTCGCCTTTTCCATTGAAGATAGACTGTTAAGATATTGAGATTGGACTTTTCTTAACAGCTTCCCGGAATCATTCATATAATTGTTCGATGGATAAAGCGTAATGTTGTCCTTAGTAGATGGCCATCCCTTGGGAAAGTTCATTCTCTCAGCATACATTTGAACCAGAAGCTTTCCCAGAGAGTGCCTAGATTTTGTAAACGCCGAGCCTGGGTTTCCGAGGCCAAAAACCTGAAGAATATTGTTAAAATTTTCTGAATTCGTTATGATTTGAATCACCAAGAAAGTAACCCGAGTTTTTAATTTTTAAAAGTTGGCACTTGTTGTATACAAGAGACTATATCAAAACATAATTTTCCTTAACATACGAGTAAATGTTTATCCATCTCTTCTAGACTGCTTGTCTTTTCTTGTAAATTTTCTAATAGCATTCGCTCTCACACATAAAAACGTGTTTCAAGTCTTTATTTTTTTTGTCAAAAATTGAAGAATGGCTCCCTTTATGACACTTTTCTAAGTGAATTTGAGCAATATTGTATCAGATACAGGAATTCGCTGATTAGAGACGTCTTCTTTAACCTCTTACAGATAATTTGTACCTGAAAAGTACTTTGGGAAATTAAACACTTTAAAAAAAAGAAAAAGAGTAGTTAAGAAGAGTAATGGAAGAAGTAAGTGTCTGTCAACTGCAAATAGAACAATATACTAAGGCAGATATTAGGAAAGGTTCAAGGCTGAAATCTTTCATGTGACACAGCAAGTTTGCAATAACACCGCTGCTGAATTAAGAGATTCTGAATCTCGTAATGTGATCGTCGACGAACTTTTTTGTGTTGGAGTTACAGAAATGGTTTGGGAGCAAATTCGCGTGTTGGCCAAAGACGTTGAGGATTTCGCAGAGTGAGTTATATGAAGTTTTATATGATGGTTTATCACTAATAATCATTTGACTAGGCATGCTGGTCGTAAAACTATTCAGCCTCAGGATGTTGTTTTGTGTTGTCGACGTAACGAAGGATTGCATGAAATGATGAATGATTACCAGAAGGAAATTATTAAATCGAGAAAAAAAAGGAAAGAAAATTCTCCATAAGACTGTTGGAACTACTGTCAATCTAGGTTTTTTTTACTATTCTATTCTGCCTACACTGTTCATTCCTTGAAACAGAGGAAACGGTTATGAATCAATGAAAAGCACTGTACTAGTATAACTGTGAATTTATTACCGAAAAATAAAAGACAATCTTACTTGGAGCTACGCTTTGATGCTTACAAACCGATTTTTTTCTTATTTGTTCTATGAAAATACGATGACTACAGTAAGGCAATTATACTATGGAACTAATGAGATATTCGTATACTAAATTATATAGTTCCTATCATTTAAGAAAGATTCCCTTAAATGTTCATTGTTCTATTGTCAGATCAAGTTTGGTTTGTGACAGGAGTACTTCATATAGTTATAAACAGATTCATAAATCTTCGTTAAATGAGTAAAAGAAAGCTCTACGATGAGAAGAATAAATGAAGTTACAGAACATTCAATTCAATTACTCAAATAACCTTCCCTATGTCTGCTTGTGATACTTCATTCCTTACTTTTTCACTTAATTTTGTTTACTATTCCCAAGTTGTATCATTCGCATAATATTTTTATCAGATGAGAAGCCAAAAGAAATCTCAAGCTACAGAATCTCTATTCATCTTTATTTTTAGATATATACAATTCATTGCAAAATAATAATAGGACATGAGACCTTACTAGCTATAAAAGAAGAAAAGCATAAAACCGCTATTACTTCTTTTGATTCAATTGTAATTCAGGTAGTACGTGTAGTGTCTGGTCTGATCGCCCCTTTCTAATTAAGTTATATTACTCTTCATTGATTAATCCATTTAAATAAAGTAATCTACATGTAAAGACCACTATAGAAACTATCCATTCAAACATAAAGCCAAACCATGAAAATAGCAAAAGCCAAAGAGATAAAGGTAATTCGAATATGTATAAAAAGGAGAATTGGTTCAAGCGAAACGGAATGCACTGGGAGTTATCGCTTTGACCTAGCTGGTTCTTTTGGCATCCAAAAGACGAGCAAGAAACAGGATTAATAAGATAATAATCGCTGCGAATCTTTATCTCGTAATAAGTTTATAAGTTAAATGCTGAAAGTGCATTTGGGTTATTTGGTTCAAAAAATACTCAACCATTTCTGATTAAAAGTAAAGCTGAACATTCACAATAGTTATCGGCTTCCTGCAGAAGGCGGTTATTTGCCAATCTTCTCTAATAGATGTAATAACAAAAGAAACAACTCCAGGCTAAAGTAATGAGGTTTAACCAAGACTTGTATCTTAATACGTTATTTACTTCCGTCAAATTTATCTTTCTTTACTCTCGTAAATTCAACCATCCAAACATGCTAGATTTTATAAGAAAAGCCAAATGTAAATTAAATCATACTTGTTGATTTCGTAAAGATGAGTCTTGTTCAAATGTCCATTCTCAATGGTAGTGATCGCTTCTTTCTTATTTGTATTGAACAAAAGGCTCCAAGTATTTTCATAAACGTTAGAATTCAGTAGGAATAACACCTTTCAGATAAAATTGCCTCATTTTCCATAAAATCTCTTGTAAACGTTCCAATCATTACAGCAATCTCTTCAAGTCCTTGAAGAAAACTCAAGCAAGCATCTTTTAAATATCTCTAATTCTTTAGAAGAAAAAGGTTTCTGATTGGAACCATAGTTGAGATGTTCATAAAGCTAGTTTTTCTTCGGACCGTTATTCCTTGACAAATCTTCCATAGGAATTGAATTCTCATCAATGTCAATAACAATGGGCTGAAAGTAAATGGAAAAAAAGATCAAGCAGATAAGACCAAGTACTGAGCAAGAAGCTATTATTCCATAATATGCCGTTGTATCATCCATTGGTTCAGAAAAAAATAAAAAACAAAAATAAACTAAATATACAATATAAAAAAGGAAACTAAAGATCCCAAGAGAAACCACAATTAAATTGGCCAGAGTCGCATATTTGTTTTCTAGACGTTCCCAAAGACGTTTGCTATATTTCTCTTCATGATTATGAGGAATACCGAATGATAAAGGAACAGTTTCCTCAAAAGTCTGTTCAGATTGACTCATTTTTGAGGTTTTAAGAATTGGCAGTGCTTACTTGAACTGGAAGTGGCTGCATTGAGAATTGAACCCCCAATCCGTTTCTTACCTATTCCAACATCACATTGAATACTCATTTAAGAACAATTCTTATCAAAACAGTGGATGCAACATGTTTGAACCACCGATTATATACAATCATCGATCAGAAGATGATTCTTACGAGAAAATCAGTCAAGACTTAGTAAAAGATCTCCATAGAGTTTTTATACATGTTTGCTGTCTCGCTTTCATATGCGTTATAAATACAATTCTGGTATTAACGGTAAAATATCATGGAAAGCAAAAGCTGGTCTCATATTTCAATTTTCTGAGTTATACCATATGGCTTATAACTTTTCTTCTTACTATTTCCCATATTGAGCAGATACAAAAATTACCAAGAAAAGAAAGGGAAAGAAAAGAAAGGGAAAGAAAGGAAAGGGAAAGAAAGGAAAGCAGAGGAGTTAACTGATGAGCGTTTAACCGTTCAAGAAACAGTTGGCTCTTCGAATACCGACCCTCAGGAAAGTCAGTGTTTACCGGAGTACACTGAAACAAACCAAAGAAAAGGGTGAAGAACTACAAGACATTGTTACGATAGTCATGAAAGGGTTTTTCAGGAAATGATGCCATCTAATCTTATAATTATCAACTTTCTGATTTTGTCCTGAATCCCGTTCTACTTGAGATTTTTTACGACAACGTGGGTTGGGGACTAGAAGACTACAATCAAGTTAGTCCTCTTAACTGCGTTTCCTGTCGATCGTTAATGGCAATAAACTTAATGATGCAAGCGAACTAAATTACAGCGACCTTTAATGAAGGTTACTCTTTTCAGCGGTTGCACAGAGTTCTTTTATTTATTCCATTTTTTTGAAATAGAAAAAGCTTACACTGCTATGAAACATCTCAACGCGAAACTGCGATATGTTCCGATTTGTAAGCTTTTCGTGAAGACTCAATGACGAATGCTGTTCAAGGAAAAGCAACCAAAATTGGTAGAACGCATGGGTTTATGTGGAAAATATCTCAAAAGATTTGAAGAGGTCAATTTTAATAAAGAAATATCTATAGGTGTTACGTTTGGCCGAGTAAGTTAAACGGACTGCTGAACAAACCTCAGCTAGTCATGCGATCGCACTCGTATCTACATTTTATTTTATTTACAGCATATTCAATACATCTGGACTCAGTTATTATTCCTTGACTGTAATTCTGAGATTCATATTAAAATCATCATGATAGTACGAAGGATGCGACTTCGTTACTCACTAAATTTTGTTCATTGATGTAGCTAATGTCTATAGACCATTCATTGATCCATCTCGAATTTCCAAAAATAAGAATCAAATAATATGAAATATCAATCATTTTCAGGATGGAGTATTGAAAGACTATTTCTTTAGTAATCTTTTTACATAAACCATACGAACCATGTTTTTTCCTCATCCTAAAATAATCCTTTTATATTTACACTCGTTTAACTCAACTAAAATAAAACCTAAACTTCAATCTTCGGCAAATATTATAACTTCGTTATGATAATAACTATTACTAATATTAGGTTTCTACCTCGTCGCGTTTTGTACTTAACTATTCGCCTTGTACAAGGTAGCTAGCTGCTTTGCTTTAGAGAAATCCTATATGGGCGGGCCCATATTGATTCGTATTCTTATTAAATTTACTCTTTAACATTTATATTGACTGCTTTTTCTTACTTTCATCGACGTTTAGTACTTGGTAAAATATGGTTGTGCAAGAAAATGATCTCAATTGTGCAAACGCATTGAATGAGATTCAACAAAGAAGATTAATATATTTTTTTTCTTGTTATCATCTTCTTACAATGGAACTCAAAATGCTCTTTAACACCTCAATTCCTCCTGGTATTCTTTCTTACATTTTTTCTGGATACAAAATAATACGACCGTGGCTGATGGCCACGAGGTTAAAAGGACCAATTAACGATTTTAGCGTGATTATAAAAGTGTTTCAAGATGTTTTAGACACTGGGTTTTTCGTAAATCCACCACCCATTGAAATTTACTCGAGGCAGTTGCTTAAATTCATATCTGTTTTAGCTGGGAATAAAAGTTCCCCATCCTCTCAACATTCTGCCAATCCACCTGCATCGTCATCAAATACACCTGTGAATACTCCTGTACCAACCCCAACGGAACAATTAGTGAAACCAAGTTATAGTATTGGAGTAAATAGACCACCTGTCTATTCAAGAAACCATGGATCAAATACAGGCTCATCTAAACATCCACCGCGGTCTTCATATAATACTCATCCTAGTTTATCAAAATCGTTTCCCTCTTCCTCTCAAAACCAGATACCTAATCATTTAGCATACCCTGCAAATTCCTCCGCCTCAGAATATCGGGATCATCGCTATCCCGTGTCTTTCTCTTCAGCTCCTCCTATTGCTAATCGAAATATACCTGTACCTAATACTAAACCCGTTGCCAGTATGACGAATGGTCGATTTACACCTTCATGGAATAACCAGCCAAATCGTCGAATGAACGAAACAGTTCATCCATCTTCTGAATATACTAACGTTCGTTCTAATGTACCGCTCACCCAAGTACCTCCCCCTTCTACATTAAACAGTAAACCTCCCTCAGAATCTGAACAAGCGAGCCAAATACCACAAGATTCCTTCGACGGTGATACAACAACGCCCAATGTTGTAGAACCATCTCCTTGTCATTTCAATTTTCAAAGAATTTATCCTAATATCTCTCCTTATTTGACGCCTGACAACATAGGTGCTTCAATTTTGTACTCCACGACTGATTTTTCAAAATCTAAACCCCACAACCCTCGATTGAATTTATCTCTTGAGTTAAAACTCAGGGAAAATAATCTAGAAAAAGGAGAACTTAAACAAAGCATGAAAGGTGATTTACGAAACTTAGCTGATTGGGATGCAATTTCTCTTGTTTCTTCGCAGTTTCCGTCGCTACCCGCTTCTAATTTCAGACCTGATGGATCGTTTTTAAAACATCGTCGTTTTAACGATGAGGTCATGGAAAACAAAGAAATTTTAGAAAAAGCAATTAAGCAATTAAACCTGTCTCCCTTAGATGCTGAACGCTTACGTGAACGGAACAGAGTTCAACTTCTAGATGACAAAAAAGTATGTACTCCATCATTAAAGGATTATCCATCAAAGGATAATCAGCTTTTAGCGAGGCTTGATAATGCAAATAATGAAAAACTTAAAGTCTCCAATGAAGTTATTCCTAAAGCACCGGCCACTTCTGTTGAAGACGTTTCGAAAACCAAAGATGCACGAAATAAAAACTTACAAGAGAGTGAAGTTGTTGAAGACGTTCCGTTGTCTATCCTTTCTCATAAAGGGAAAGGAAGATTGCCTCGCGATCAGAAACGGAGATCTGGCACCAAACCTGTGCATACTTTAGAATCCATGAGAAATGAAGAGTCTAGTAACGAGCCTGCGTTCGAAAAAGTTGATTTATCTTCTATCAGAAATTCAGAAAAGACGAGTGATGCTACGATTCAAAGCACATTGGCTAAAGATGTCGATGATATACACGAAAGACAAATTGCAAGCCACGTTATTTCAGACAGTACAAAGAGCGTAAGTGAAATTACTGAAATTCCTAACGATAAACAAAAAGGGCAAGGAACGGGTGATTCTCAACGGGTGGGAATTTATGAAAAGGACTCTACTCAAAATTCAATTAAAGAATTATCTGAAAGAGAGCATCTCACTCAGACGAAAACCTCTGCGGAAAAGGTTGATATACATAACAATCAGAATCCGAATTTATTACCTTCTTATACAGATGATGAGTTGGTTAATCCGACTAATTCTGAGGTTGGTATTGCTAGAAAGCAAGATGTAAGCCTTACGAACGGTGAAGGCATGGAATTAAGAAACCCTTATGTGTCTCCGTCTTCACAGATGGCTGATTCTTCTGATAGTGAAGAGCAATTTAGAGATGCAGTATTGTCAGATGCAAGAATTGAGCGTAACAACAATTCAGATGGAAAACACTCCATAGAAAATGTTGAAGAGTCTTCTTATCCTACGCTGGACCACAAAATTCATAATGATAAGGAATACTTGAATATCAAGGCTTTATTGAATGATGAATCAACTTCGCAATCAACTAGATCCGATTCCTTTAATGAGGAAGCTTTGAAAAGTAAGGATGCTTCAGGAATATATTCATTAGAGAAAGAACCCTCTGAGAATCTTTCCTTGGTTGATACCTCTCATTCCGTTAGTGAAGAAAAGGAAACTTTACAACCAGTCAACTCGATATCTTCCGAAATTGATTCGTCCGTAAGTGAAACTCATCCAATTATTAATGAGCCATTAAATAAGTCAAAAGATTTGGATGACGCTACCTCTGATCTTTCCAAACAATTGAATGCAACTAAGATTATTCAAGATGTTCCTTCCAAGGACATGGCGATATCGGAAGCAGAAATTGAAGCGAACAAGCATCAAGTTCTGAGTACAGTAAATTCACTGCCGCAAGGTTTTGCAGAGTACAAATGTAAATGGGATGGTTGTGAATCTACTTTGCACACTCTTAATACTCTGTTTATACACTTAAAGAAATTACATTTCAATTGTGAAGATGGAGGCTCCACGTTGAAATGTTGCTGGGGTCAGTGCTGTTTATCATTAGGTCCTGAGCAAATCGACGCTCATATTTATGAACATCTTGAAAAGATACAACATATTTGTAAAGTTCCTGGATGCAAAAAAGGTTTTTCAGTCTATAAAGAATTTCATGAACATCTGTTATTTTCCCATTTACCATACAAGTTCCAGCCGGCTGCTTTCATTACTACCAGGAAATCACGATTACAAGAAGGGAATCGACGTACTCGAAACAATCAAGGAAATAAATCTTCCTCACCTGAATTTTTTCTTAATACTTCTACGCCCATCATCAAACCTGCCCCACTGAACTGGTATCCTGTACCACCGCCCGGTTTTAGTCCGTCTGTTTTTGCAAGGCTAAACCAGAGCAACCAAGCGAAGGAGAAGACTATTTCTTCGTTGGCGAAAAGAAATGTCTCTCTCTCATTTTCTGGTTTGCATAATGATGATGTGAAAACCGCTAGTCCTGAAGAACGATCGAGTGCTTCTGACGCTCAGTATGCTCGACCGGGTCGAGTTGGTCGTCTTTTTACCAGTGTATCAAAAGCCAACTATCTTCCCGCAATGATAATAGAGGGAACAGTTGTTCAGCGAAAGAATTGGGTTGTACATTAATTTACGTACTGATTAGAACCTTGGGTTTATGTTTATTACTTTTTTTTCCTTTATTTTTGGATGAATATTATTTATTGTATCAATCATATATATCTAGGATCAGGTTGCAACATTTATAGTCAAGCTATTTAGATAAGTGAGCTTTCTTGGTATTTGTATCATCATTTTTATTTTTTCTGCATAATTATATTAGTCACTAGATTTTTTTGAGGGATTGAAACCAACGTATAGCGTGTGAGTTTCATGCTTGTTCCACCATCTTTCTAGTACTCTAAGATATTGATTGCCCCATCAGGATAAAGCAATGCTTATTGAAATCGTTTAGATTATAAAAAGGATAAAAGAATACTTCTACAGTTTTTTATCGAAATAGAGCCAGCCCTTGACTAATTGTATGAATTAAAAAGTATCTACTTTATTTAAGGGAGATGAGTAATTCGGGTTTGTGGGAATTCATTACCCTAAGTTCAGCCATCAAAAATGTTGCGAACGTATATTGGAAAAGCGGAAGATCGGTTTATCACCAAAAGCCCTTTGTAAATGCTTCAAGGCTAAAGAGACAGGCACCTTTACATTCAACTCCGTCTATAAAAAATGTTGAAGATGAAAGAAAGGAGGTCGCTTCTCATGAAAAAGAAATGAAGAATGCTACTGAAGGTTTACAATCAGCGTCGGTGAATCTCTCAGAAAAGCTGACTACTGACGAAGCGATGAAAGGGAAGTCTACCTTAAGTCAGGATGAAAATAAGGGAATGAAGAGTGCATCCGTGGTTTCCGACGGGGTTGTTAGCAACAGTAAACCTCATATCAATTCTAAAGTTACTCTTGACTCTGATACATACCCTACAACTAAACAAAGTCAACCCGATAAACTGCACGAGCATAAATTAGAGAAGGATATTTTGAAAGAAAAAGACGATAGCCAGAAGGAGTTGAAACCGGAAACATTTCAAAAGCCTCCTAACATCCCGCTTACGTCTTCAAAAGTTCCCTCTTCACAATGGAGTAGACTCTGGCATTACGGAGGTCTTGCAACATCACTCTCTGTTGGCGCTGTAGGAGAAAAACTAAAACGAGTATGGGGATCCAGTAAAGACGAGGGTGATGTTTTACTCAATCAAAGGAACATCGAAGTATTGGTTAACAAGTTAAGTCAAATGAGAGGTGCGGCTCTAAAACTCGGACAAATGCTTTCGTTTCAAGACAGCAAAATGTTTCCTGGGCATATCGCACACATTTTAGAGCGAGTGCGTGACAGTGCTCATGCGATGCCTGACAAGCAACTTGAAAAGGTGATGACCCAAAATTTGGGTAAAGAATGGAAAAAACTATTTTCTGAGTTTGACAAAAGTCCTATGGCAGCAGCTTCTATAGGACAAGTTCACCGAGGCAGATTGTCCTCCAACGGAACGTTAGTAGCAATCAAAGTCCAGTACCCTGGTGTCAAAAACTCCATTGACTCTGATTTAAATAATTTATCTATATTGTTGAGGGCGTCTCGCTTATTGCCTAAAGGCTTGTTTCTGGAGAACAGCATCGCAGCTGCTAGAAAGGAGTTAGCTTTGGAGTGTGACTATACGCGCGAGGCAGACTTTGTGGAAAGATTTGGAGCGCTACTGAATCACGACAGCCGTTTAAAGATTCCCAAAGTTTTCAGAGAAGCATCTGGTCCCTCCGTGTTGACGTTGGAGTATCTACACGGTGTAGCTTTAGGAAAAATGGTGTATACGCAAGAGCTTCGAAACAAAATAGGAACCATTTTAACAGAATTATGTTTCAAAGAAATTGCTGAATTTCATTGTATGCAAACAGATCCTAATTGGTCGAACTTTCTGTATAATACAGACACAGGCCAGTTGGAACTTTTGGATTTTGGAGCCTCTATTGAATATAGCCAAGAATTTATAACTAAATATTGTCGGCTTTTGCTTGCTGGTGCTAGACGGGATAAAGACACTTGTCGAAAACTGTCTGAGGAACTAGGGTATTTGAGTAGACACGAATCAAGAGCAATGGTAAATGCGCACGTGGAATCCATTTTTACTCTTGCTGAACCTTTTGCATTCGATGCCCCAGATGTGTATAATTTTGGGCAGCAAACGATTACAGAACGCGTAAAGAAGCAAATTCCACTTATGCTGCAATTGCGGCTTCGACCGCCTCCTGAGGAGACGTATTCTCTTCACCGAAGATTGAGTGGGCACTTTTTATTATGCTCCAAACTGGGTGCACAAATACGGTGCAAAGAAGTATTTCAAAAAATATTGAAGCCCTTCAACAACTGAACTATTGCTTTAGAACGATCTATACAACACAATTCATGAATTCAGTTACAAGAAAACGATGTGGATGACAATGCTTATGAATACGATCCATGTTTAGTTTATGAAAGATTCTTTGAAAATCCAAACCCTATCAATATTATTTAAACCCAAAAACTAGTTGCAGTATATGAATATAACACTTAAAAAGATGGAGGTGCACCAAGAATCGTGCCATTGCCCGTTGGTTGATCGACGCTCATAAAGTTATCTTGCTGTTGCTCTTCAGAATTTCCAAACAGCTTATTCTTGTTCTTCTTTTCTTTGTTGCCGCTCACAGCTTCGATTTCTATCAAATGTTAGATACACTGTCTTTGTAATTTTCTAATATTTACCCATCATAGCATCGTCTAAATGGATGCCTTGTTCAGCTAGACGCTTTAAAGACTAAGAAGTCAATTGTTAGTAACCCGTTTTGAATAAATCAAGTTCAATTAAATTATTGAGCAAACAACTCGTCTTTTGCGAGAAAAAGCCAGCATCTACTTGGTAGGAGAACCACGTACATATTTGCCATTTCTTAAATGTTTCTTGATAGTTTTTTTGCTAGGAACGCGGCCATGGATAATGGAGTCTGGGTTTCTTTTTGCAGACTTTTTCCTGTCGTTTCTGTAAGGCATTGGTAACGAATGAAGGGGAAATTCAATGGATGTTGTTGGTTTAATTTGTCTTTTCACTTGACAATTTGTTTCCCTTTTTCTTCGCTTGAGTGTGTTATTGGAAATTGTGAATCGAAACGCAATTATGATGCTAACTCACTAAAATGTAAATAAAAACAAACCGCCAAAGAAAAGTAAATATATACTCTGATATATATAGAGATGGAATTTAGAGTATATATTTAATTTTCTTTGGAGGTTTGTTTCTACAAAATGGATCAGCTTTTCACTTCTTTTTGCTCAAGTTTTTCGCTGCCTTTTTGTCTATGTAGTTCGTTCTTCCTGCTTCCTCCCATCATCAAAAAAAAAAATTGCTTAGAATATAAGAAAAAATAAATAAAAAAAAGAAAAACAAGTGTTAGAGTATCTTCCGTAAGCTAATGTCCCATTTAGAGGAAATTATACATGGAAAAGTAGTCTACTAGAGAATTTTGGATATCATGGTAAAGAACGCAGGAACCTACAAACCAAATGATGGGACATTTAACAATATCGAATGAATTAATTGTTCAGTAGGTTGGGACTTAATGATTAATTTAATCTATCTTGGGTTCCATTCTATATGTTTACATTCACACTTGATCCTTTTAGTACGATGGAGGCCGAAAAATTTCCAAAAAATCTTTAATTTGTTTCATTATTTACATCCATTTAATCAAATGGAGCTCTATTCAGTCAACCTTGAATCTTGAAATATTGACGATTCATAACTTCATTACTTAATCTGTCAAAATTCTCGGTTACCTTCTGCAAACATGTCTGACAGTCGTTCTCGTAGAATTGGAAAAGAATTAGCTGGTAACAAATCGTACTATTACAGTTTTTGTAATTATTAACTTTTTTAGATGTACGTCGGGATACAGAAGCTGGAATCCAAGTTTGGACCGTGAATGAATCCGACATATGTATGTTGTCTGGATCCTGGAAGTTTGGGATTACTAACGTTTTGAACAGCTTGGCTTAAGGGAATGTTCAAGGGCCCACCTGATACTGCTTATGAAGGTATGTTCAGCGTCAAGAGTGTTTCTCGTAAAAATTCATATTACCTTGAACCGCTTTTTCTTTTTTATTGAAAAAAGAATCCTAACAGGTTTCGATTTAGGTGGTTACTTTGTTGTCGATGTTGAAATTCCCGTATGTACTGTACTTTATAGATTTTTGGGATTTTGCTAACTTCTCTAGATTGGTATGGCCTTAGAATAAACTCGAAGTTATTCTCTTGTTTTCTCTTTTACTTCTAATTTTGCTCACACTTTCAGATTATCCTTTTCGACCTCCTAAAATGAAGTTTGACACCAAGATTTACCATCCAAACATTTCTTCTCAAACAGGAGCTATATGCCTCGATATCTTGAAGGATCAATGGTCTCCTGTTTATACCGTAAAATCTGCACTAATTAGTTTGCAGTCTCTTTTGTGCACCCCAGAACCTTCAAATCCTCAAGATGCACAAGTTGCCCAAGTCTATTTACAAAACTACGAACAATTTATTCACACTGCTAAGGAATGGGTGAGACTCTATGCTCAACCTCCTTCATTTATAAATGTGGAAGAGGCGAGCGACGCTTATAATGGAATAGATCCAAAGATTATCCAAAACTTGAAAAATTTCGGTTTTGATCAAAATGTAATTATCCAAGCTTTGTCGAAAGAAAACATAAAGTCACAAGAGGATGTGGATAATTATCCAAACGGAATAAATGGGGTTTTGGATTTACTCTTACACTGATTATTTTTCGACCAAGAAATAAAAAATTACTTGGCCGAAAAGAAACTTTTTTGGTATTAAGGTCCAAAAGTTTGGTTTCTACTAAAAATGAAGGAAAACTTCTACTCTCACTTTTTATTTATCACTTTACGCAAATAAGAAATCAGCATTTATTCATTCATCAAAATCAATTTAAGCATAATTACGAGTTCATTAGTGTAAAACAATAAATATGAAAGTAAACAAACACTCTCATAAAGTACGTCAAATTATCATAAAAAAGGAAAACTATAGTTGGTTGATATCCACGTCAGCAGTCTGACTGTACATCTTAGTTATCGGAGGTCGCTTCGAAGGACTAAGAGGCTTAAGCGGAGATGGCGTCTTCTTTTTTGGAGCAATCTCTGTTTTGCCTTCGCCTTCGTCTTCCTCTGTTTCTGAGGACTGAAGCAAAGTTGGCTCAGGCCAGAGTTTTCTTTTGCCGTGAAGGTTGTGAGCTTCCTCTATAGCTTGTTTATCTTCGTAATGCAGTTTACGAGAAGAACGACGATTGTTATCGATGTAATGTATATTGCTAGTATCTTGCAAAGCATTTGTCTCTTTATTATTGTTCTCTTCTTGCAATGCTTCAATGATATGTTCAAGATGAGCAATACATTCATCTTTTTCCTTGTTACCCTGCTGTAATCGCCGGACCCATTCGCCCATTTTTTCGATTTTTTGATCTGTGTATTCAATGCCTTGGGCGGTTTCCTCAAGCATTCGATTTAAAAATGTTTGCTCCACTTGAGATACTCGTTCCTCCATTTCACGCGTCATTTGTTCGCGTATTTCATACTCCAAGTTTACCATCTCAGAGTCAGCATCAGCGAGAAGTTGTCGAAGACATTCATTTTCTCTCTGTAGTTGCTCAGATTGCAACAATATTGTTTCCGAATTAGAAGATTGTGCGGACTTAGAGTGAGTAGCACCACGCAAGAATGACGGAGACATAATATTCTCGGTATAAGACGAGTGCGTAGGTATAATTTCACGAGCATTTGCACTATATCGCATGACTTGGGCATTTTCATCAAAACTTCCAAGAGGATCGATGTTGACTAGCATGCAAGTTCTAGCAGTGCCTGATAAATGGCCCGAGTGAAAGAGGAGTTCGGTTAATTTGCTTTGACGAAACGGTATAATGTGTTGTCTTCCATCGTGTTTACGGCGCAATGCTTCCAAGCACTGACCAAGGGTTAAAAGGCTTTTGTTGATACTAGCGCCTTCTCGGAGGAGCAAGCCAGAAGTTTCAGCGGAACGAGTTCGTTCAGAGCCGGCGAGGTCGACCAAGTCAAGTTGACAGCTTTCTATGTGATTTTTTGCAGGTTGCAAACGAAACAGCTCAATAGAGACGACAAGATGAGAGCGAGAGGACACGGAATTTGACTTTGTAGAAGTCGATTTCCGTAATTGCAGGACTTTATAGACGAGTCGGAAAGCTTCTTGTGGATCAGCCACGTACACCTTTTGAATACCAGCGACAGACTTTTTATCAGAAGTTGTGGACTTTTTCAAAGAAAGAGCATGGCGATGACCAAAGAAGCTGGATTTTTCAAGTAAGTCAAAGATACGGTCGTTATATATTTCAGAAAAAGAGAGATAAATGGCATACTGAAAAGACTGATCAGGTTTCTCAGGAAAAAGGGAGGCATAAGAGTCGGGAGAGGGGACATTAATTGGAAAGGAAGGTTCATTTTTAAGATACTTGGAACCCTCTAGAATCTTACACTTATCGAGCTTTGAACGAAGGGATTCAACGACTGGAAAACTAGCCTCACGGCCACGTATGTTATAAAAGAGGGCATCGAGGGCAAGGTAAACGACACCCGGATGATCTTGCGGTCCAAAGAGGGTATAGGTTTTACCGGCGCCAGAGACGCCCAAAGTAAACAAGAGAGCATCATGCATGTGAAAGAGAGATTTGGATAGCAAGGGAGCACAGATGGAGACAAACACATCCCATTGTGAGCAGGTAGGCGAGAAAACTTTGGAGAAAGAAGTTTTTTCGGAGGTTTTTGCTTTGGAGACACGAAAGGCATGAGAGTCTTCGGGAGACTCTAATATAATTTCGTCGTCATTGAGAATTGTTACAAACCCGTAAGTTGGGGAGGCATCCTCCTTTTGGTGAGGTGCCCTTTTCACGCGAAGAAACGTCTACAGGAACAAGTAGTTAGTAGAGGAAGTCAAAATTAAAAGGAAGGAAAGGACAAAAGAACAAGCTACGTACCTGAATCATAGGCCCATGCGTTAGTGACTTTTCATGTTTATGTAGAGGAAAGGGTATATAAAAACACCCAACAATTTGGGGTTAACGAACCATAACGCCGTAGTAAGCACTAGAAAGTAACACGAGGAAAAGTGCTAAATAGTAAACAAACAAATCGCACAACAAACAACGGAAAATTAAAAAAGCCTTTAAGAACACATTGTAATCACATGAACGCGTCGATTCATCCTTAAAAGGATGATCAGAGGCAAATCGTCCTAATTACTAGATTTTAGTGTGCTCATTCCCGTTTCATTAGAAACACAAGAACAAAATCAAATAATCAGTCATTAATTAAACAAATAAGGGCTTTGAAGTAATTTGTTTCGTAAAAAGCATATGTTACGTGCAAAGAAGGGACCCATATCAAACGATTAAACTTTCCCGTATCGAAGCAACTAAAGTAAAATGGAATGGAGGACTTGGAGAAAAGCCGAAAACTTCATAAAGCGAACAACAAAAAATGAAAAACGTTCATCGTAAATAAAGGAAGAAAAAAAAAAGTGGTTCATTCAATCAGTAATTATACAGCGATTCTTCACACCCACCAAAATACATATCAACCATCTATTGAAATGGGGGGTTTGAAGTGGGTTGAAAAGAGAGGAACAGGAACTTGTGAGATCCCCTTTTTTTGTTTATCTTTTCTTATCTCTGATTCCTTACGGCTAATATTTAGTCATTTACGAACGTTGTGCAACAAACGTAGACCCACGAGGGGAAGCCAAATGAAGGGGTTAAGCCAAAAGAGGATAAATGGAGTAACGGCGTCATTAAGGTTAAGGAAAAGCAAATAGATGTGATTACCGGAGAACCTAGTAAGAGGTAAGTAACAAACAAAAACTGAGGAGAAACAAACTAGGGGGAAATAAAAAAAAAAGGTTGAACGCATTCACCTCTATCTATCGACAAGAATCTTATGACAAACCATGATTCCCCTGATTTTATATTAATTGATAATTTATTTCATGTGTATCAAACTTGTCAATGCCCTCAAGCTTCCTAAGGTATCGCTACTCAACTTCCGTTTTGTGCTCCTAAGCACTTGGTCTTTTTCACCGCATAACGTTTTCACAACGCTTAGGCACGTGTAAAACTCGTAACGGACGAATGGTGTGGAGAAAGGCCTAACCTTTTGCCGCATAACATCATTACCCATGATGTACTTTTCCTAGATGAAAATGACACTTTCGCTAAGGGAACCCTGTTTAACTAAGCCTTCAGCCGACCGTCCGACCGAGCTTTACGAATTGCAAAATTTTTTCTTGTTCGGTTAGATTAGGTAAACCCCCATTCGAAGGGGACAAAACCTAGCGTAATGGAACTGCGATTTCGGATCGCGAACGAAGAAAAAAGCAGATGGAAAGATGCAGAGCGAGAAAAAAAAAAAAAACGACCAAATCTGCATTACGAGGCTTAATTACTATCGCGTAAAAGCAAAACCGCCTCCCTGACCAGTAAAATAAAAGCAAAATTCCTATTTTCTATTTAAATCCAACCGAACTATTCGTTAAGAAAAGTAGCTGGAAAAATCCCGAAATCCCCGGAATGGAAAAAAAGCAAAAGTAGTTTTGCTTTCTTTTTCGGGTTTTTCCTTCCCTTCGGCCCGCCCGAATTGGATTTGTCAATATTTACGATTCACATATTGTTGAGTTCCTTTTTTTTTTTTTTTTTTTTTCGTGATTCCTACCTTATTTCCTTCCTCATCGGATAGCTGGTTATTTGGTTTTTTCTTACCATGGAACTCGTCCAATCCATTGATTGCATCAACCTCTAAAGTCATAAATCGTCGTATACTAGGCTACAAGCATCGTTCCCCTCATACGAATAGGTTTGTTTTTTGATGTTCTTTTTAGTCATCAATTGCTCCCTAGAACTCACCTTTTTTTTTTTCTCTTTGTTTTTATCTATACAAGTTGTATCTTTCCTATTCCCTTTTCCCTCCCTTGTTTCGTACGCCTTTCCTTCCCTCTCTACCTTCTTAATCTCGGAGTGGGCTTCCAAGGGAAAATCCGGACATTTCATTCGTTTCTCTGACCCGAATACCCCTCAAATCTTATTGGCTGATCCCACCGGAATTGTTTGCGTTTACTTAATGACTGAATGCTTATGCACAATCATTTGATGTCATTTTAAAATTGTTCATTCGGCTTTATCCATGCATCCCATCTCGTCAATTCTCCTTTCTGCCCCGCGAATCCCTCTTATTTAAATTCCCTCGTTTCCCTGCTTTCTCGAGTTCCTTTTCTCCCGAGTATTTTATTCCTTAATTTTTCCCAAACGAAGTTTTCTAATTAAGTCGCTCTGCCCCGCAAGCTCCAGCGACAACTTTTAAACTTATTCTAAAAATTTTTTCTCTTTTTTATTTCTGTTTATTTCTTTTTTTTTCTTATTCTTCTTTTCTTTGATATCGAACCCTTTCAAAGTTCTGTTCGTTAATAAACACCTTGCATTCTGCCTGTCTTGTTTATTTTCGTGTAGTTCTTTTTGTTGTTGATCTCGGTATTTTTTTGTCGCCGCTTGTATTTCAAAACAAACCATCATTGTTTACTTTGTTGGTTTGTTTTCGCTTCCTTTTTTTCGTTTGCGATATACTTTTTGGCTACTCACTCCCTTATTTGTATTGTCAATAAATAAAAAGAGGAGAACATAAACCATCCAAATTGCCCTTGATAGGTTCTCTTTGTTTTTGTTTTTTTTGTTTTTATTTTATTCTTGATTCTATTTTCCATTTTCTTTCCTTTCCTAATCCTGAAGTCCTCGGGGTTGTCCTTGATTTGATATATCCTCCTACTCCTTCAACATGAACCGCTCTTCCAATTCTCCTCATCAGCTTCCTTTCGCAGAGCATATGCAATCAGCCTCATCCCAGCATCCTGCTGCTGCCTACGCTTACCCCACTTACCAACAGGGTGCACCCCCTATGTTTCACGCTCCGCAGCATCCTTCCGTTTTGACTCAGCTTCCTCCCCTCTCAGCCACCGTCCTTGCTCCATCTCTTGCTTCTTTGCCTCCTATCTCTTCCGCACCAACTTATCAACATGTTGCGTCTCATGCGTCTTCTCCCTATCTTCAACATCCGATGCATTCCTCATCCAATGCTGCCGCGTATAGTAACAATCCTTTTCCTGCTCCTAATAATGCTCCTCCTTCTGCCCATGATCCCTCTGGGTATGCCGTCCCTTCCCCTATTCCACCTTCCAACCCAGTCTCTCTTGCTTCACCATCTCCCAATGATACGCTCCCGGCTTCTCCTTCACTTTCTAGAAATCCTACTGTCAACGGCTCCATCCCCAATCCCAGCAACCCTTCCAATGGGAACGGTAAAGCCAATACTTCGTCTCCTACTGGTGTAAGCAATGCTAGCCTTGTAAAGCGTCAAGCTCGCAAACGTACGAAAACCGGTTGCCTTACTTGTCGCAAACGAAGGATAAAATGCGATGAGCGCAAGCCAGTATGCTACAATTGCATCAAGTCAAAGAGACAATGCGAGGGTTACACTCATTTCCCTCGCCCCACCGGTACACTCACTGCTGCTCGCAGAATTCCCGTCTCCAGCTTGCTCTCTGAGCCTGCTCCACATGGAATGGCAGGACAACCCACACATCCAACCTTCCTTTATTACATACAGTCTGTGGCTCCTTCTCTTTGTCTCTGGGATTCTTGCTATTTCCCTCCCCTCAGTCCCTATTCTTCGTTCTCCAGCATCTATTGGTCTTCCACTATCCCCGAGCTCGCTTTGCGGAATCCGAACATTAGCGTCGCTCTCTATGCTTTTGCTAGTGCCAAGCGTCACTTGACGGACGATGCTATCGCCTTTGCTCGCCAAGCTCGCGTCACCCTCACCAACATAACCACTACAGAGAGCCTTCTTATTTTAGTGCTTTTAGCGGTTACCCAACTTTACATTCCAAAGTGCGATATTCAACTATTTAACTTCGCAGTCGACCAGGTCGTTAAGTTTGACGCTTCTTTAATGACTAGTCCAAGTGATGAAATTATCACCTACTTGCTTCGTCGTATGTTTATCCGACAAGTTGTCCTTGCTGGTATTGTTAAGCCCCTTCACCCCGAAATGAACTGCCTCACGCTCCTTAAGGCTGAGTTACCTCTTGCAACAACACCTACCGCTGTCCTCGATGAGTCTTTGTTTAATCTTGGCCTTCGTTCTCTTTGTCATGAGCCTGGTTTAGATTCCGAGTTTGCTAATTGGTATAATAACTTTCCTGTGGATAAGAATGATCTTCCTCGTCTTGCCTTGCTGATGATCCATGCTGTCTTTGTTTCTCCGGCTTCTTTGGCCCAATGGGTCGAACTCATTCTTCTGCATCCTGATCCGACTCCCGCCATTCACATAGCGAGAGCTTGTCTGCTTGCCGTTCGAACTGTTATTAATTTGAGCGAACTGCAAGTGAAGGTTGATAAATGCGTCAAGTCTTGTGAAGAAAAGCAACTTCAGGCAAGCATTTCTAACTTTTCCCAGGATGTCATTCAATCAAACTCCTCAACTTTGACGATTGGTGTTTAAGCGGAGAGGCCTTGATACAAGATGTAGTGCTCCATGATGTTTGTGAGTACTTAAAGAGTAACTATTAAAGTCTTTCTTTTTTCTACTCCTGCCTGTTTTGTTTCTCCTGTATTTATATTCCGTTCTAAAAACCGACATTCTATCTATATTTCTGTTTCTGTTTCGTTCTTTTCAATTTTTTGCCTTAGAATTAATGTATTAACAAAAAAGCAAGTTTATATTTACGAAAACTTTAATGTTAACGTGAGTCATCCATGGTTCAAAACCTTGCATTAATCCATGAGATGAATATGTATATAGCTTTACCGCTTACTTGTTTTAAGTTGAGCGTGTTCACAATACTCAGTGTTCAATGGGATACGAATCTTTTTATGGCTTTTTCTATTCTCGTTAATTCTGCGTTTTTTATTATTTTACTTCGTTTGCATAGTCTTAGCATTATGTGTTTCTTAACAACGCATTATTACTTTTCAATTGCTATTTGGGTTTTGGTTTTATATGATATATTAGGGTTTTAAAAATCTCCTTATAGAATATAGCTTTATTATTTTTGGTTTTGTTTTCCTTTTTTTTTTTTTTTTTAAACTTGTCTGTGGTGTAAGAACAGCTATAAAGAATCCGTCCTCAGATGCTCTGTAAATATAATAATGACGACCAAAAATGATATCTGATGAAGGATAGCCGTAGATATAGTATCCATCGTTATGCACCCCGTGTCTTCCATCTGATATCGAGATCGATACTGCCTCTAACGAGCCATCCTCTAAATAAACTACATTTCTTTGAAATCCCTTAAAACCAAGTGGAGAGGGCATCTTACACTCACAAATTTTATAACGAACACCCAACAAACGAAAGCATAATCCCGGTCGGTTCAAGCGCATAGAGTTAGAAGCCTCCTTTACATGCATTAAATATTTTTAGAAGGCACCGTTGGTGTAAAGCACAACATGCGACTTTATGCTGTTAAATTAAAGGAAAACCAACCTTTGTATTCAATTTCGTCTTCAGAGAAATATATAGCGATTGCTGGAGTAAATTTTGTTCACATCTTACCAAGTACCTTTTTTCCGGGGATTTCATCTAATGAAAAAGTAAATCATTTAACAGAAGAGTCCTTTTTGGCTAAACTACAATTTTCAGCCTCCGTTACATGCGTGCGGTTTTCAAAGGATGGTCGATACCTCGGGATTGCTACGGAAGACGGGACCTTCCTTTACGAAGCAGAGAAATGGGACTCGCCCTTTCAAATTATAGCTGGGCCCGCCTACGAACTTTGTTGGAGTCAACAAGCTAATCTACTAGCGACAGCATGGAAAACTATTTCTATCTATTTACGAAAAGAAAACCCCGAAACAGCTGAGAATGAAAGTATTACACCAAAGCAGGAATCTCAGGTTCAAGGTATCTCTAGAGGTCCACCACCGCTTGAGGAAGGGCCAGAACATTCGTTTACTAAGAATGAAGACACAAAGGATAATAAATTAGTCGAATATAAACTCTTAAAGGTAATAGATGGACATCACTCTTTTATTTGTGGGCTTGCCTTTGATCCCCTAAGTCAGTATTTGGCATCCCATAGTTTGGATCGGTCTTTGAAGATTTGGAGACTTGCTACTTTTGCTTTGGAGAAAAACATTTCCAAGCCTTTTGAGCATATGTCGATTAACAGTCGTTATCTTCGACTAAGCTGGTCTCCTGATGGAGCCCACGTTGCTGCAGTCAATGCGATTAATGAAGGAACGAATGTAATTGCTATCGTTCAACGAGACTCTTGGACATTCGACATCAGTTTGGTGGGTCATCAAGAATCTTTAGAATGTACATCATTTAACCCCTATTTGTTCAGTGACCCGTTTCAGAAATCAGTCATTGCTAGCGCGGCCCATGATGGATGTATTTGCATTTGGAACACAGCGTGTGCACGTCCAACGCTCGTCATAAAAAGTATTACACTCGCTGCCTTTTGTGACATACAATGGTCGAATACCGGCTTTGAGCTTTATGGAGTGTCGTTAGACGGACATATTTGTTTATTACGGTTTGAGGAGTCTGAATTCGGCCCAAAAATGGATCAGATAGAATATCCTGAAGACTTATCAAACTGCAACTTTTTGAAAAAGCCATATGGATCCAAAAGCACGTTAGAACCCACTGTAATAATTGCTGCACCAACCCCCAATACAACCACTGAGGTCCCAAGAGTTAGATCTCCTCCTTCCTCGCCTCCTTCTGTGAAAAAAAGAAAACTGCTAAAGAAAAAAGGTATTGTACGCCCTGCATCTATCCATCCAGCAACCTTTTTTTCACAAATCCGTATTGCCAGTCCTTTAATAAAACCGAAGTGGGAAATTACCAAATCCTTTGGATCTATGCGCATCAGAAATCATCAAGAATGTACAAAAATAGAATGTTTTATAGGGAATGAGAATGATAATACTGCTGATTGGGTAGCATATCTTCCTTCTTCTGTGATCCTTGCCAACGGAACTAAAAAGTTTTGGGTAGTAGGGACGGAAGATGCTTCAATTCATGTCTTTACTCCACACGGAAGACTTCTGTTACCACCTCTCATCGTAGGTTCAACACCTTGCTTTTTGGAATGCTGTGAGTCATATCTATGCTGTGTTGCTTCTAACGGGTTACTCTACACATGGGACGTAATTACTAGAAAGGCAGTTCATAATCCTGTCACTATGCTTCCGCTATTTCATGCAAATTTTGTAAGTTCAAAAGTTGCAAAAGGACCTTCATTAGAGCAATTGTTTGTAACTGACGTAGGGAGCCCGATAGCAGTTATGAGTGATGGAAATGCATTTGCATACAGTTCAGCTACGAGTTCTTGGCTACGGGTCAGCGAGGGATGGTGGATGATTGGTAGTCAGTATTGGGGTTCGCTTGTTACTGATCTCCGAGAAGAAAGTGCAATGAGCTTTTTGGAGCGCTGTACCGATGAAGAAATTATCAAGGCTGGGAGAGGGAGGTTCTTACAAAGGATCGTTAAAGCTTCTATGCTTCGTCAAGGTTATGATAATTATGAAATGGTTGTGAGTATACGACATCTTGAAAACCGTCTAATGAGTTCTGAAAAGCTGAACTTGAAGTTCGACTATCATGAGAATCTTCTGCTATACGCAAATAGGGTTGCTGAGGAAGGAATGAAGGATAGAATGGATGAATTATGCCGTGAATTACTGGGTCCTTTGAGAGTACCTTTGAGTTGTACTACTCCTGTGAAAATTGGCAATCGAGTTTGGGATCCTTACATATCTTCTTTAAGTAAGAGGTCACTACTAAAGGAAATCATCTTACATACAGCAAAACACAGAGAAATCCAAAGAATTACGTCTCAATACTCTTACCTGTTAGAACATCTCCCTGCCTAAACACTAATTTATTTATTTAAATGATTTTATGTATATAAAGTTATATTAGACAGAAAATACAAATCCACTCTTTTTTCTTGATCCATTTCTTTTTTTATTTAAGGAGCTTCTGCGAGTATGACCAACCAGTTCGCATCAAGCAGTGAAGCATACAGAGGTAGCGTTTACGCAAACCTAGTAGAATTGTTTACATATGAAAGAGTAGGAACTTTGTATAGGAAAGTGTATGGATAAGCCCCTTTTATCTTTGAAAAGATAGTTACAAGAAGATGAGCAAGATTATTAGCCTAGGAATATGGGCTCTTGGCTTTTTATTGTTGGCAAGCCAAAGGCATTCACCGTTGCTCTCCAATATGGGATTATCCGTGCTTGCGTATAAAGCAACAGCGTTTTTCATTCCTCGTGTTGGAGCGGCTTTCATACGTCGAGGATTCGCAGGAAAAGACATGAACAAGATTGAAAAACGCGTGATCCCAGAAACTATGGGAGCTGTATCTGCTCTAGTATATTTCATGTGCATGATACTATTCATCCCGATTTTATTTTATAAGTATTTAGTTCCTGAACGATCTCGAGACCAGCAAGATGACCAACTTAATGTCTTGAATGATGGATACGCTTCCGTAGCTAAAACTCAGTTTCCACATGATCAGCTAGGAGCGTATTTATCTGCTGTTATTTCCATTCTATCGATTTCTTTACTTGGTATATTTGACGACTTATTTGATATTCGCTGGCGCCATAAGTTCTTTCTCCCAGCAATAGCAGCTATTCCTTTGCTGGTAGTTTACTATGTTGATTATGGAGTAACGTATGTGTCTGTTCCCACTCTTTTGCGGCCCTTCTTGAAACGCACTGTCGTGGATTTAGGATTTCTGTACTACATTTACATGGCAGCGGTTGCTATTTTCTGCCCAAATAGTATCAATATTATTGCCGGCGTGAACGGTGTAGAGGCGGGACAATCATTCGTAATTGGTCTCGTCGTCCTTTGCAATGACTTAATTAGCGTCTTTCATCAAAGCAATACTGAAGCTATGCGTGCCCATCTACTATCTATCTATCTGGTCCTTCCTTTAATTGGTGTCACTGCTGGTTTATTAGAATACAATTGGTGGCCTTCCCGTGTTTTTGTTGGTGACACGTTTTGCTATTTTGCGGGAATGGTGTTAGCTGTTGTCGGCATTTTGGGACATTTCTCAAAGACACTAATGTTGTTCTTCATTCCACAGATCTTTAACTTTATCCTCTCAGTTCCTCAGCTCTTTGGGTTCGTTGAATGTCCTCGCCATCGGTTACCTCGACTGAACGTGAAAACTGGATTGCTAGAAAACTCTTACACGGAATTTACTGAAGGGATTCCTTTACCTAAAAAGACTTTACTAACAATACGTGTATTTGAAGCACTCTATCTTATCCGTGTTGACTGGGATCAGAAAACAAAGAAGCCTATCAGATGCACGAACTTCACCATCATCAACTTTGTTTTATATCATTTTGGTCCTATGAGAGAAGATCGGTTGACACTTTGCATCATGGGAATTCAGCTAGTTGTGGGTATATTTGGTTTGGTTATACGACATGGGATTGCTCCATTAGTTTATCCTCAAGACAGTATTTAGCATATTCGCTATACAAATACTTGTTGCTCCAAAGTGTATGTTACTCGTTCTTCAAATTTTTACTCATGTCTAAATATAGATTATGGAAGAACTAAGGCCAAAGAAGGATTTATCAGCTAAATTTCAACAAATCTCTCTCTTTTTCTTGAATTCATCCACGGAGGACTTCATATACCCCGTGTTTAAATTACATATCAAGTTTCAAGGTGCTGGTTTATGAATTTACGCATCGAATAACTTGCATTCTTTTATTTATTAATAAAAAAATCTTCTTATTTTTTGTTATTTCAATATAAATTTATTTTTCGACAGTTTATTTATTCATTTCTCAGTGAAGCAAGTATAAGGCCTATTGTTGATACTTATATACTCGTATTTCAAGGAAGTATCCTAACTGTCTTCCCCAAGTATAAGGAACTACTTACGGTACCGTTATAGTGAAATATCGTACTAGCAAATTGTGTGACTGCTTTGTGACTGCTTTTGATCCCAAAAAGGTATAAAAGGAAGTCCTTACACTTCTTGTTCTTTACTTACCTGGCACGGGTTTTCGCAGCTCAAGAATTGTGGAAACTCAGCTGTTTGTCTTTGCATTGCACTGTAGCTCTGACGAACAGTTGCGGACTGGCTACGGTCAGATCCGAGTGCATCATTTTTGAGTTCGTCTCTCATAGGAGACATCTTCTCTAATTTTCATGATCAAGTCGTGTGAAATAGAGTTTTTGTTTCCATGAAATGAACTTGGTTAGTTGACAGTGAAATAATGGAAATGTCGATTGTAATATTAAATAAATGAAACAATAATGAATGTAATGAATCATGGTGGTAGTAAATAAAGGTAGCTTCTAGTTATATGAATGTTTAGAAGATGTCAATCTAGAAGCAATCAGTTACAACACAAGGTGAGATTTATGTTGTCTTTTGGATGGATATTAAATTGATAAAGTTCAATTTTTAGTAAGATTTCTTTGATACTTTACAATACACGTTTTATACAGCAATGTCAAAAGAAACCGAAGAACCTCCATTACTGGTAGACGAATCAAACGTCGCTGTACAAGAAACTAATGATTCAGCATGTTTCAACGAAGAACCCGGTATAATTGATAATGAAGTCGTTGCTTCAGCTTCAAAGGATCAATGTTCACCATCGATTTCTGGTCAAGGAGAATTAGTTTCTTCACCAGTTCCTGTCACTATTTTGACCGGATTCCTAGGTGCCGGAAAAACATCGTTGCTGAAATGCATTCTTGAAAATGCACAAGGACGGCGAGTCGCCGTCTTGATGAACGAAGTCGGGGATTCCGGTGACTTGGAACGAAATATAATGGAACAAGCTGGCGGAGAAGAACTTTATGAAGAATGGGTTAGTTTATCTAACGGGTGTATGTGTTGTACAGTCAAAGACAATGGCATCAAAGCGATCGAACAACTGATGGAGCAAAAAGGCCGGTTTGATAGCATAGTGATTGAAACTACAGGGGTTGCCAATCCAGGTCCCTTAGCCCAAACGTTCTGGCTTGACGAAGCATTAGGTAGTGATGTGCAATTAGACGGCGTTGTAACGGTTATTGATTGTCAGAACCTTGATGATATCCTAAATGATAGCACCGAAATAGGTAGCATCCAAATTAGCCATGCAGATTGCCTTGTGTTAAACAAAACGGATAAGGTAGACGCCGGAGAACTTGAACGAAACTATCATGTTGTTCGCTCCATCAATCCCCTCGCAAAGATCTGTGAAACAAGCTATGGCCGGATTCCTGACATTCGAGAAATTTTGGACCTCAATGCATATAGGGAAGGTGAAGATTTTGAGAAATTTTTAAATCCTTCAGTTACCCACTCCTCAAATCATACCTCTAGTCATCATTGTAATACTGATGACTGTGACAAAACATGCACGAAAGAGACGCCTGCGAGTAGTATAAGAAGTCGGACATTTGAGCTACCTAAGAGGATGTCTCCTGAAGTTTATGAGCGATGGCTAGGATGGATACGGGATATTTTATGGCTCTGCTTAGAAACCGGCGAAGGGGAAGAATATATGATATACAGAAGCAAAGCCTTACTGCAAAAAGAGGATGGTTCCTGGTATGTGATGCAGGGTGTCCGTGAAGTTTTTGAAGTACTTCCTCTTCCAAAATCGACAAAATCAAACTCAGATGCAGATCTGCGTCCTATTACTGTTTTTATTGGAAAGAATATTGACCACATTTCCCCATTTATGGCATAGGAAATCTCTTGAAGCATTCTATAAGCAACGGCAGAGCATTTTATTCACCATTCCTTTGACAGATTTCTGTAATAAAATAATATGAAGGTAGTTATTTGAATGAATACTTTTAGACTTGTTTTTATCGTTAAGCTATGCTTGCTTAAACAATGTCTTGTAGCAAATCTTCCTTTTGACCTGAATCGAATGAAAAAAAAAAAATAGCTTTTATTCCTTTATTCATCTAATAAGTATCTATTTATAATATTATTTCCAAAGCAATACTGTACACGCAGGGTGTACCTCAACTGTCTTTCAAAATAACTCAATAATAACACTGCCATACTGCCGTTTTGGCTGACAAAAACTCAAATCCAGCTATGGTAGAAATTGTTCCCTATCATCATAAGTACTTGGAGGAAATTTGTCAACTTATAAAGAAAGATTTAAGTGAGCCTTATAGTAAATATGTATATAGATATTTTGTACATCAATGGTAAGCTTTCAAACTGAAATTTCATCTTTTATGGCTCTTTATTGTTGGCTTACATTTTCCCTCTTATTTAGGCCTGAATTTAGTTTTGTTGCTTTGCTCGATGGCCAAATGGTTGGTGCTGTTATAAGCAAACAAGATATTCATCGTGGAAAAAGCCTTCGAGGCTACATCGCTATGCTAGCCGTCAAAGACTCTTACCGTGGAAAGGGTATTGCTACTCAACTAACAAAAACAAGTTTGAATGTTATGATTGAAAAGGGTGCCCAAGAGATTGTTTTAGAAACTGAAGTGGACAATGAAGCTGCAATGTATTTCTACGAGCGATTAGGTTTTTGCAGGTACAAACGGCTCTATCGCTATTATTTGAATGGCACAGATGCGTTTCGCTATATATTATATCCTTAATACCACTATACAAGAGCAGGGATTGTTGCTGTCAAAGTAATATCCTTCGTAGTTGTATATAATAAAGAATAAACACTAGATATAAATTAAGCTCAAGATACCCAGCTATGAATATAATGTATTGCATGTTCTTTTGACACCTCACCATAAACATTCATGCCTACACTTCTTTACTGAAAAACATAAAAATGATAGTTAATTAATTGAATAAACGAAAAAACAAGCATTAAAAACGTAGTTTTGACATGTAAAAACGCCAGGAAGGAAAAAAACGTAAAAGGCACAGGTAGAGGACTCATAAAAACGGTCATAAATGCCCGAAATATCTTGCAAATGATTGCTTTACATACATAGGTTTCCAAATTAGTAAAGCAGGTAGTTGTCAAAAGCGAGCTAATCCAGGAAATCATCAGAAGCTTGTTTAGGAACCTTAGGGTTCAAATTTTGATAAAAATTAATTCTCGACATCTCTTGTTTATTCTGAAACGTAGCATTTATTTTTCGAGAGTTAACCATCGCTGCTACCGAGTCATGTTGAGGGTCAGCTCGAAATACAGCATGGCTGCAAACATATCCAACACCTTCAACGTAAACAGTATACTCTCTAAAAAAGTCTACTATTTCTTGGCTGCATGTCGGGAAGGTAAAGAAAAGTAATACAGGTGTCAAGAGAATCCCAAGGATCTCCCATAGAACATTAACTATTCTATAGGTATATAAGGAACAAAATTCTTGCTGAACGGCCTTGCTATCCATATTTCTCTGCCACCAGTCTGGCATATAGTGAGTAAAAAAAGCTACTTTACGTAGAGCTTTTTCTGGGTCAAAAACAAGCGTTTCGTCTGGAACCAAAGAGCGCATAGCTGCAATCAGGGAACCAAAAATACCCAAGTAGAATATGACAGTTCGATCCTTAGTCAATTCAAATGTAACCATTATTTCAGGGTCAAAAAGAGTCATAATCACTAGCACGGCTGTAAAGCTTCCAAGTATGAAGGAAACATACTTTACAAACCGTATAACGTTAAAATTAGGAAATTGAGATACATAATGCGAAGCGTATTCATAACTGTTACTGATTCTCTCATCGAAAACGTGAGGAAGTTCGTTATATTCACGAAACGTCCATAAAGCTAAAGGTGTGTATCTTCTTATCCCTAGTAAACTAGGATTCTTATGGAACTCATCAAAGTATCGAAAGAAGTTATGAACTAACAAGTACACGGCAACAATGGGAGAACATAAGCAATTTAAAAACCCAGCCACGATAAAGCGACGTCGAAGCTCCTCTGCAAGGCGCTTACGAGAGTTGACATTTCTAAAGGCCTCATGGATTTGACCATGTTCATCGAAGACAAAATTAAAAATACACCAATTGATATTCCACTCAGTTGTGTGTGTAAGTATCCTTTTATTCAATAGTGGTAACTCAAGATCAATAACGTCGTTGTTAATTAAAGCAATGAAATAGTTTTCCTTTCTCATAATTCTATTTGCAATTGCATGTGCATCTAAACGTTTCATGTTATGAAGAGAAACTACTCGACCATCTTCAGCGGTCAATGCATTCACGTTTCTTAGCTTGTATAACCGATACAGCACTCGTTGCCAGGATACTGTTGCCATGTCAGTGCTTGAAACCTTTAGCGCATGAATGAAAAATTCTCGAATATGCCATAACCTTGGAATATCAGTAAGGTAATATATCCATAGAGCGAACAAAAAACTCATAAACAGCCACAAGAAAAGTGTATCTAAAGGAGACATCTGAGCGATACAATGCGACTTTGTAGCGCTCGGCAAAGATCCATGGGGAATTACCGCAGACCAGTCAATACAGCTAGTAATAAAGGTCGTGAATCCAATGACAAATGATATGGTTAAAATTTGAAACAGTCTTTGAACAACGATACAAGAAAATCCTTTTCCAATATAAAAAGAATATACTTGCTGCAAAAAGTTATCCAAGTTCTCAACATTAGCCCAGCGCCAAAGAACCCGATCACGAGGACTTAGACGATTCCAGGAAGCTCTTGCGCTTGAAAACTCATTCCTTGGAAGCTGAGTGTGAACAGATTTATTCGGATACGCAGTTGGTATCTTGTCCCTGTTCGTTTTTCCAAACCTTTCGTTTGGAGAGGGTGAAGCCCTTAACGAGGACGAAACGGTTGGAGGTCCTCGGTTCATAGGAAACTGTGAAAAAGAAGATACATCAGCATCTTTTCCAACAGAAGGGATGACATCTTTTGGTACTACTGTCTGCTGCGTTGAAGATTCAAAGTTCCTAGGATTGCTAGATTCGTAAGCCTCAGGTGAATCAGGAGATTTCTTTATGTTATAATTGGGATCATTTAGAGTGCCTTTTGACAGATACTTAGAAGGTCCAATATCAGGATATTGCTCAATGGTTGAGTGTAGTAAGGGATTATCATCGTCGCTGTCCAGAGATTCCTGCCATGCTTCCAATGTTTCATGATGATTTGGAACTTGATCCTGTGCCTCTACATCCCCGGTGGAATTAAAATGGGATTCATTTCGCCTCGGTGAGTAATACATATTTACAATTCGTCAAAAAAACCAACCCTTAATTCCTTCATTAGCGCCTTTTATCTTTTCTTAATTCTTCGACTAATAGTTCCAATTGTTCTATACGTTTTAACGATTTTTTATGGCTCTCGTTCAGTTTATCCAAATTGGTCTGTAGCTGGGTAAAGACACTACTCAACAAGTGACAGGAACTTTGTATTAGTTCACCACTAGGAGGTACTTCTTCCAACTCTGAATCTGTAAGTCTTACGGTGCTATCGTCTTCTTCTCCAGTTGTTTCTTCATCTTTCAAACGTCGGGAACGCTTGTAATATGGGGAACTGTCGCGTACTTGCTCTGTAGGACTAGAAGGTGAGGTGAGTACCCGGTTTTCAAAAATTAATGAAGGATATTCAGATAATAGTTCAGGCTCTTGTCGTCGTGGATTTGGAGGTGTATTTGGGTCTGATTCAGGCATTTTTTTTTGGAATAGCGATGAAGGTACCGCTGTGATCAATATTTAAAAATGGAGAAGAGAAGACAACAGTAACTCATCGTTTGAATAGATGAACAGTATGAACATCTTTTATTTAAGTATAAACAATTGTTTTAGTAAAATTTCTTTTACAACTATATTCATTCATATATCATCAATATAAGACAAAACGAAGGCACGATCATAACAGATTCAAGAATCTTATTAACATTGCATTCATATTCGTTCATAAAACACTAACATGTAAAGATCAACAATAAGTACATATGTCGTTATTCTAGTTCAAAGCGTCTGAGAACACTGCAGATATATGATTTTTTGGTTCCATTCCAACGCTAACACGGACCAAGTTTCGATTGATGCCGTTTTCTTCAGCCCAATCCAATTCTTGGTAATGAGCAATGATTGTATACGGAGAAGCCAATGTAAAATTAGTTCCCAGAGATGGCCCCTTTGCAACACGAATGTGATCATAAAAGTGTCGAGCATCAGACGGATTATGAAAGATAACGGATAATAATCCTCCATAACCACCATTTTTTCTTTTGCAAATTTCGTAATTTTTAGAAGATGCATTGTATTTCGGATAGTATAACTGCTTCACTTTAGGACTTTTCAATAATAAATCACATATGACCTCTGCGTTCTCATTAATAACCCTTGATCTGTCAGCGAAATCACGGCTGTTTCTTTCCAAGGTTAATGCATCCTCATCATAGAAATTATCCTCATATAACTTTGGCATTTCCTCTTTCAATTTTCCATAGTAACGGCCTAAGGGATTTAGAACTAAGCTACCTCCCATGACATTACTGTCACCACTGAATATTTTCGTTAAACTACTTACGACCATATCAGCATAGGGAAGAACTTCAACGTTCAAGAAATTTCCTATCGTTTCATCGACAACGACAGCAAAGTCATATTTGTCGGCAAGCTGTCGAATACGAACAAGATCCGGGGTGTTTAATAGTGGATTAGAAGGAAATTCACAGAATAGGCCCAAAACTTTCTCTCCACTTTCCAAGAGCTTTTCAAATTCATCCAGCTGGGAACCATTGCCGAGTCCGTAAAAATGACAACCAGCTCCCCACTTCTCTAAAATCTTTAAAGTATCAACATAACAAAATCCAAAACAAACGCTTTTCCTAGTACCATCCAATACGTTTCTAAGAATGCGATGAGCATTGTATATAGAGCTCATGCCTGTAGGGAATAGGTATACATCTTCATGTGTCAAGCCTTGAATTTGCCGCAGTTCGCTTTCTTTTTCTCTTGGAAGCGACTTTTTCAAATCGACTTCATCTTCCAGTGTTCCAGCAATTCGCCTTCTTAGCACAATCTTAGCAGAAGTTGCCAAGCTTAAATCTAAGTTACGGCCATATCGCTCCTCTAAGTAACGATTAACATCAGTCATCTCAGCTTCATTTGACTGATTTTCACTACTCATCCAGTTTTGCAAAGCTTCCATATCCTGTGGTGAGGCATATCGACTTCTACTTTTGCTTTTAAGATGAGATAACGATTGTTTATATGATCCTTCTTTTGTAATGGTTTGAATCATTCGATAAGCATGCAAAAAGCAAACAGCTCTTCGGCTGGAGATACCTTCACCGGTATGTTGCCAAAATTGCTTAGCTACGCCAAACAGATCGGAAGGAAATAAAACGGCAAAGACGTCAGGGATAAGAATGTCTTTATTATGATGAGGATCTAAGGTCTTCAAATATAATTTCAAGGAATGAGAAGCATCAAATATATGAAGGGCCGATGGTTCTATATGAGCCTTTTCTGCAATAAATTTAACACATTGCTGACCAATTGCCTTAGACGGATAGAGCATTGTATCATAATTGTTTAAGCTTAACTTCTGAACCTCAGGCGACCTTTTAACTATGGCGGCACACTCTTTAATAAACGTATTTATAAAAAATCTAGGATAACCCGTCTGCATTTTTGTAATAACGCTAGGATCTCCTTCTTCATATCCAACATTAGCCTGCCATGTTGGTAAAGTTACAGAAATGGCATGGTCTGTGTCAGCAGGAATTGACGATCCAGTTTCGGTAGGAGGATTAACAAGATATGATAAGCTTAGACTCATAATTTCGAATTGCTTGTTTGACTACTACTTCTTTAATCAAGCAGACGTAAAGACTCAATTTCCTCTTCGAGTACCAAACTTCTGCTGTTTTATATGCAAAAAAGCTTGAGATTAGAAAACTTACAAATTTTGTAGTGGAGAGAATAATTCATCTTAGGAATTCTTATTATGACCAATTATGTAGTCTGCTAGAATATAGATGAACGGAGAGATAATAACAATAATATATATGACCTATTCACTTTTAGCGTAAATCGAGAATACAGTTGATAAAAATAAACTATAAGGTACCGAAATACTGCTTTACAGGAGGGAAGTAAGATTCTTATAATGTTACTATACGTTTTAATATTTTATACACATTCCAACCCTATATTAAGCAAATTTTCTCTTGTAGTCAAACCTTCTCTTCGTTTTTGATTGTCCATTCTTCCTATATTTAGTCAAACTCAACAAAATTCTAGTGGTGGTGGTACAGTGGGAATTTTCCCCAAGGTAAATTCAGGTGCCTGAAATTGCTGAATAAATTCTGGCGGAAAATCAGAGGATATTACTGACACCTCTGCGTTTATCTTTGTAGGCTCAGACGTGTTTGAAGAAACCGGGGCAAAGCTCGAAGCAGGAGGCTGTTGTTGAAAACCGAATCCACTACTACCTTCAGGTTTGTTCATAATGTTAGTCGTTGCTCCTTGAGCTTGACCCGTGACCGGCTGAGAAAATCCAAATGGCTGATTCTGTCCCATACCAAAACCAGAAGGCGCAGCGTTTGGATTTTGAAACGATCCAAAAACGCTTGCTGGTGTTTGGTTTTGAGTTAGATTTTGAAATCCACTGGGTGCATTATTTTGCACTTGAGAATTTTGTAATGCCGGATTTGCTGGCTGTTGAAAAGCTGTTTGCCCAAATACCGGCGCAGAAGGAATACCAAACGGAGAAGGATTTACAGGATTTTTGGGTTGTTCAAAAGCCTTTGGTGCATCCATAGAGCTATTCGCTTGACCTTGGAAAGGATTAGATTGACCAAATAATGATTGAGCGAAGGCCGGCTGCTGATTACCAGAGAAGCCGCCAAACGAAGAAGGAGGTTGGTTTGCGAAACCACTAACACCAAATTGCGGATGAGTTGGTGCATTCTGAGAAAATCCACCACCAGAAAACGAAGTAGGCGCTGCTGGCGTATTATTACTGGATGCAAATGGTGAAGAACCGAGCTGGCTACCAAATGCAGATGTAGTAGGAGTCGCAGTTATACCACCGAACCCGCTACTTGCCGGTTGATTCTGCTGAAATCCAAATGCAGGAGCAGAACTAGGAAACTGACTTTTATTTTCTTTTGGAAATGCACCAAAAGAAGCATTTGTGTTTGACGAAAAGCTGTTTGTTGGAGTTGTGTCAAAGATGGATTTCACTCCCGTCTTGCCCACTAATCGGTTTCTCATTTCGTTTACAGCACCTTCACGATTTGTCAAAACGATCTTTTGCTTATTATTAATATCATTCATTAATTCTGTTTGACGTTGCTCATATTGAGGAATCGCATTGAGCGCTCGTGCTTGATAAAACCACCATCTCAGTTCCTCTGGAGAAACGTCTCCATTGTATAACGATGGGAAGAATTCTTTAAGCGCATATCCAGTTAGCGGCCAGGATGGCTTTTCTGCTTGCAAGTTTGTAGAAATGAAGCCAACAGTCCTACTTACTGGAAAATACCGATCCAATTCAGCTTTCTTCCAATGTTTGCTCTCAGCCCATTTAGCTTGTTTATGTTAATAAAAAAAATACGATATTACATTTTAATAACCAACATACGAGGGGCTGCATTTTCAGCACGAAAAATATACGAATTTGAACCAGGCTTTAAATGAGGATAAACGTGCTCGAATCTACAATTAGTGCCGTTCCGGCAACGATCTTTTTTTGTTAGCAAGATAAATTAGGAAGAAACCCATACTTTCCAAAAAGAATTTGCAAACTGCCATTATCGCCAAATTATGCCAATAAAACACCGAAATTCTCTAAATCAACTCTTGCAAGAAATAGAAACGAAATAAATAAAAGAAAAACTCCGATTACGTTGTTTTTATTCAAAGTGCCACATCCAACACATCGCGTTCACAGTGTTGGTAGTCCGTGCATGAGGTAACCAACTTTCGAAATAATTGTAGTACAAGAAACTTGGCATAGGACTCGAGATTTTCGAGCACTAAGTTGTTGGTTTTGAAGGCCCTTGAAATAGAACATAATCTAAAATATTTTCTATCCAGGATTTATATGACAGATTTTCCTTGCGCCAGATCCTTGAAATCAAAGCTCTGATAAATTGCGTTGTAATTTCCTTTTCTTCCAGGTATGCTAATAGGGAAGTTTTTAATGGTTCAGGAAGCTTATTTGCTCTGCGTCCACGATACTTAGGACTCTTTCTCAATGCTTGAGCAAGATCGGTGAAAGCAACTGGCGAGTCCTTATTCTGATCAAACATAAGACTGTTAAAGAGGATTTGATCTTTGTTAAGAAGCAGTGAACAGAGCATGGTTCCCTCCTTCTATATTTTTCTTGTTAGTAAGGAACAAATACATAGAAGATTTCATTGAGTAAAGCCGGCACATACTTTCGTTATCTGTACATAAGTAGGAATAGAATGCTGAAAGTAACTTAACTCATCAGATTCATCATTTTTTCCTTCGCCTTCGCTGTTATGCATCACATTATTCCTGTCTGTATAAAGTGCCCTTGAGCTGTAAACAGGAACTGTGACTCGTATCCTGAAAGTTCTAGTTAGTGACAAATTTATTTCCTCAAATAGTATAGATATTTTCATAATCAGTATTACAAATAGGAGTATGATATATATTTACCTTTCATTCTCCAGTTCCCTAGTAGCGGCGATGTAATTTCGAGTAGGATCTTCATGAATTGTAAATGAACGTAAAGCATCTTCATATTCTTTTTTTGGCTTTGTCTCTCCTAAAACCTGGTTCACGAAGCCTAACTCCGAATCCAACTTGAGTGCAAGTTGTTCCATCAAAATACCACTAGTAAACCTTCGTTTCGGTCTTAACAATGTAAAGTAAGAAAAACCTCTATTTGTAAAGAGCATTCCATGCCTGCATATTTGTACACGAGTTGTCAATAACGCCTGTCTTAACATCCTTCAATTCCTAAATGGTAGACGTATGACAAGTGGATGCATGAGCTAGTTTAGTTTATAGTACACTAAAACAAGTATAAATTAAGGGCAATCAACATCATACGAAAAAAAATTATACTTATATTAGTTCAATTCATTAACAAAAAGATTAATACCTTTGACTGAAGGCTCACACTACTTTGTCATAGTCGAATGCTAGCATACAAAGCAGAACCGCAGCAAGCCCACGATCAATTAATGAAGTAATACTAAAAGCAAGATTGCACAAAGAAAAAAAAACATTTATTGAATTACTGAGGCTAATGCCAATCGTATCGCGATGAAAATGAATCTCACACAATTCGATAGTCATGAAGCTAAATGTAAAAGAACTCAGGCAAAAAACGATAAGGTTGCTTAAATTATACTTAAAAGGAAGAAGTAGTATAAGGTAAAAACTTTTCAAAATTGCTGACAACTTAGTAATATGTCAATGGATAAGGAATACTATACTGTCCAGGTACTCCATACGGAGTTGGATACCAAACACCAGGAATTTGTTTTGAAAACTGCGGATGGGAATAGCTAGAGGATACCGCAGGATCGGGTTGCTTCATGTTGTAGACAGGATAATAGGTAGACGACTGGTAATTTTGCTCTTTTGCTTTTTCAGAATAAAGAGATGCAGGATTCTGAAAATGCTTTTGGTTATCCCCAGTGAACTTCGCACCTGTAGTTTTTGACCGAAATGTATTTCGCTTGTTTTGGATGCTCCGGTTCTGCATATACTCCTCATGAGCTTTTACAGCAACTAATTAATGTTAATTTTCTTTATTCAAATTAATGAATAGCATATTTAGTCTTACGTTTATGTTTCCATTTCATTACAGGAGCATAGAACCCAGATTCATTTATAATATGCCTCGACAGTGAGCCGGCTAATGGTCAATTGGTTAACAGCTTTCAGAAAAATAAACCATACCACAAGATGACCTTTCCATTGAAGATTTATGGTCATAAAGATACCACGGTAGAATAACCAAAATGTAAAACCTCTAAAATAAATATACTTTATTAGCTTCCCTCGTATCAATTTGAGAAGAAAGATAATTATAGATACTTGGTTTTTATTTCGCAAAATTGGTATGAGACTTCAAGTCTTTTATATTGCTTCCATGGTTGTTTGTTTACATATACTTGTCCACACTACAGACCCATAAACAAAAAGCAGTAAGACACAAAACAAACAAGAATGGATTTCAATATAATGGGATAGAATCAATCTCTTCGTAGTACATATCTCCAGGCGGACCGACGGCGCCAGTTTTCATAATACACAATTTTGTTAAGTTGATATTTTGTGCCCAACAATAATCTGAAAACTTCTCGATTATTGGTTCTGCGTCAAAGTATTTCAAGCGCTTTTTTCCTCGTTTCATGTACCTTGCATTTAACAGTGTGCAATGTAATGTCAAGGGACGATTGTCTTTTATGATAATGTCTGCATCTTCAAAGGATGATCGAAGATATTCGCAAAATCTTTGAACGGACACTTTTCCAGGTTGCTCTTGAGGTACAGCGTACAAAACCCGAGCTTCATTTGCTGATTTACCAAAGTAAGAGGTTCCTTGTAAATCGATTTTTAGCAGTTCGTTTCCATAAGCCTTTTGAAAACTTTGAGCATTCTTCCTTAAATGGTCTATAGAACAAAGCACATCGTCCTCTGACTTTACTGGAATCATTCCGATGGTCAGATGCGACACTCGAGGACCACGATAGCCCGTGCTTATTAACGAGTCCCCAAGGAAATTTCGAAATATCTCCAAAGAATCTCTTAGGAAGTACTCTGGAAGCGGAAGAGCAAGAAAAAGAAGGGTAGGATATCGAAAATTGATCATCGATACCGACTTTTTGGATCAATCGACTGTAAAACACGATTCTGTGGAAAATTGAGTAATATAATGATAAATATTGAAAGTAATCCTATACAAAAAAGATATTCTATTTTCAGTGGTTATTGTATTCCTAGTTCGTTGGAAACACCAGTCTTGCGAAACTTCAAAACTGAGCATTTCAACTTATGAATGACTTTCAGAGTAATTTTCATTAATATAATACCAAAAAAAGAATTCTGTAATCGACATACCCCTCGGTTGAAAAATGACAACTTTTCTTTCAATTTATTATCTCTTGCACATAGCAATTAATAGGTCCACACTGCATACTGTCAGCACCTGAACAAGTTACCACAACACCAAGCTGGTGTTAGCGAAAAATCTGGGTAAATGTTTTAATTTTCTGTAGATTTTTAATAATTACTACTTCATTAAAAATTTTGTCTTTTTTGGAAACGAAAAAAAGGCTTGAAACGAGGAAAAAGGTCAAGGAACGAAGAAAGTGAGAAATAATTACATATCGACTTATTCGTATGGAAATCATCAAAAATCACTATGGCGCAACCTACCTCGTATAATTCTAATAATTCTACCTCAGATTTGAATAAAATCGTCCTGGATTACCTTTACAGAAAAGGGTATTCTAGGACAGAGGCGATGCTAAGGTTGGAAATCTCCAGTGTAGGTGCAATTCCAGAAGAACAACAAGATTGGCACGTTGGTGCTCCAGAAACTTATATCCAGGTATACATTCTTCTCCGAGACTGGATTGATGGGACTCTAGATCTTTACAAACCTAAACTACAGAAAACGCTTTATCCAGTGTTTGTTCACTCTTATCTAGATCTACTTCAAAAGAAAGAAAAAGAAATGGCAGCATTCTTTTTTGACTCTTTCCGTGGAGAACATGAAGTTCTTCGTGGTCATGACATTCGTTTACTGGATGAACTGAAGACAAGTTCCGATGCGGATGAAAGCGAAATTTCCCAATTGTACAGAAAGAATAAATATAGAATTAATTTAACGAAAGCAACGTTTGACTTGTTGGTTCAGTTTCTTTTTGACAACGAGGCTAATGGAAGTGGAATTATAATTCGTCTGTTGAACCAGTATATTGATATTAAGATTTTATATGCTAAAGCAAATGAACCTTTAAAGATTGACGATCAGACCATGCTCGAGCTGAATGCCGATCAGAAAAACATAGATGTTGCGGAGCAACCTGAAGGAATTCCCGGTCATTCAGAACAACTTTTCGACTATAATAAGCAAAAAATCTATCTTGGAAAGAGAAAAATACCTGTAGATGTACTTCCTGATTTCAAAGCAGTACTAGAAGAGCGAGATAAAGGTCTTCAGGAAAAGCCGTTTCTAGGTGCTACCCATCCATCATTAACTTTAGAAGAATTATTTGAGAAAGAACAGAGGAGTATTGGTGAAAATATCGATGATTTACCACCTGACATTCCTTTGCCCTCTTTACGCATGAAAGACATCGAAGCGTATGTTGCTTCCTTAGACAATCGGCGTAACGCGCTTCATCTAGGAAGGGATGGGACTCCTCCTAGTGTTTTCATGTATACTATGCATAATACTTATTCGTCTTTAAACTGTGCAAAGTTTTCTCACGACGCTTCCATGTTCGCAACAGGGTATGCAGATTCCTCAGTGCAACTACAGATGTCCAAAAATTCAGGTCCTCAAGGTAAGCCTTTTCCTTAGTTTTTGTTTCGATTATAAATAATGCTAACTCCATATAGCTTTAGTAGGCAACCAAAACGAACCCTTAGACACAATAAAATTCATAGGGCATACGAGACCAGTATTCGGTGTTAGTATCTCTCCAGACAATGAATATGTTCTTTCATGTTCGGAAGATGGTTTTACGCGGCTTTGGAGCAAAGAAACCCAAACCACCCTTGTCAAATATGCAGGGCATAATGCACCAGTCTGGGACGTTTGTTTTTCTCCATATGGATATTACTATGCTAGTGCATCTCATGATCAGACTGTCCGCTTATGGAGTCTTGAGCATACTGCTCCTCTTCGAATTTTTGTTGGTCATCAAAACGACGTTGATGTATGTACTAATATATTACTACTTATTTAATTGCTAACATTTACCATAGTGTCTCGCCTTTCACGAAAATGCGAACTACATTGCTACGGGATCTAGCGATCATACTTGCAGGTTTTGGGATATTCGTACCGGTAACACTGTACGAGTTTTCACAGGCCAAAATTCTTCTGTGTCGTCCATAGCATTATCACCCGATGGATTATTAATGGCATCTGCAGACGATACTGGGTGTGTCCATTTATGGGACTTGCGGACTGGCTCCAAATTACAGATGTTTGAGAAACATCAGAGCCCAGTCTACTCCCTTACATTTTCGCATGACAATAGAACTTTGGCAACTGGCGGTGCAGATACTGATGTCAACGTTTGGGATATTAAGGGCTTAAATGGTAATGAAAGATTTGCTGAAGACTCTTTATTATACAATTTTAAAACGAAAGAAACGATTGTTTATGATTTACAATTCACTGAAAGGAATTACTGTTTGGGGTTAAGTGCTACTTGATTAGTGTTATGCTGTCTTTTTTTACTAAGAGGTTTAAATGTATACATAATAGGAATTCATGAAGCTATAATTAACCTGAACAATCAACAAACCCATTCATTTTCTTGTTAATAAGGATAAGGCATTCCTATCCGTAGAACCTGCCTAAAAAAATATATATTTCGTATATTAGAAAGTAGAAAAAGTTTTTCAATTTTGTCAAAGCAATGTTGACAGTGAGTTCTCTATATGAAGGCAATTCACATTATTCAAGACTTTTGATTTTATATAAATCAGTAAAGAAAAGTTAATTCGTTGATTGATTAGCTGAAGATGTATACTTCGGGAAGCAAGCAATTGACTGTTCAGTGAAGTCTTGATAGAAAGACTTCTCCTGATTATTACACATTCATATATATTTATAATACTTTAAATTTTAATATGTTACGGCAGGATCCTCCTCTGCCGTACAATCCTTGTATTTGAGTTGGGAAAACAACGAAAGTCGTATTGCTGTATACTTGTATTGGGCGCTGTTGTACTAACGAGTATAGACGCTAGTAATGTCCAATGATCTGGTTAACTAAATTGAAAGTAGGAAGACGATCTTATTTAGCCAAACCAGTCGAATCTTCCTATCTGGAGAATTCGACTGTGGATTCATAGTTTATATATCTTCGCTGAGACAACTAACGTATTCTATCTCTTTGTATAACAAACTTTTTTGTATATAAGACTTCCGTTCAGAAAGGCTTTCCGATTTGTTGAAATCGTATTTTCTTTGTTTTGTTTACCATTTGTAATATCTCATTCTTTAGTCTTATTGCATTTGCTAATATTTAGCAATATGCTCTTATGATAGTTTATTGTAATATATATAATATAAACAAGACACCTATCGTGACAGACTGACAGTGACACTGACATGATAAACGTTTATGTCATTAGCGCCGATCTAATCTTTTCGCGCACGTTATAACCATTTCTCGTTTACATTCTTTCTTTCACCACCATACCCTAAATTTTACTATTCTGTTCAAAGATGGTTGTTAAACTCGAGAAGCCCGAGCAATACAAAGAGTTCCTTGATAAATTCGATGTATTCTTATTTGACTGCGATGGTAAATTGTGTACAATTACATGCTTAATACTAATTTATAACAGGTGTCCTTTGGAGCGGTAAGGATCCACTACCAGGTGTTAAGAAGACAATGGAGCTACTACGCTCTTCAGGTACGAGAAAAATACGCATGCTGTATAGTAACCGTTCGTTAAAGGCAAACAAGTTTACTTTGTTTCCAACAACTCTACCAAGTCTAGAGAGGATTACATGAAGAAAATAAATGCGCACGAAATAGAAGCAAAGTTAGAGGAAATTTACCCAAGTGCTTATTCATCGGCCATTTATGTTAAGAAGGTTTTAAATCTCCCTGAGGATAAAAAGGTGTTCGTTCTTGGTGAAGGAGGTATAGAAGTTGAACTTGACCGCGTTGGTGTTAAACATATTGGTGGCACAGACGCTTCTTTAAGATGCGCTGTTACGTCTGAAGATTTGGATAACATACGCCCCGACCCTTCCGTTGGTGCTGTTTTGTGTGGCATGGATAGACATGTGACCTATAAGAAATACTGCATGGCTTACCAATACTTGCAAGATCCTGACTGTGCTTTCCTCTTAACGAATCAAGATTCCACATTCCCTACAAACGGTACCTTTTTCCCGGGATCCGGTTCTGTTTCTTATCCGTTGATTTTCTCCACTGGTCGTACTCCCAAAGTACTGGGAAAACCCAATGACGAGATGATGGAGGCTATTGTTGCCAGCGTTCATTTTGATCGCAAAAAAGCTTGTTTCGTTGGTGATCGCCTAAATACTGACATTGAGTTTGCTAAGAACTCTGGTTTAGGTGGTTCTCTTTTGGTTCTCACTGGTGTGAGCAAGGAAAACGAAATTTATGAAAAGGATGCCCCTGTCGTGCCTGATTATTATATTAACTCCCTTGGCGACTTGGCTAATGTAGCTTAGCTGAACCTTTTATAGAGCTTTTTCATGACTAAATTTTGATTTTTTTTTGGAAAATTTACTACTGTTTTAATTCACTAAGCATCTTCAAACAATATGTTTTGTTTATAAAGAGCGTATAGTTCATTTGCAAAGTATTTCATTAAGTATATTTAACGATGCATATAGCGATAAGTAGCGTATTCATCCATAGGTAAAAAGTTCACACCTTCTATGAAATATTTGCTAGTTTGTGCATATTATAGAAAGTGAGCGTTGAAATCGGCATTCTAATGAAGTAGTATGCAGGAAACGCTGGGAAACTTTGAAGATCAAAAGGTAATGGCGCAAATAACTCCTGTAGAGCGGATTGACCACGATAAGTTTGGAAGCAACGAGGAAAACGAGCTTAGTTGGGAAGACAGACACTACATACCGAGGAGAACAGATGAGCGGTTCGGCTCTGAGGGCCGTCGGGCCACTGCTGCAGAGGTGGACCCAAAGGCAGCTCTTCAAAAATTGATGAATACCCGTTCAGGTGGAACTTACGTGCCTCCTGCAAAATTAAGAGCTCTTCAGGCTCAAATTACTGATAAAAATTCACAAGAATACCAAAGGTTACAATGGGAGGGCTTGAAAAAGTCGATTAATGGGCTTGTTAACAAAGTGAACAAATCTAATATTAAGGAGATTATTCCCGATTTATTCCAAGTAAACTTAATCAGAGGACGTGCTCTGTATTGCCGAAGTATAATGAAAGCGCAGGCTGCTTCGCTCCCGTTTACTCCAGTCTATGCTACAATGACAGCTGTAATTAATACGAAACTTCCGCAAGTTGGAGAGTTATTGCTAACACGTCTTATAATTCAATTTCGCAAGTCATTCCGTAGAAACGATAAAACGATGTGCATAAGCTCAACTACCTTTATTGCTCATCTAATCAACCACAAGTTAGCTCACGAAATTGTTGGCTTACAGATTCTTGCCGTTCTCCTAGAAAGACCCACGGGTGATTCAATTGAAGTGGCGGCCGGTTTTCTTCGCGAAGTTGGTGCTTACCTCTCCGATATTTCATCTAGAGCGTTCAATGGCATATTTGAAAGGCTTCGTACGATATTACATGAAAATCAACTTGAACCTCGTGTTCAATTCATTATTGAGGTACTATTTCAGGCACGAAAAGAAAAATTTAAAAATAATCCTACTATACCTAGTGAGCTTGATTTAGTTGAAGAGGAGGATCAGATTACTCATTTCATTAGCTTGGATGACGAATTGGATGTGCAGGAATCCTTAGGAATCTTCCATTTCGATCCTGATTATGAAGAAAATGAGTCAAGATACGGCTTTATAAAGCGTGAGATTTTGGGAGAGGATGAAGAATCTGAGGAAGAAGTAGGTAGCGATGAAGAATCTGCGGATGAAGTAGGTAGCGATGAAGAATCTGAGGATGAAGAACCTGCTGGACAGGTACAGCCTAAAATTGTCGACCAAACGAATACGAATATCGTTAATTTAAGGAAATCTATTTATCTCACAATCATGTCTTCAGTCGACTTTGAAGAATGTTGTCATAAACTATTAAAAGTACAATTACCGGAAGGTCAGGAAATTGAGATGTGCAACATGATTATTGAATGCAATAGTCAAGAGAGAACTTACGAAAAATTTTATGGTTTGATTGGTGAGCGTTTCTGCAAGCTTAATCGAACGTGGCGCACAACCTTCGAACAAACTTTTAAAAATTATTATACCACCATCCACAGATATGAGACAAATCGATTACGGAATATCGCTTTGTTTTTCGGAAATCTTTTAAGTACCAATTCCATACCATGGTCTGTGTTCGAATGTGTTCGATTAACTGAAGACGACACCACCGCATCGTCACGTATCTTTTTAAAAATCTTATTCCAAGAATTGCAGGAAGCAATCGGTCTAAAAACATTGATAAACAGATTTCATGATCCAGAATTGGTCCCCTATCTTCATGGAATGTTTCCTACAGATGAAGCTCGCAATGTTCGATTCTCTATTAATTATTTCACTTCTATTGGTTTAGGAACTTTAACTGAAGAAATGAGAGAATATTTGTTGACAATGCCTGTGCCGAAACCCGATGATGTATCCGACGCTGAAAGCTATACGTCTGGGTCTTCGTATTCACGTTCTCGCTCACCGTATTCATCAGATTATTCTCGTAGCAGATCTCCTTCTCGCTCTATTAGCCCGTCGAGATCTAGGAGTCGGTCATATTCTGTTTCTGATGCCGAGAGAAGTCTTAGTAGAACACGACTTCGAGAAGGTGATTCCGACCGTGGTAGAAGTGGATATCCTCACCCAGATAGAAGCCGTTCTTACTCAAAATCTTCATATTCCAGTAACGGAGATTCGAGGTCTAGATCACGAAGCCGATCACATTCTTACGATTCTAGGCGACAAAGATCGCGTTCCCCGACACCTGTAGGAAGGAGGTCACCTTACTCAACATACCGACCATCGGATCGTTATAGAGGTCGTGCTCGTAGAAGATCAATGTCTAGGTCAATGAGTCCAATTAGTGAACGAAGCTACTCACGTTCATTAAGCCGAGGAAGGTCTTATTCTCGATCGGTCTCTCCCCGTAGAGATAAATATTCTTCGCATCGCAGGTATCGTTCGCGGTCTATTTCTTATTCTCCTTCGCCTCCTAGATATACACGACGTCGTTCATTTTCACCTTCTCCTAATCGAAGAACGAAAAGAGTCAGAGAATTGGATTACAATCGAAGGTCTATCCCCGGGGTAAATGAGAGAAGTAGATCACCTTCGCCATTTACATTGCGGAAGATGAAGACTTATGAGTTTCAAAATGAAAAAAATACTACGAAACGCCGAATGGAAAGACCTCCAAAGAGCGACAATAGTCAACTGGAAGCTCCTTGGTTACAACATTCAGTTGATGATAACAGGCACAAATAGAGAAAAACATCTATGTAAATAATGAAGATACTTTAATTATATTAGATAGGGAGTCGTTTCAATACATGTTTGAGAAGTTTTTTGATACTCGTACAATAAATCACATACCATCCTTATTTGCATGTTATTAATAACCTAACAATCGTATCTATGAAATAAGAGAAAAAACGGAAAAAGAATTATGAAAAAAAGAGCGAAATCAAATAATTAAACAAGCCCAATTCTAAATAAGTAATATTGTGGCCACCTTATAATAGTACATTCATGGTGCCATTGAACTTCACCAAAGCCTATAACAATATACTAAAAGTATCCGCTATATACTGCTAAAAGGGAGTATTTTTGGTGAATAAATTATGGGTTTATAATTTTTTTTATTCCTTCTAACCGCAGTTTTCGAAATATTTAACCAAAGAACCTGGACTTAGAAAAGGTACACGTAACGGTGGACTTGGGAAGTTTGATTTTGGTTTATTTTGTTTAACCTAATTTAAAAGTTGAATAATTATACCAAGTTAATGCACAATGGAGAAAAAAGATAACCTCAAAGAGGTGACTACGCAGAATCAAGTTGTTCCCATATTTCAAAAAAAGAGGAAAGGTCGGGATAGAGAAGGTCTAAAGAGAAAAAAACCAAATGCTGAAAATGATTCCTTAAATAAGGAAGATGATTTAGATGAAGATGAATTAGATGACGCTCGGTCAACGAGGGACTATCTGCTTTCACAACAGAAAAAGCATACAAGAACGGCCCCTGATGCATCCTTAGATCTTCACAAAAAGAAGGTGGATCCTAGTTCTTCGATATCAAAAGAGATAAATGTAGAATACTCTGCGAACTTGAATATTCGTGGCGATGAGATGAATACATCCACAGTTAGTATCCCCAACGAATCGTTGAATGAAGACAATGTTCGTTCCAAGGATCAAGGACCATTACCATCAGAATTGTTTCAATCGCAAAACGAATATTCAAAGTTCTTACCTAAAAAAGAACCGATAAGCAAAAAAGCCCAAGCTGGACCAGTTCGCCCTTCGCCATCATCGGCTGCAATCCGTACAATCACAGTAATAGATTATCAACCCGACGTCTGTAAAGACTACAAGTTAACGGGATTTTGCGGCTATGGTGATACTTGTAAGTTTCTTCACATGAGAGAAGACTACAAAGCTGGTTGGCAATTAGACCGGGAATGGGATGAAGCGCAAGCTAAATTCCGTAAAGGTATCAAAACTGTGGATGGCGTTCCGCAAAATGAAAAAGAAGAAGAAATCCCGTTTGTATGCTTGATATGCAAGAAAGATTATAAAAACCCAATTGTAACGGTTTGTAAACATCATTTTTGTGAGAATTGTGCCGTGGAACGGTACAGAAAGACTCCTACGTGTTTACAATGCGGTGCAGATACCAAAGGATTATTTTCTATTGATAAGCAAATGAATTTGCTTTTAAAAAAAAGAAAGCATACAGAAAACGATGGGACTCAAAAGAAAGAAGTCAGTAGGTTTGAACCGATTTCAAAGGAAGACATGGTTGACAACAATGATGTGCCTCAACGAAAGCAAGATGAAGGCTTCGGACAGCCATATTCTTCAGATACTACTACTTTTGGTTCCGTAGCATCTAATTCTAATAAACCAATTTCAAGGTATTCACTCGGTGATTTAACAAATGAAAACATCAACTCTTTTAAACGACTGAATCAAGTCGTTTTGAGTATAAATTATAGCGAAGCATTTTATAAAAACATTCTAAAAAATAATGAACTTTCGCGTGTGGCTCTGTTTAACAATAATATCGTAGGAGGCGTGAGTTGCATCAAAACAAAAGACGAAAAACTCTACATAGCTACGTTTTCAGTCCTAGCCCCTTACAGACATTTAGGAATTGGTTCCTTACTTTTGGATTTCGTAAAACTTTCGGCTCAAAAGCTGGCTCTCAATACAATCACTTTGCACGTTCAATGTTCTAATGACGACAGTGTTAGTTGGTATACTCGTCGTGGTTTTCATATAATTGAGCGTGTGCCTAATCTTTATAAGCGCCTTACTGATGGAGATGCCTTCCTTATGAGACATGATCTAGATACTCAAACAACATAATTAGTGTAATAGCTTGTTATAATATATCATATTGATTATTATTCACCAGAGATTTCAAAATCAATATTTCCCCTTCTGTATATTATGTAACCCATGGATAGTTTCTACAAAAACGCTAGTCAATTGTCATTAAATTTTTTCATTTACTTTAATTCTATATCTATTTCCTTATGCTTATAAAAATGAGCAAACGAAGGCATCAAATGTCGTTAGCACCCTCAGAAGATCGAGAATCATGATCGCTGAATCGACTATCGTCTTCGTCTTGATTTACTGAGCTAGAAACATCATTTTTCTGATCGTCAACACGCTTTTCGGTATCAGAATTCTCTAATGCCGGTTTTGGTTCAACTAAGGGAGCAACTTCTTGAAAGCTTTTCAGTAGCTTTCTCCTTGCTCCAAGAGCATTAATTCCTCTGCTTTGTAGATCTTCGTCTGTTAAGGATACCAAACCCTTCCAATCGGTGTCTTTCAAATTATTAGTATATTTATGTAAACGGAGACTTCTGAGCCAGCTCGGAATATCCTGTGGAAGTTCATTAGTAGACAGTTTTTCGGTACTCTTTGAATTAGAAAAAGATTTTCTGGTTTTGATAGAGACTTTCGGCGTTTTGACATAATTAGTGAAGCTTTGTGATGTTCCGGACATGGCATCACCAGTTTCAGGGTCATTATAAGAAGAGTATGCATAAGGCATAGGACACATATGCATGCCCACAGGTGTTGAAAAATTTGAATTATCCATATTTGCAGAATACGTAGAATTTGCAGTCGGTGTTAACTGAGGGTAAGGAGTATTAACGTCTTGAAGAAGTGGAGAATGCAAGAAAGCGGGAGAGTTCCAGTTGTTTAACCAAAATCCGTTTCTTCTATATGGACGCTCACTCTCAACTCCGGGGTTATAGGATAAAGAAGTAAAGGGGACAGGCGTTATTGTATGAGGAAGATCGTTAACATAGGTCTGTTTATTTAAGGGGGTACTTGGTTGCGCATTAGGATTCTCCAATCGAGTACTACTGCGGGAAGAAGCTTCTGGTGCACCAGGGACGTGGGAAAAACGCAAAGAAGAGGAAAACAAAGGCTTTCCCTCAGTACCAGAAGGACGTGTTTCCAGCCGAGAACGGGGTCCTATCTGGCTAGAACGGTACAAAAGATGGGATTTTTCAGGAATCGAACGTTGATTCGTATTCCCAGTAAGAAGATCAGGAGGAGGTGGAGGAGGTGGAGGGGAATAGGTGTAATTCTGCCAACGCCCGCGAGGAGATAAATCTTCGTTTAGATGTGGAGAAATACCTAAGGGAAAGAACGGGGCAGGAGGAGCTGAGAAAGCAGATCTATCATGAGAATCCCAAATATTAGCGGTCGGTGTTTCAAAGAAGGATGACGAAGGTTTTGAAGGAGTTCCACTAGGTGCAAATGACGCCTTTTTCGATGCACCTGAAAACAATTCAGAATTGGTTTGCTTTTGGAAAGCTTTGTTTGTTAAAGAGCCTGCTTTAGGTGTTCCATTGTTAGCGATGGTACTGTGATTGTTTTTAGGGCTTGTTGAGATAGGAGAAGCAGAAGGATTAATGGAAGAATATGCAATAGCTTTAGAGAGACGGTTTTTTGTTAGTAGGTCGCGATCCTGCGCGAAGTAACTTGAAGAGGTTGATGAAGTCCTTGCAGCTAAAGGAGATGCAGAGGAGAGAGCGGCAGATAAAGGATGTTGCTTGTTTGAGAAAGAACTGTTTTGGGTATGGTTAGAAGATGCCGAAGGTTGCTTAATTGGTGTTTTTGAAGTTGGCGTTAATGATGCAAGAGAGTCCGATAACGGAGGAGCCTCTGCATCAACGGAAGAAGGAGAGGAAGAAGAGGAACCAACTGGTTTATTATTCGACAACGACGTATGAGAAGGAGATGAAGAAAAAGAATGAGAAAATAGCTTAGCAGCATCTTTAACGGGATAGCTTTGTAAGAGCTTTTTTAGGACTAGTTCACGATCAGACATTGAAAGGCTTTGAAACCACTGATTAATGCTGTGTAATTCGGATGAGAAGTTTTGCTGTCCTTCAGCTGGTGAATGTTCTTGATGAAGATCTTTTTTATAATTCTCCGTAGCTATATGAGCATCATCAATAACCACCTCATCTGGAAGTCTTTGTTTACCATAAATGGATTCATCTAAGAGCTTCACCGGGGTTGATGTCCTTGGTGACTGAATCGTCGGTGAGCTATCAGACAAATCACAGACATCCAAGGCATTTGCTGAAGAGAATAAAGAAGAGTCGACCATATCTTCGGAACAGATACTAGAGTTCACGTCAGAAAGCTTGGTTTGTGATGGTCCATCAAGAACACGACCAGCTTCTCGTCCTCGTTTAAAAACTTCCATTGAAGTCTAGGCACTATTGAGCTGAGCCTGCAAAATAGAAAAGGAAAATAATGAAAACTAACCAAAGCTATTCTTAGGCCTTCCTTCAACCCCCGAATCACTCAATGCTAGATTCCTTCCTTGCACCCAACGAAACTCGATAACAGACCTTCCCAGTAGAAAAGATTGACGAAAAAAGAACGTGCCGAAAGAATAATACAAACGACCAGCGTCAGATATTGAAATTTTATTTTTAGCGACGATACCAGTTGGCAGAGGGAGGAAGTTAGACCGGTAAGCATTCAACACCTGCAGTTAGTTTAGCGAAATGTAAGCCAGCTTTTCCAAGAATATGGAATTATCTGTGGAAATGTAGGTCTTTGTTCTTTTCTTTCTCTTTTCTGTTTATAAAAAATATATTTCTATTTCTAATTGTGTAAGTAAACTTATTTTTTCTGAAAAAAAACTGAATAAGAGCGATGACAAACATTCAATGCAAGTGTCTATAAAGGTATAGAATATACCATTCCATCTATATACTTGAAAGAAAGGTTCCATACTCTATGGACAGGTGAAATGAAGCTAAGAGTCAGATTAAAGATGGAAATTTCAAGACCGTATAATATCTCGTCTATTGTAGACAGAAAGAAATCATTCATTCTTTGAGTATGTAACTTGTCAATAAGTTTCTATGCGTACATGGCATTGGGAAATGCTTTATGTTGAGAAAAGTTCAAGCGATTGTTAAGCAGGGTTTCGTGGGTCTACATAAGATGGCTGAATGCGTGTTAACGAATGGAATAGTTAGAAGAAAGAATTACTCATAACTTTGTATTTTTATATATTTGATATGCTACCGTGATGGCCAAAAACTTCAGCTTTATGTTATCCACAGTCGCATGGGTTTCCGTGTCTTCAAATCTATGGCGGAGATCGAATTCGGTAGAGAATTTGATATTAAACATAAGACAAAAAAGTACTCCTGTATTGCCCTTGAATAGGTTGTTCTTTGACTAGCTAAAATGCCATAGTCGAATTCAGATCTATCCTGCAAGGAATACCAACTTTTGGGAAAAGGGTCGCTAAATGAGCAATAAAATATTAACAGGTGTTTTCGGAAGTTTTAGAGAATAAATGGTATCAACTGTTTACAGCTTTCACAATGACTGTAGCTCTTTTGTGAATGGTCCTTGCTGCTTCATTTCAGTGTATGACCACAAAGTACATGGATCATCTACTGTCATTTTGAAAGAAAAAAATAAGATTTTATAAAATAGAACAATTATATTCCTAAAAAAAATCCGCAAACCCAGCTTGTTCCACTGCTGTTTCATCCACATGATGCTTCTTGGAATTTCTTTTTACAAAATTAAAGGAAAAAATAAAAGTACAAGGAACTTAATTAAAGTATTTTCTTCAACTTTATTTTTCATTAGGATAGCTACCGGTTGTTGGTGGGGTCCGTCAAACAACTTCCCTTCTACCAAACACTCTCAGTATGCTACCTTTCATGAACGCTTTCCGTCGGGTTCCTTTGTCTCCAAGTCTTTCCAAATTTGTTACAATTCCTCGTCGAGGATATGCTCAGGCTGTTCAGAAAAACGAGAAGTTGCTTCTTTCTTTGGCTTTGCCATACCGAACCGTCTATGACAAATTCCCTGTAAACCAGGTCGATCTTCCCACTGAGGATGGTGAGATGGGTATCTTGAAAGATCACGTACCCATGGTTCAATGCTTGCGTCCTGGTGTTGTCTCTATAACCGATGAATCCAGCGCTGTTTCCAAATACTTCGTCTCTGGTGGGTTTGCTGTCCAACAACCCTCGAATGAGCTTTCTGTGACCGCCCCTGAAGCTTTCAAGTTGGAGGAGTTCTCTTCTTCTGTCGTTTCTGAATTGCTCGACAAGTATAGAGCTGATGCTGCCTCCTCGGATGAAAAGGTTGCTGCAGAAGCTTCAGTTCGCGTAGGCGTTTTGGAGGCTCTTTCCAGTGCTTTAAAATAAGTTCCTACTTATGGATAAGCTTCTCTTAAGTCTTCGCTTTTGTAAGAAAAACAAGTAAGCACAGGAACCCTTGATAATCGTGTCGTTTGATTGGTAAGAGTTCTATTAAAAATCTCGTCTTTTGAGTAACGGCTTACAACTTTCTTCTATCTTTATTACTTCTCTAACTAGCTCCCTTCTCATTGATTATGACTTATAGTCTATGAATAATAACTCAATTCTTAGGTTTTTCACTTTAGCAGTCGAAGGCTCCGTTATGCCTTGATATTTTTTAAGTAGTATCGAATGTTGCTTCTACATGCAAACTTTTTCCTGTTTATATTTGTATTTTTTTATCTTTTTATTTATCTAATTTAGAGACAAAAACAAGAAAACCAGAATTCAAATTTCTTTCATATTTGTTTGTATTTACTACCAAGCTAGTGTCCTTTAATGTTCCAATACAGTATTGTTTTATAAAGGATTATAACATAGCTTTCTTATCTTTGATACAGAATTTTCTGTGTATAGATCCTTATTATTTAGCCAAAACAAACTTGTACAATCATTCATTGTATTTGTTTACAAAGGCATAAACAGATGGACTATTGTCCTCAGACCTATTATCGTTAAAATTGAATGGAAACATATCTTGAGATCTTCGTTTATTATCATTTATTTCCTCTACTTGGAATCGCGCTTGTGCTTCGACCGAGCTGGTTGTTTAAAAAATGGAGGCAGCAATGGCTTACATGTATGTACCTTTCTCTTTACTATACCGCTATTGTATCTTTCTTTTTTCATTTACAGTTGATATCAATCGTACCTCGAAAAACAATATTTACGATTGCTCAAGTACCTGTGGAAGAATACCTTAGTCAGTTCGGACACTTGTTGTTCACTTCATCTGTCTACGTTTTTATGAAAAGGAGAAACTATTATGTTCCACAAAAGTTTGCTTCCGGTACATGGCATGTTTATTTGACTATTGGACTGGCAAGTGCTGCCGTATGTGTTTCAGCAATGGATCGTTCGGTCCTGCCGTGGGGAAGTATTATATTTTTTATGTGCTCTTTACTTGCTTTCCTTCTTTGTTTCCGTATTACTGTTCCTAGAATTGCTGCATTCAAATGTATTAGTTTATGCTCAGCGTATGCTGTATTTGTACAAATGCAAAAATCAAAGTCTATACTTATATCAAGCCCTTCTCTCAACACTAGCTCTAGTTATTTTCCTCTAGCTTGCTTTTCGGTGTATTTGGTTCAAGGCTTTTGTAGCATTACTGCGTTGGAAATTTCTGACAATTTGAAGCAAAACAAGGAACAGAAGCTTCTTTTAGGCTCCCATAAGGATTTATTTGATAGCATAAAAGACATTTGCAATGAGTTTTCCCTTGACTATGAATATGCTGCTTCTACCTATCTGGAACCCTTTATTCGATTACGATTGTCTTTTCTGTGTTCTTGGTTACTGAAATCCTTACATTGGAAATTATTGAAAGAAAATTCTAGCTTAAATGTTAGGAAGACAAAGTCGAAAGCAGAAGACAATGATCTAAAGAATTCACGTATATCCCGTGACACAGAAGCGAAGTTAATGAAAGGAGTGGCCTCTTTGAAGAGTTTGGATTATAAAAATGCTTCATCTTTTTTTGCAAGTGGGATTCTTGATTCTTTCCTTGAATGGTCCGATGCAGACATAACAGACGATGATAGAAAACGTTTACACTCCGTCGCCCACCGATGCGCACAACTACGTTCATTTCCTTCTCAGCATTCTGAAGAAATATTTGCTCCTTCTGAATTAAGTATATTAGATGCTTTATCGCCAGAAGTGAATGAGGCCCTGTTGCATTATATTTTCTCTCTGCAATCGACCGTTCGACTGTATCATGATAAACAATTTTTAAAGGATAGAATTATCCAAAACTTTCTTAAATCTTATTACTTCCATGTTTATTATCCATCTATGTCAGCCTGTCTTTTAATAGTTGGTTTTATTATACGGGTTATTCTCATCAACTACGGAAATTGGCATGATAGTAAATCTGCGCTTAAGTATACAGACGTTGATTATTTTGTCTTTACTGACGCAGCCAGGTATGTTTCTCTAGGTGAATCGCCCTATATGCGGGATACATATCGCTATACACCTCTTTTGGCAATTTTCTTGTTGCCAACTCAATTTGGCTTTCCATCTTGGGGAAAGTACATGTTTTCCATATGTGATATAGTTGCTGGTTGGATTATCATCAAAATTTTGAACCGTAAACTGTCTCTAGAAAAATCACTGCTATATGCTTCATTTTGGATCCTAAATCCACTTGTTGCCGTAATTAGCACAAGAGGAAATTGCGAGGCTATTTTAGGTGTCTTGAGTGTTGCACTCATTTTACTCTTAGAAAGAAAGCATGTATGGTTGACAAGTTTCTTACTTGGCTTCTCGGTACATTTCAAAATATATCCCTTTATCTATGGAATCGCGTTTTTATTCTACTATGCAGATACATCGAATAAAGGATCTCTTTGGAAAAGAGTCGCTTGTTCTGTTTCTGTTAATCAAATAAAGATATTATTTGGCTCTCTTCTGATATTCACCGTGTGTAACCTCTTCATGTACACCATTTATGGACGTCCATTTTTAGAGCATACTTATATATACCACCTTGGACGAACAGATCATAGGCATAATTTCTCAGCTCATCATTTAAGCCTTTATTTTGAGTCAGCCTCCAAGGAGAAACTTACATCATTCCTTGCCTTTTTTCCTCAGATTCTACTTTGTACTTTAATTGCTGCTGTTTATTCTAAAAAGACTTTTGCTGGTACGCTTTTCGCACAGACATTTGCATTTGTAACCTTCAACAAAGTTTGCACAAGTCAGGTACATTCATTTATGCTAAGTATTTAATCGATAGTGCTAACACGTTTTAGTATTTTCTGTGGTATCTAATATTTCTGCCATTAATTCTGCCAAACTCAAAACTTATTGGCAAGAAAGGTTTGATTTGTCTACTTCTGTGGATAGCTGGTCAGGCGGTCTGGCTTATAAACGCGTATCGTCTAGAAATTCTTGGAAATTCTGTATTTATTACATTATGGTTATCCGGTTTATTCTTCTTCACCGCGAATGTTTACATTCTGAAAACAATTTTAGAATGCGTATAAAGATTCATGATAGTTTAATAGTCTATAATTTAAACTTATTTTATGTCGTTTTATGATTAAGTGCTTATGTCTTCTTTTGCTACAAAGTTAAGGCGACACTTTCATTCAGACAGTTTTATGCAATGTAAACGACCCTTTCATACAAAAAATGGCTACAAGTGTATTTTGCGATTCCACTAATTTGAAGGAATCAATTCAGTATGTTAATTACAGTTTAAGAGAAAAAGGCTTTCTGCAAAAGGAAAAAATACGGTTTTCAGACGATGTGAAAGACAAATGTCAAGTCGTAAATGTTTTGTATCAACTACTAAGGAAAAACGATGCTGATGTTCAAGAAAAGGAAAAGCTATTAGAAAGGATTCAAACTGATTCTATTGAACATGAAAGGAATGTAGAATTGTCAAAACGGTTGCAGCGAAATTTGGACACAAGTTTAAAGGAAAAACGAGCCCAAGAGGATAAAACCAGCATGTTGGAAAAGGAGAATAAATTTTTGAAAAGAGAGAATAAACATATAATGAATTCTCTGGATAAAAAGAACCAGATTGAAAAGGCTATGAAAGCAGAATTGTCAATGTCACTAAAGAAACGGGAGCAGCAGATGGAATCATTGCGAGGAAATTATGATTCAGTCAAACGACGGAAAGGAAATACCTCATATTGTACTTTGATTATCAAGGAGCCCCAAAAATCGCATGCAAACGCACCTATTTTACCAGAAACGTATTCTACTGAAGAAAATGAAATGCACAAAATTACAGCTAATGAAGATTACGAAGGAGCATCTATGTTTTTCCAAAATACAAAGAATCAAAATCAAAAGCTACAAAGGTGCTTAAACGATACAGTTTCATCATTAGAAACCTTACTTCGTCCGCTTTATCAAACGTATCCAGACCCATTTATTAAATACTATGAACAAAATGCAGTCGTTTTAGACGCGAAGTTGCAGAACCAGATACGTCTTGTCGAATATCTGTTATGTCAGGAAAGATATGTGTCCGTGGAGGATCTGGAATCATTAACGGATGAGTTAGAGAAGGTTTTGAAGTATACAAAAAAGCTTGAGGAAGAAAATAAGAATCTTGTGGATGGCCTAGCTCGGGGTTATGTGCTTTTTTCTGACCAACTGAATGTTAAGCAATCGATAAACTAAAAACGAGAAGCCATTTCATCTGGATAGATGACCCAACTCGAAAATTACTAATAATTAATTTTCATGGAATTACTCCGAATAATCGAAATATGTATAATAATCATATGAACCATAACTAAGGTATTACCAATTACAATAATTTCTAGCTGGTAACCTGGAGACGTGTATTTATATTAATTTTATTTCTTTTGAATAACATAATATGTTTATCAATTTATGGAAAAGAAGTTGCTTTTGAAGAATCATTCACCATCCTTAGTGTTCAGGTTTTTACACATGGGATAAACCGTTTTTGAGTACTCTTATATATTTAGAATAGAAATGAAATACTAATATTTGAAAGCAGCTAAGCATGAATGCTTTAATAGTTGGAATAATAAAGCTTTGACTCCAGGTAAAGTAAGAAGTAAAGGTATTAATTTTAAGTAATCTTTCTAAATAAATTCATAATTTTCTTGTTTTATATGACTCTTTAAAGGTGAATTTAGATTGTTTATGATTGACTCCCGTAAGCACATTCACCCATCCAGCGCACCTACCAAGAGCACGGCACTTTCTCCAACATCAACTCTGCTAATTGGAAAAATAACAAAAAGCAATGGGCTATACTGCAGCTTTCATCCAATGGGGAATTCTATTAGGAGGTTCTTATTACCTCTATCAAAAGATTACTGAAAACTCCAAAAAATCATTAAGTGGAAAGACTGAATTGAAGCCCCGTAGAAATGTCAAAGTCAACAAAAAGAAAAAGAAACCCTCCAAGGCGACTTCGAAAGAAGAAGAGGTGATAAGGGCTGACGATAGTCAAAAGAAGGTTGCACCTGAAAAGCCCACTACTTTGCCTTCAGGAACCGTGAAAACGGAAACTGAAAAGTCAAATAAGTCAACCCACGTTAGTGGAAAGAAAAAAGATACTGCTTCTAGGCCATCAAGCAAGCAGCAGAATGGAAAAGGAAAAGAGAATGCCTCAAAGAAAAAAGATCCTCAGCATGAGCAAGACATTAGCTCAACTCCGATAGCTTCGAAGAAGCCGGAAAACCAAATTGAAGAGCCAGAAAAAGTTGGTAGCACACCTTCTGGTACACCATCTTCTTTGAAATTGAAAGAAACTGTAAAGGTGTTGCAGATTCCCTCTTTGGACTTGAAGAATAATGATGATGATTTTGACGAGTCTGGCTTTCAAGTCGTTTCCAAATCTAAAAACGGAAGAAAGTCTGTTTCTTTAACTCCTCCGACGAAAAAGCAACGCCAGAATCAACAGCGTAAAGAAAAATTTAGAGAACTGCAGGAAATGGCTGATCTCGAGCAGCGCAAAAAATTAGCATCCCACAGAAATGAACTAGAAATGAATACGAAACGATCAAAAATAGCCAGTCCTAACAGGTTTGCTCCGTCTTCTTTTGTAGCAGTTGGTCAGGCTAGTTCCTCTTCCAGTACACCGAAGTATGATACTCTTTGGTAAATGGCCTCATAATTGCTACCCGTGTGATTTTTTAATAGATTTAATAATCTTATAATGTAATTGTTCTCAGCTACAATGAGACTGATCAGAAACGTATGGATGCCCATCTATCTCATACTAATGATGCATAAGGTAATTCCGAAACCGTATTTAAATCGGTGTTCGACATGCAACGAAATAATAAATGTTATCTTTTCTTTTTTTATGATATTTCTCATACTCTAGAACTTATGTACAGAATGAAAAACGAGTAAATTAACTGACGATCAATTATTAACAAAAATTGGGTGAGAGGTCTACACATTTCCTTAGAAAATTCTCTTTTTTCATTTTAATCACGAAGGAGATCATTCGCTATCACTTTCAATGATGCGGCGTCGCGGTCTGCGCTGTCCTGCATTGTCCGTTTCACCTGATTCATTATCAGCTTCACTTAATGCTTCAGGCCTCTTATCTGGAGACGCACTCCCGCTTTCGTGTGTTTCACTTTCAGGGCTTACAGATCTCTTGGAAGGAGAGTGTTTAGATTGATTGACGGGTTCTTCCTCTTCTTCTTCTTCCTCCTCCTCCTCGTCTTCGATGAAATCGTCAAGAGCTTCTTCATCTTCTTCATCTTCATAATTTTTCTCATTATTGTAGTACTCTCCAGCCCCTTCCTGCTTAATTCTTTTTAGTCGATCCATGCGATCCTGTTCACCTGATTCATCCCTTTGAGGATAGACACCACGTGGACCAACAAAGGACGTAAAATCTTCTTCTTCTTCTTCCATCCCGTTTTTGTAATTATTGAGATATTTTCGTTTCTCAAGACGCCGCCGCGCACGATTACGTTCTTCTTCAAATTTTTCGGCTTCGCGCTTAAGAAGCTCAGGATCTTTCTCGGTAATAATTTCTTGAACTCCTCTACTGCTAAGTTGAGCGCCTCTCATACGCATAGAAGGAAGTTTAGAGGTAGTTGCTGTACTGATGGCAGAAGGCAAAAATGTAAAACTTCTTTGAAATGCCGTTTGGACACGGAGAAGATGCTGAGCTTCATGAGAAGTTGTGAGAAATGTAGGTTGAGTTATCATCTTTGATTGAGCGTCGTAAATGTCATTACCGATACGCAGAGAATAAGAACCATCTGACCATTGGACTACTTGAGTGTTGGATTCTTGGTTTCCCGCTTCATCAAGGCGCCATCGAATCGTATTATCTACCTTGTGTTTTACACGCTGTCCCCATTGTACATCATGTTCTAATAATGTTTCATCCGCTTCGGCCTCTACAGCATATTTTTCAGAGTCAAAAGGAGATTGTTCCACCGACAAGAAGTTCGGCATGCGAGCATGAAATATTTTTGCATCTAGTGTAGCAGGAGAAGGAAAATTGGGAATTTCTGATTCTAAGATTTTTTTTACAGGCTCACTAATTAATAGGTTAATACTTTCCTGCATTTTTCATTTTCGTAAAAATTCAAACAACGTTGCAAGATGCTAATTGACGTTCTTCGTTCTTCTCTTGAACCTTTTCTTGCAAGAAGAATGCTTTTTACCAACCAACGGTCACTTACGTTTGCTCTGGACCTTCCTGTTTTCCATCTTCATCAGAAAACAACCCTTGATCACTTGAGCGATCTTTCAATTCGTCGTTCTCATTTAGTTTTTCGTTCTCGAACTCATTGTTCGTTGTTTCAACTTCATCTTTTGTGAAACTCTCGTCCTCGCTTGCCCCAAACAAATCTTCATTTTCTTCCTTCGAAGAATTCACTTCTACTTCAGACATAGAAAGCTATTTTAATAATTTTTCTAATGGATTTACGACCAAAATCGTAAAAAATACCGTGGTTTTGGCAATGGTATAGATTTGATACGCTTGAATCTACATTAAAAATAGAAGTAACAATGCTACTCTCAATGATATCGACTCTATTCCATTCTACTCCAGATGCCAAGTGCCAATACTGGTACTTAAAACAGGTTTTTAAAATAATTGCTTACTAAAAATTACTATTATTAGATCTTAGAGTTTTGTATCTTTCTTTCAATTGGAATTACTTCTTAGCCTTTACTCTTGCCAATTCTGTTGATTATTCCCAAAACTAAGTAGAGGCAAGGATTTTTTTTTTTTTTCTTGGATTAGACTGAGTTCACTTTTACAAATTTGTAAAAATGCCACCGGCACCTCCTCCTCCTCCCGCTCCAGCACCTGCTGCAGCTGCACCGGCACCTCCTCCTGCAACAAAGGATCGGTCTGCTTTACTAGGTTCCATTCAAAAAGGAACTAAATTGAAAAAGGCAGTAACAAATGATCGGTCTGCTCCTCTTATTGGCGGTGGTGGTGTTGTTGGAGACGCATCAAAGGTATCCTCTGGTTCTGGTAAACCATCAGGCGCACCTCCCGTGCCTAATTCTGGTTCCACTGTATCGAACGAACCCGCTGTTCCTGCTGGTGCTCCTAATTTGGGAGGCCTCTTTGCACAAGGAATGCCAAAGCTTCGAAAAGTAGGAAACACTTCGTCAAGTGCTTCCCCACCACAGCCTCCGAAATCACCTACACCTATGTCTCCTCCTCCTCCTCCTCCTACATCTTCAGCACCTCCTGTTCCTCCTTCAGTACCTTCTATTCCCTCTGCTTCTGCTTCTGCTCCTCGTCTTCCTTCTTCATTGCCCCAAAAAATACCGTCTTCTCCCAGTCCTTCGAACATGCCTTCTTCACCTCCTCCGCCTGCACCATCAAAAGCGCCTCCTTTGCCTCCTCAGCCAGCTCCATCAATAAGTTCGCAATTTCCTAAAAGTTCACGAGTCTCATCAGGAAATTCACAGACTCTTCCTCCTCCACCACCACCACCGAGTCATCCTCCTTCATCACCAATTCCTGCTTCTTCTTATACTCTACAACAACGTTCGAATAAAGGTATGTTCTTTATTGAAAGAAAACTTAAATTCGGTTTTCCGCAATTTGCTAACAATTATTTAGTTGATGATCACGGAAGGTTTCAGTTTAAAGATGATAGTTATCTACCTCAACCACGACGATTTAGAGGAATCCCAAAGATTTATCGGGGAAGTACTGGGTCAACAGTACCGCTCAGACTTGCTTAGATTACACAATGCTAAAAATTACGCTGTATTTACGATTGCTAATAATATAGACCATAAAGCCTTTGTTTATGAATTGATTTATAAGATACATGATATGTTTTTTGTCTGGTAGATAACAAACTCCAAAAAAAGAATTAAAATTAATTAGCAAACCCCGTAAAAAATTAAATGACCTAAACTACAAAAATGCAATATACCTATTCGTTAAATAACATATCAAGTGCTTCATAATTGATCTTTTTCGAAAATGCTCTTTGTTGCATCATCTCTTTCGCACTTTCAGCAGGAGTATTGGCAAGACCATCACTGGTACTATCCTTTGGGCGATATTTTCGTCGTTTGCGAGGCTGTTTCACAATTCCTTTCTTCAAATCTTCTTGTATTTTTAGATTTTTCGCTTCTTCTTCTGCCAAATACTCCTTGTTCAGTTCCATCCAAACTTGAGTTTTCGTCTCCACTTCATCTTTATCAAGCAATATTTCTTGGATTTCTTCATCATCTACGTCGGCTAAAGCAATCTCATCTTCGCTCAATTTAACATTCATCTGGGAAGAAAGATTTTTCAAATCCTCCTGTTTGAGGGTTTCCGAAACCTCTTTTCGAATATTATTAGATTCCTCAAGAAGTTGAGACCGCTGTTCCTGAGAATCCATCTTGACTTTCTGTGATAATTCTTCGGATTTTATTGCAGGTGAAGCTTCCCTTGGTTGTGTGTTTGGGACATTTGTTCCCTCTATTTGAGACGGTGATTCTTTTATAGGAGGAGAGGACGATACTGCATCAAAAGAGTTGGAATAAGTTTTTTGATTTCGAGCAAAACTAGGAGGGTCGCATTGACCTTCCAGCCAAATGCTACGAAAGTCAGCGATTGATAGATCACCACTTTCCGTAGTACGAAATTCGTCGAGACGCTTCTGAATGGTGATATCTGCAACCTTTACCACATGCACAATTTCACGAACGCTTCTTCTGAAATTGTTCATTCGAGCAGCAATTAACAGACAGGCACCACAAATACCAGCAGGACGACGACCAATCTGCATCCAATCTCGATTCATGCGTGCAACAAGACGGATTGCATCGTTGGCAACACGAGACGTTTCGGAACCAAATTCTAAAAGAGCAGCAAACCGACTAATATACAAAGAAGGGTCTAGTAAAGGTAATGTAATCTCTAGAGTACGACATAATTTCAAAAAGGTGGAGCCAAGTTTAAAGACATTAATTTGCAGCATATCGGAAAAGTCAATAAGCATATGAGACGTTTTCGAATAACGACAAACGATGTAAAGACATGACGCAACGACGTACTGCGACCGACGGCCCTTGATGAAATTGTTATTGATCGCAAGAGTAAAGTAACGGACGGCAGCCTCAACATGGCGTTCGTTTAGTTTCAAAGCAATTGCTAGAGCAGATATACGACGACGTCCATTCGCAATAGTCATTTCTCTGGATTCCAAGGAGCTTTGGCTTCGAAATGGACCCCCCATTGGTCTAGCATGTGTCTGATCATGGCTAATGAGAGAGCCTTGCACAACAGCTGCACCACTCGACGCTTCACCAAAAGTTACTTCTGAAACAATTGCATTTTGTTCAACGACAACACCGCACTCCAAACTATAATCACCAATTGTTAGCTATCGTTCACTGAATGTTTCAAAAATGGTCGTTCACCTCCTTACCAGTACGTATTTCCTGATGCAACGTCAGATTCAAATGCTGTTGATCCACAGCTTGGACATCCCATGTTGAATTACTAGAAGCATGCGAAATCCATGGATGTCGAGGCAAATGTCGAAGTGTTTTGCCCATCGTTTCTTATACGGTGCCCCCATTGAGTACTCGCGTGGGGGCCAATTTGTAAACAAACAAAAATTCATGGAAATTAAATTAAAGATATAAAGAGTATAACAAGCTTTCAAAATATAAAAAAAAAAGAGAGAGATTAAGAAGAGTATCCCTTTAAAAGTCTTTAATCTTACCAAACATCCACATGCACCCGATGATCTCTTTTCTAAGGTATGAATCATTGGAAATGGTTTCCAGTCTGTAACGTGTCTATAGGATGAAAATATTCAATAATTAATTAAAAACATAAAACGAAAAAGCAACCAAAAATCGTGAGAGATGCTCATATTATAAGTATTGGTTTTTTAGCTAGCACTGATTATTTTTGTCACCATAAACAAAGACGAAAGCATGTTTTATACAACACTATCTAAAGCTAACGTGTTTCCATAGGAACTATTGATGCCTTTTATACATTTATTATATAATACTTTTTTTTCTTTGGTCAAATAATTATGTATCTGCTTTCAGAAAGAATTTTGGCGCTTTCATCAAGACTAGAAACTTTTCCAGCTATACTGACTTTTATAGTAGTTTCTCGTTTTTCAATTCCTTCTTTTTCTTCCTTTGATCTTGAAGGTTTCATCCATTGATTCATTGTTAATCAAGTTCTACATAGAACCAATCGATGATAAACAATAAAACTTGTAGAATTGGGTACAGCAATTTTTATGAATAAAAATGTAAATTTAAATTATTTTTAAAGAACAATTTCGTCAGTCCTTACCATGATCCTTAACTTTCCCTTTACCTGACTTTCGTTATACTACTTGTACAGAAGCAATTCATATAACATTAAATATTGGGTAAAACAGCTGAGGATTGGATACATTGATAGTGGATAAAGAATGAATTCATCGTTTTCTCAGAAACTTTTTCGGACCTTTGGGCAAAAAAGGTTTTATTATAGACCTTGGATAAAAATAGAAAATGTTCGACCCACGCCCTTATGGAAACCTATCACATTTGCAATTGGAATAGGTTCAGCTACATTTTATGCAGCGCAATACTTGGATAAACGAAAACAACCTAGCGTATGGAATTCTCGAAGTCTTATTGATCGCACGTCGAACCGAAGCGTCATTTTTTCCATTATAGGTATAAATGTGGGTATATTCGCTTTATGGAGGATCCCTGCGTTTCATAGATCCCTCGAAAAGTACGCTGTAATGAATCCTACTTTTATAAATTTACCCTCTATGGTTGTATCCGCTTTTAGCCATCAGTCAGGCTGGCATCTACTATTCAACATGGCGGCTTTTTATTCTTTTGCTCCAGCGATTCTTGACGTCTTTGGAACAAATCAGTTCATGGCTTTCTATACTTCATCCATATTGTTCTCTAACCTAGCTTCGTTGCTCCATCATCGCCTGCGCTTTGGTGTCAAAGCTCATCCAGGATCATTGGGTGCTAGTGGTGCCGTGTATGCCATTGCTGCCGCCACTGCGTACTTTTTTCCAAATGCTTCTGTCTCCATCATTTTTCTCCCCTTTATCCCCATCAAAATTGGTGTAGCGTTATTGGGTCTTATGGCTTTTGACACGTGGGGCCTTGTTTCCAAAGGATTTGCCAAGTACACCTTTTTCGATCATGCTGCTCATCTAGGAGGAGGAATTTTTGGCTGGCTGTATGCAAAATATGGTTACTCTACTTACAATCGCTCGATCCGCCCTCGCTCACCTCCTCCTGCCAGACCTTCCTTTTCTAAAGTTATATCCTTTTAAATAAGTAATGAATGACGAATTGTTTTGAATACATCACTGAATATTATTTGATAGGATGTATCTTATGGCTTGAAACTGAACTTTTAGCATTTATTTTCGAATGTATTTATTTATTTATTTACTTACATTAAGCACACTAAATTACACAAAGTACATTAGCATATAAGCGATCAATACTCGTTAAGCAAAGAAGCAGTCACGGGAAGAAACCAACAGTACTCTTACAGCAGAAACCGTCCTCTTCATTAAACGTTAACAATACAAAAAAAAAGTTTGAAAATGTCGAAAGTTTCAGTTGCTAACGTTCGTACCAACATTGATGGTATTTTGAAGGGCTCCGAACAGAAGAAGCGTCATTTCACCGAAACCGTTGAACTTCAAATCGGTTTGAAGAACTATGATCCTCAACGTGACAAGCGTTTTTCCGGAACCATCAAGTTACCTAATGTTCCCCGTCCTAACATGGCTCTCTGCATTCTTGGTGACGCCCATGATTTGGACCGTGCCAAGCATGGCGGTGTCGATGCCATGTCTGTCGACGATTTGAAGAAGCTGAACAAGAACAAGAAGCTCGTCAAGAAATTGGCCAAGAAGTATGACGCTTTTGTTGCTTCTGAAGTCCTCATCAAGCAAATTCCTCGTTTGTTAGGTCCTGGTTTGTCTAAAGGTAAGTGGTGTAAAGCTAACGGTTGATGGGAAAACGGAGGATTAACTTTTCGTTCATCTTTTTTTTTTCCCATTGCTTACGTTCTCCTTGTAAAACTTGTAGTATCAAATGTTTGGATGGAACTACATTCCACTGCGTTTTGGTGGTTTGATACGTTCATGAAACATAATGTAACTAGAGGGCTGTAGAATCTCCTTTGAAAAGCTGTAGAACAAAAAAGGAAGACTATGCCTTTTTAGATAGGTTTGAAAGGAGCGTAGGAAACCGCAGGCCCCACCTTTCAATGATTGAACATTGACAAGGAAGAGTTTTTACTAACTCGATGGCTATAGCCGGTAAATTCCCTACTCCAGTATCTCACAATGATGATTTGTATGGAAAGATTGTCGAAGTCAAGTCTACCATCAAGTTTCAATTGAAGAAGGTCCTTTGTTTGGGTGTTGCCGTTGGACACGTCGAAATGACTGAAGACCAATTGATTGCTAATGTGATGCTTTCGATTAACTTCTTGGTTTCTTTGCTTAAGAAGGGCTGGCAAAACATTGGATCTTTGGTCATTAAGTCTACTATGGGTAAACCCTATCGTTTATATTAAACAACAATCTTTTTTGGAATTGGTTTGGAGCTTACTGCTGACACCCGTAAAAATCTTCATCGTTGTTGAAGACTTTACATAATGTATTTATAGAAAACCTGCTAGTTTGCTTGTTTTTTCCTGTACTACTACTAGAGTAATAATCTATTTCCTTAGTGTAATGCGAATCCAACGATGAACGTTCTTGTTTGCCAAAGACATATAGTCAAATACTAAAAATGCGTTTCCATGAAGCCGATTCAATTTTCATCTAAATACGTACCTATTCGATTTCTTTCCAAGTTTACATTATAACGTATTCCAACAAGTCTTTTCGAGCTCTCCTAAGAGGGTACTTTGTCATGGAATACTACTACCCTTGCTTCCTTCCTCAACTTCTGACCCTTTACCGAATTTGATTGACTTTACTGCTGTGTCCTTTGAAAAGTTTTGATTCTGCGTATCGCTTCAAAGGTAGTCATTTTATAGGAAGCACATTGATCTTTCTTTGCGTCGTATACCTTACGTTGTGTTTCCTGAAGAAAATTTTCCCTTTTCCGCACCTTCTTTTTGTGCTTATTCCCTTAGCCTTCTTCGTTAAGCCAAGCATTCTTTAGCTATTTTTGTTTTTTCATCTTCTATCTGAAATCAACTGCTTCAAAATGACAAAAAACGCGTTTTCGTCCATGGCTGATTCAGTCTCTTCCTTTTTCCAGTCTTTGACAACGTCTAACAGACACGCAGATCCTTCCTTCAACCCTTCTCGACGCGATAAGCAATCGAGACTTCCTACTCCGTTACAGTCCATTGCAACTTCTGGGTATACTGGCGTCAATGCTAGTCAAACTGGATTGTTGAGCGACAGCAGGAGTAACTCTACTCAAAATCTTTCAAACGTAAGTTCTCAAGCACCAACAAAGGTTCCTTACGTACCTGGAAGCCGTTCCAATGAGCTTGCAAACAGCGCGATGGACATCCAAATGCAAGATATTAGCCCTAATGGAACTGCTTCCTTGCCTGCTCCAGTTTCTGAGTCTTGGAGACGTATTGATCGTTGGGCTGAAGAAAACTATTACGAGTTGTACTGCCAATTGTGCCCTGGTGCTACTGCCGCTGATGTTGACAGTCTCGAGTATGAATTGGAATGCACTTTACCTCGTGACGTTCGAGAAAGCTTGTACATTCATGACGGTCAAGATCGTGGTGGACAGCTTACCGGTATCTTGTTTGGCATTACATTGTTGGATATTGAGGAAATTGAGGAAGAATCTGAACTCTGGCGTCGTGTTGCTCAATCTTATGCCGAAGCCACTATAGCAGGAAAAATTGATCAAGCTGTAGCTTCTCGCCAATCTTCTTTTCCACCGGGTGCTGTTCAATGTGTTTATGCTCATCCTGGCTGGATTCCATTCGCCAAGGATTTTGTCGGTAATAACATCGCCGTAGACCTTGCTCCAGGCCCGGCTGGTCATTGGGGTCAAGTAATTCTGTTTGGTCGTGATCAGGATACCAAATATGTCATAGCCCGTTCTTGGGCCGACTTTTTAGCAATCGTGGCCTATGACATGGAAAACGGAAAATGGATAGTTGATGAGGAAGATAACTCCTTGCGTCTTATATATGGTCCTCCCCGTGAACAATGGTCCTATCTTGATATTCTAAAGTATAGAGCTCGTAAGGCTGAAAGAAGAAAACATAAGAAACAAGAGACCAAGAAAACCGCTGTTGTTCCGAAGGACCAAGGAAATCCTAACGAACAAGACTTAAGTTCTTCAACCGCTGTTTTGGAAAGCGGCCTGGAAGACGTTCCACTTTACGGCCATTCCAAGGATGATGACCATTTGTTGAAGAAAGAAGCGGAAGAAGAAGATCTTGGTTTAATGGATACTCCTCAAAACAACAAACCAATGAGCTTGGTTTCTGATGATAAGGAAATTACTAAGAAGCCTGCCACTGCAGATGCCGAAGAAGCATCCATCACCAGGTCTGACGAAGTTGAGAAAAATGAATCTACTTCCGAAGCAAAGAAAGAGGTTTCCAACGAATCTGAAAAGGAAGCTGTTAATGATACTGCTTCAAAGGGGGAAGAACGGGAAGCCTCCAATGAACAAAAAGAAGAGTAAACTAAAAACAATATAGGATTACATGTATTTTTGTCCTTGGATTTCCGCTTAGTTACACAATTATCATGATGACCTTTTAGCTGTCTGCTTTCAAAAAGCCTTATTTTTTTTCTATCTATCTATTTTGATTTACGCGTTTGACTAAAACTTTTAAGGCTCTCTTTTTATACCAATATTTTTTTTAACTTGAATTTCCTTTCTTTTATAACTAACTTATGACTGTGCAATAATCTTTTCTACGTTGCAATATATATACTTTTATTATTCGATAGAACTTATCATGGAAATCACCAGGCGTTTTTAGACTACTCTCGTAGTCTTGTTTTCGTAATTTCCCATAACAGTAAATTCATCACAGATAGATTCGATTCGTAACAACATTGTTAGTGACAAACCAACACACTCAATAAAGTACACGTAGGTCCATGGATTATGAGATGAGGGACGTGTGACTAAGTTAGTAAAGATTACATCCTCTTGAAGAAGCATTCGAAAGATATGGTTAAGCTTTTTTGGGTGAGAAAGGGTGAACTGCAAGAAGGCCTTTTTTTCTCTCGTAAATTCGGACATAATCGAAACCTCATTGACAACACGAGAAGCTAGTAGAAGAAATCGGGTGCAATTATTTGGGTCATCTTCAACATCCTTGACCAGGATATTGTAATTGTATGTATCAGCACAGAGCTGACTAGAAATCGCCAGTGTAGTACCAGTTTGATCTTTTGATGCCATTTCTGCGGCATGGCTAGTAGAATTGACCGGTACAGAAGTTACACCAGGCAGGTTATTCTTGATCCATCCCGTGCATTGTCCAAAAGCCTGAGGATGGCTCAAAAGTCTGGAAACATTGTCTAAAGAATGACCAATAATACAGTGATGAACGGGTACTAATATCTCATCAAGGACTGCTATGCCCCTGTTGTATTTTAAGAGGTCATAAGCAGGAATAACAGATCCATTCGTAGAATTTTCAATTGGTAGAAGTCCAAAATTTACTTGACGTGATTCAACCGCCTCTACCACAGCTGTTTTTGGGAAGTTAATATGCTATTTATTCTTTGATGGCATACCTGATAGCGTCGGTAACGAAATATGAGCGGCATCAGGGTTTGCTAAGAGCGCTGCCTTTCATTTAGTTAATAAGCATGACCTTGGATTCAAACCGCAAAAGCTAAAACTCACTTTATTGCTAAAAGTTCCCTTAGGTCCCAAAAAACCAACTTTTATGGAGCTCATTATTAAAGAAAGAATATATATATACGGTTGAAACAAGAATTCCTTTTTGTTGGAACGGCGTAACCGACAACTTCTTAATAAGACATAATTAATCCCAAAGCACTTGAAACTATGCAATATAAATACTTCTGATGAAGAAAAAGAAGTATTTTGTTTACAATCAAAGAATGTGTTTAGCTTTTCCTAAGTCAATGGTATTAGTAGATACAATGCGTGAGCTGCTCTAGTTAATAGTGTATTGCCGTGAACCAACATTTGCTACTACAAAATCTTTCAATCATTACTTTTTCTATATCAAACCGGAAAGCATTAGTTTTTCCCTACAAACATAGTTTGTTCAGTCATAATTCATATTCACTTATAGTAAACAAGTTGACATGCAAGGCAAATGCAAACTACAGTTTTTATTGTGTATACAAGAGAAAAAGCATTTTGTATTACAAACTACAATGTTACATTCCACAATAATATATTTTTTATTCATTACCCACAATGTTATTACCCAAGAAATCCATATGAAATTAAAAGAAAACCAAAAAAAGACAGAAATGCAACGTTCCGTCTTACAACCAGAGAAACTTGATAATTTAGGCGGTATAATAACCAAAAATCCAATACTTTGTATAATGAAATTCCAAGTATTCCGAACGTAATATAAGATAAGTAAAAAACTGCTCTTTTGCTTTTATTATCCCCAATCTCTTCGAGGAAATGGCATCGGCTTAATTTGTCCCGGTTGAGAAGTTGCTGGATATGGTGACATAGGGAAATTAGAAGGCGGTACTGCCGAATTGCCCATTTGAGGCGCCTGAAATTGGGGTGCCATGCTCGATCTAGCATATTCTCTAGGTTGAGGAAAAGAAGCAGCATCAGGCATAGGGAGACCATAGTTGGAGAGCGGAACTGGAGGGGGTGGCATCATGTAACCAGGATGAACGGGATAGAAGTTGTATGGAGCACTCGCTGTATGTGGCATGCGAGGAGGAAGAGAAGAAACAGGAGAAGGAACTGATGTTTGTGAAGCATATACCGAGGTTGCTCTTGGTATTGGCGAACGAGAAACTTCGGCTTCAACCATTGAAGGCTGAGAAGTGGATTTTGTCTTTCTTTTCTTTTTACGTTTGCTTTGTTTAGCAGCAGCTTCCGCTTCATCATCTGAGAATTCTTGTTCTGAGGGGTTGATTTCTTCATCATATACGTTACTAGCATCACTTCCCTTGATATATTTTAACGGTTCTGGATCAAGTCGATTCGCCATTGTAGGAACATAAAACACCTTTTTGCCAACAGAAGGATTGATAGATGCACATTCATCTTCATTTGTAAACCTTACAACATAAAAAGGGGAAGAAACAGGCCCAAAAGTTTCATGGATATATCCAACGATTGTCTTATCCTCAAAGCAGAGAACTGTTTTCTCATCGAAAATAAGCTCTTCATTTTGCACGTCACTTTGAATAACTATTTCCTTTTTTAAAACCTGTAATACTTGTCCCAAAGGTTCAATTGGAGAATCGGGTCCCAGCTCAATTGTTGGCCGCTCGTACACTTCCTCAGGCAATTCATGAATAGTTTTAGGAGGTGTGGCCTCTGATTCATGCTCCACTTCTACCTTTTCAGGTTCCTCTACTTCAGACAAACTAGAAGTACTATCACTGTCAGAATCCGACTCAGACTCAGAAGAGCTTTCCAGTGAAGAATCAGAGTCTGAGTCGGAGCTTGAGTCAGACGCAACAGATTTGGGGGTTTCTTCACTTTCTGTTTGCTGTACCGCCTTCCCTTCAGATGGCTGGGTAGGAATAGTAGAAGGTTCAACTGTGCTGAGGGAATTGTCAACATAAACCGGCTTTGTAGTCGAAGGAACAACAGAAGATGCAGGATTTGCAAGTGCAAGATCTAAAACATCCATTGAAGGCACTGATTGTTCTGTTGTTCGATTTTCAGATTCTTCTACCTTGGAAACTGAATCTCCATCAAATTTTTGTTGTGTAGAAACATCTTTGACAGTTATTTCAGGCGAAGAGGATTCATGGGTTATTCCAAGTTCATTTGAATTTAGTTTTACAGACCCATCCTCTTTGGGGAGTCCGTTGTTTTCTTCAGGGGAAGAATTTCTTTGGTTCTGCAAATTCTCATTTATGGATGGCGCCTCCGATACGCTTTCCTGCTTGGGAGATTCTTCATTGTAAATTAGAGAAAGTCCAGGTATTTTGCATGGCTGTTCTTGGTCCATCGGACGCCTTTGTTTGAAACTCTTTTTAGATGTTTGCAAAGGGTAAAAGAGACATACGTCTGTGAAGGCAATGGGGAAAAGATGTTTATGGCAATCACGTTTGATAATTATAAAAAGCTATAATACAGAAGATTTTGAATTGATTTTTAGCTTGCAAAAATGTAGCACAAGGTAGAAAATGTTGTGATGGTAAAAGCGAGAGTCATCATTAAAAATGCTACGTCGAATGCAAAACGTATTACAGAAAAAGGAACACTTGTGATATTACAATGCTTACAATTCTACAGATACTACTGGTAAAGGCATTCGTAAGATTACCATGTCTCTAATGATAATCCTATGTCCAGCATGCCGCATTGACTAAAAGAGAAGGTACGACAGTGTCATACTATTTATAAAATAGACATAATCATAATTTTTATTGCGCTAACTTGCTTGCTATAAGCTCTGAATGAAGAGCCCAAAAGATACATAAAACATGTCACAAGAAGAGCTAGGTATCAAGAAACGGTATTTACGTGGATAACATTACTTCATCAACGATTGGAAGAAGGTACTAATTTTTTCATAGCCCTCATAAAAACACTTTCTGTTGTTGTCGTTAGAAAGATCAGCACGAGCAGCCATGAAACCATGATGCATATCAGAATAAGTGTGGAAAGCAGATTGTTTATAGGCAGGATTCTTTTTGAATTCTTCCTCCCAAGCACTTATGATGCTGGCATCCTCATCCTTAGAAGACAAAAAGAGAACAGGGACGTGAACGTTCTTGGCATCAGCAGGGTCGGGGAATGAAGCATGAGGACAAGCGATACCGACGAATTCAGAAGTGTTAGGATAGGTAACTAAAACCTTGGCACCCCAGCAAACGCCATAGGCTCCGATTTGAACATCGTTACCATGAGTACTCTTGACGGCATTCAATACTTTTTCCAACTTGGGGAAATGAAGAGGAGGAGAAATACGGGTTGAGTAAAACTCGCTGCAAAGCTTTTGGTCTTCGGGAGTTCTTGAAAACATGGCATCTACAGGCAAAGCAGAGCCTTCGAAGAAGTCTGGCAAATAAACAGTATAGCCTGCCTGGGCTAGCTTGTCGGCGCCAATTTTAATTTGCTCTGAAAGACCAAAAACGTCCAAAACACCAACAAGAACCTTCTTGTTGGAAGGGCAACCGACGGCATAGGTGTTTAATCCTCCAAAATTAATTTCTTTACCTTGAAAAGTGTATGATCCGCTAGCAGCAGCAGGGCCAAGGTTAGTAGGACAGCAAGAAGACATTGTATACTCGTAAAAACGCAAAATATTCTCAAAGTCAAGAAACGCTCTAAAGTTAGCTTTCAATCGACTATGGTCACTGAATATATAAATAGGGAGAACAATGTTGCTTCCGGATCCGAGGTACCGATCTTCCGCGGACCGCGCATCGATGAGTTGGAAGAGACGATGGGGATGGTTTACGTCTCAAGGAAGAAAAATCGCATTTTTCTTTTTTAGTCGTTTATTACTTGGTGTTTTCTTGATTGATGTAAAATAACTTTCAGTAGAAACGTTGCTCGGATTGTATTTGGAATTCGAGGTTTTAGCGGTATATGATCAAACTTGAGAAGATTTTGAAGAAAAGACACCATTTCATATTTAATATTAATCCTTTGATTTCATAACTGTAGCCAAAACGAAATGTTTCCTATCCTATGCAAACGTTCAACTAACTACCTTAAACGTTTGCATTGATGAACAAAAAAAGCTGAGATTGTGAAAATAAACTGGCATATCAAACGAATAAACAAGGAAAATCCTTTATATGAAATATTGAGCAATATTTTTAGAATGTTTCAGCTTTCTTCTCGTTTCCTTTTTGGTCTCAATTGTCTCTAATCACAACTAGCATACTTCAACATTTTCAGCTTCTTTATAAGCTAAAAACATCAAGTCCAGTCGGTTTGCTGACATCCTGCTAGTTGCAGAGAGGATGATGTTGAATACACACTTTTTCCTCCACCTTTTACAAACACAATGACACTTACACCTTCGATAAATCCATTTCTCCTTCATCAATACATAGTAAATCAAAGTTAATACTCGATATAATAAAAGTTCGATATACGAATATTAAAAGAATGGATCCTTCATAATATCGAGGTATTGTTTTTACTCCTCCTTAACCCTTGGTCGCAGACAGATCCAAAGACTTACCAACAGCAAACCCTTCCGTAGCGAGAAACTTGTTTGTTTGTTTGTTTCTCTCTTTAAATCTCCATTTTTTTCCCTTAAAAATCATGATGCGAATTCATCAAGTCCGGGCTACGATTGGAAAGGCCTCTTCAGCAAAATGCATCGGAAATGCCCTCATGAAACGCTACTCTTCCTCAGGCTCTGGCGTTAGAGAAATGACCGTCCGTGACGCTTTAAATAGTGTTATGGAAGAGGAAATGAGACGTGATGAACGTGTATTCTTAATGGGTGAAGAAGTTGGTCAATACAATGGTGCTTATAAGGTTTCTCGTGGATTGCTCGATAAGTTTGGTCCTAAACGTGTTATTGATACCCCCATTACTGAAATGGGATTCACCGGTTTGTCTACCGGTGCTGCATTCGCTGGCTTGCGACCCATCTGTGAATTCATGACTTTCAATTTCTCTATGCAAGCTATTGACCATATCGTCAACTCTGCTGCTAGAACCAATTACATGTCTGGCGGTATCCAAGCTTGCCCTATTGTTTTCCGCGGTCCTAATGGTCCTGCTTCTGCTGTAGCTGCCCAGCATTCTCAGCACTTTGGTCCTTGGTACGGCGCTATCCCTGGTCTAAAGGTTATCTCTCCTTATTCTGCAGAAGATGCTCGTGGTATGTTAAGAGCTGCCATTCGCGATCCTAACCCTGTTGTTGTTCTCGAAAACGAACTCCTTTACGGAAAGAGCTTTCCTATTTCCGAAGAAGCTTTGAGCGAGGACTTTGTTATTCCTTTTGGCGTCGCCAAAATTGAGCGCCCTGGTAAAGACATTACTCTTGTTGGTGAATCCCTTGCCGTCACAACTGCTCTTGAAGCCGCTGACATCTTGAAGGAGAAGCATGGCGTTGAGGCTGAAGTCATCAATTTACGTAGTATCCGCCCTATTGATGTTGATACGATCGTTGAAAGCGTCAAGAAGACAAACCGTGTTGTTACCGTAGAGCAAGCTTACAGCCAACATGGTCTTGGTAGTGAGATTGCTGCTCAGCTTATGGAATCCTCAGCCTTCGATTATTTGGATGCCCCCGTTGAACGTGTGGCTATGGCTGACGTTCCTATGCCTTACAGTACTCCCATTGAGGCTGCTACCGTCCCCAATGCCGATGTTGTTGTTGCTTCTGCCGAAAAATCCTTATATTTAAAGAAGTAAATAAATAGTGTAGCGTTTTTCCCCCTCCTGATTATCTTGTGGTTACCTCCTAAACCGTTCCTTAGCTATATTGTATAACTCGTCGTCACAGTAGGACGTCAAAGAAAATCCTTTTTAATGGTTTTACATCTATTTGCTGTTATTACAATGCTTAATATGTTGATCTCATTTTCTGGTCAAGATGTATCCTCGTGTCTGATGAGATTGCAGTGATTTGGAGATTTATGGATATTTCCTCTTCATTCCTTTGCTCCTTCCCTTTTTGCCCTATTTTATCTATATAGTTAATAAAAATCGGTAGTATGTCTGATAGTCTTTACTGCTATATTTTATTTTCTCGTTTCGTAAACAGAGCCCTATATCATCTCTTTCTTACTCATTACAATAGAAAGACATTTATAACTTTTTTTTTCGATTTTTATTCATAAGATTCAGTTTGAATTCACGTAGTAAAAAGGTATTCATTCAATCCGCACCCACACTTAAATAGCCATCCTAAACCTACCATTCTGATGCCCTTGACGCTGAATTTTTTTGGTCATTAACACACAACTGTTTCATTTATTAAGTGAATTTATACTGCAATTTCTTTCATCGTTCGATAATAAGCTCCCAAAAGCCATTTGTTGAAGAGCGTTGTCGACTGTACTTTATTCCCTTCTCTTTCTTGTCATCACGTATAGATATAGCACGAACTTTGCTGCAATTTGAATTTTTGTCAATAAGGATGTTAAAAAGAGAAATCCTTGAAGAAATAAAGCAAGTTTCTGCAAAGATTTTCGGAACGAACTATAAAGCAAACAACTCTCGGGCTGGAAATAAATTTCTTCAAAGAAAGCTACATGGTCCTCGTTTGGCAAACTATTATCCATCAAAGGTTCCCATTTCACGAATGAGAGAAATTATTGGGCTGCCTATACCAAATGGTCAGCATACTTTACGAATGGAAGTACTTGAAGAGTAAGCTTTATTTTGATACCTTTCAATCCAATTGAGAAATACAAACTAACAAAGAAATTAGAAAAGCACGTAAAGGCAAAGGGCCCGCTAAGCGTGGAAGCAAATAATCGAGTATCCGACTCTGTCTTCGGCCAACTTACAGAAAAAGAATCGCATTACATTTTATCTTTTCCTTCAGAATATCAAGCTACCTTTACTAATGGTTTATTTTTTCTAAAAGGTGGTCTTCTCATAATCATGTATCAAATAAAATATATCTATTTTCTAAGATGAATGAATATGCATAGCTTATATTACCCAACTGTTCAATGTATGTCAGCGTAATTGCTAAAGGTTTAATGAGGGGGTCTTATTCTAAAACATTCTATTACAATGAACTTAGTTGGATTCGAAAAATAGTTTCCATAGGTTTTTCGCCGAAATTCGTGAATGCGGAAGCATTGCATATTGAATATTGTACAGTTGCTCAGCTGGGATGGGCGGAATAGGACAGCCAACCAACAAACTTATTAAAGTTGTTTTCGAAAGGTAATGCGAAATGAGTCTTCTAGCCAATTTGCGATAATGGTCAAACATGGACCCAAAGGACATGGGTTTTGATTTACAGAACAAGTACAGTGTGGCCATGGTATTTTCTTTTGAACATTCAGAATTCACAATCTCTAAACTCAGTCCACTAGGAATTCTGTAAGGATCTTTAATTCGAAGCATTGTGACAAAGAGGGGAAAATGATTTAAAAAAGCAAGTATTGTTTCATATAATGCTAAACATGTCATGACTGTAATACGAGTTACAGCAAAGGCAATATAGAAAACGTAAATTGTGGGCAAGAAAAAAATTAGTACCGTAAACAAAATCGTCCCCAAAAGCAGTTGATCCAGATCATACTCATAAGAATCAATTCTATTTCGTAAAACATTTCTTTTTTTTCCACGAAATAGTTGTAGTAAGCTGTATATGATTCTTAGTTGCCAATTGTACAAACGTGCCGCGGCCAAATAAAGGATATATAAATGGAGAGTCATAATGCTCAAAAAATCAGACATCAAAGCTATCATTAAACTGGCACCACCAAAGCCAGAGAACGCAATTATCCGAACGAACGATGGTATATATTGCCTCCAAGACAAAAGTACCGTATACCAGACATCAATTATCCATATGGACAACTTCACAATAAATTTACATATATCGTTATTCAACTTTAACCCTGCGGGCGTGTCTATTAACCATGTTACCATAACACGGACGTCTTTAATTGCAAATTTAAATACAACCTTGTCGAGCAAATTAACGACCAAAGGAAGATTATCCAAGATAAAAGAACACATCGTAATACCAAAGATTATATCGTTGGCTACTAGCCATAAGTTATTATACAGTCGTATGTACTCTTTATAATCTTTCATAACAACATGCTTGCTTTTCCGAAGCATCCAAAGTTTCATGTACTGTACAGGCCAGAAACATGCTTGTTGAAGACGCAAATCCACTTGTCTGGCAGAAACGAATACATCCCTCATATTTGGAAATACCGGATGCAGACGATAATTAATGACTTGTAAAATAAACTCATTTAAAACTCTCAAAAATATTAGAAAAAATAAGACGATAGGGTGAAAAAGATTAAAAATGAATAGAAAAGAGCGTTTTGAACTCTCAATTAACAGATTTTTTGACCGGTTCGGGCACTCCTGCATCAATACGTGAACTTCAAAAGATTGATTTAAAAGCTCAACCAAGTTATTGCGAAGACTTCTGTACCAAGTATTTTCAGGACGTCGGGGAAAATGTAAATCCAATTTGTGTAACAGGGTTTGTAAGTGCTGGTTCTTTTTAAATTCAGGACTTGAATCATCAAAGACAGAGTCTTTTAATAACAAAAGGGATAAAGGTTCAAGAGATAAAAATTGCAACCTCTTGGGTTGGGGAGGGACATAGTAAATCACATGTAAATTTAGGAATAAGTCAGAATCACTAACCCTGTATATTTGGGGATGAGAAAACTGGGTTCGTAAACGGATAATTAACCAACTATCCTCTGGTTTAGGAACATAAGAGGAGGATGGTAAGTTAAGCGTTCCAAGAATTCCCAGACTTTGAACTTCATAAAAAGAAGATTGATTGTTTTTAAGAAACTCATCAAGGCGAGAAGTATCTTTTATCACTGTCACGATTACAAGGTCAAATGGCGAGTAAATCCAGCCTACCAAGTATCCAGAGTCTGTATGTTGAATTTGGTTTTTAGGCCAATACACACGTAGAACAGGATTAAACCGAGAAGAAGGGAACGAAAGTGGAGTGTTTACCCTCGACATTATAAATCTTCAATTAATATTTTGAATAGTAGAAAAAAAAAAAAGAATGGATGAATCAAGAGTTATACGTTTCTTTCGTTTCCACAGCCCAAATTAATAGACCAGTTAATTATGCAAGCAGTCCTGGGCTTCACTTTTTCTTTCTTAAGATTCACTTAAAAACTTCCTCGTCTCAGCAGCTGTTCTCTAGCTGATATACCACCGCAAGCCAAAGAAGGATTTCGTGCTTCAAACTCTGCAATCCGATTGAGGGGGATCCAAAAAAGAACTCCGATGAAGGTAAAAACTGAAATATAGAGGATAAGTTTCGTGATATCGCTATCCAATGTTAATATGTACTTTAAGCAGTTATACAACTCTCCAATTAAAGCCAATCGCGATGTAAGAAATCCAAACAAAAATACTATACCATATATAAAGACACGACGCATATCTATAGCATTGTTCTATAAGACAATGCTTCCGTTCCTAGCTCTTGTAACTCTGTGAAATGCAGTAGCTGGTCTATACACTCCTTTCTAGAACTTCTTAATGTTAGATTTAACAAGCAGAGACGTTTCCACTACTTTAAAAAAGACTGTCTGTAATTGTCATCGAAAAACAGATTGTTTACGAATATATGCTGAAAGGTTACGTTTCTTCAAGCTCCATAAAGCATCCAATATAAGGAAGCTTAACGATGCATTAAGCTATACAACGATTTACAGTATACTACGTTATATTCACACACTTGCTCATAAATCTAGTAACGCTTCACAATCAATAAGCTAGCTTCTCTAGTCATATACTAATATTTACTGAGCCTGTTTGAGTAAGCAGAAAATAGAGCATAAGCATTGTTTATCTGCAAATGATATTATTAAATATTCCATTAGAGCACATTAAAAGGTTCTAAAGTTGTATGACTTGAATGCATACTCTGTTGGACAAATATTGAATTAGCATTTCAATAGATATCTACATGGTTAACTCAACTTGAATTTGATTAATGGAGTGTTTTGCTGATTTACTAAGTAAAAATGAGAGCATTCAGGTTACGGCGGCTGAGGATTTAAAGGACTTTGTGCATAGTTCGACAAAAGAACTTTCAGGAGAATCTCTGGCTCGGTTTAATAACGAAATTAATCGAAGGATTTTTGAGCTTATTCATAGTCATGATGTTCATGAGCGATTTGGCGGTATCCTTGCAATTGGAAAACTCATTGAGTTTGAGAGTGATGGAGATATCACAAACTTGTCGCGATATGCAAATTATTTGCGTATGACACTTCCGAGCACAGATTTCCGCTCCATGGAGCTTTCTGCGAAAGTACTTGGGCAGCTCGCTGCTCTAGGTGGCACATTGGCAGCCGAGTTTGTCGAATTTGAAGTCCAGCGTGCATTTGAATGGCTTCAAGGAGATCGACAAGAGCAAAAACGAATGGCTTCCGTATTGATTTTGAGGTCTTTGGCTCAAAACTCTCCCACTTTAGTTTATTTGTATATTAGCGAAATTTTTCAAAATTTATGGATAACACTGCGTGATCCCAAGCCTTTTATCCGAGAAACAGCTGCCGATGCTTTAGGAGCTTGTCTCGATGTTGTCTGCCAACGTGAGGCCAAGGTTCAGTTACAGTGTTTTAGCAAAGTACTACTGCAAGCCGAGTTTGGATTGCGGCAATCCAGTGTGGAATATTTACATGGAAGCTTACTTGCATATAAAGAGTTGTTCGAAAAATCTGGCTCTTTTATTCGCGAACATTACGTTGCATTCTGTGATTTGGTTCTTCGTTTACGTGAACACCGTGATGGCTCTATACGCCGTTCGATTCTGCTGCTATTACCTACATTAGCAGAATACAACCCTGGTAAGTTTCAATTAAAGTATTTAGATCCTTTCATGATCTATTTGCTATCCCAAATCCGAAAAGATAAAGAAAAACCGCTTGCTTTTGAGGCTATCGGAAGAATTGCAATGGCTGTTAATGAAGCTATGATTCCGTACTTACAAAGCATTCTTTTGGTTATTCGAGATACTTTAACTACCAAAGTAAGGGATAGACAACAACAAGAGAAACCTGTTTTTGAATGTATTGGTATGCTTGCTGCAGCTGTGAAGCTGGAATTATTGGAAGATTCGCGCAGTCTTTTAGGTCTCATATTTTCCTGTGAATTGAGTTTGCATTTACGGCAAGCACTCGTTAAAATGGCCGAAAATATTCCTCCTTTGCTTGCCCCTGTTCAAGAACGCTTATTAAATATGGTTAGCCAGATCCTTACTGGAAAAAACTTTGAAATCCGAAATAACGACACGTATACCCCGAGCTTTACAAATGTTTACTCAGCTAGAGAAAGCAATCAACGCAGCAAAAATGTTGAGCCGATCATCTTAGCTTTGGAAACATTAGGCACCTTTAATTTTACAGGATACTCGCTGATTAGCTTCATACAAGAATCGGTTTTATCATATCTTGACAATGATAATCCAGAAGTTCGTATTGCTGCTGCCAAAACTTGTTGTCAGGTTTTTGCTAGAGATCCTGTTTGTCGTAAAACTACCCCTTTAGCTATTGAATCTGTTGCTGAAGTACTTGAAAAGCTTCTTACTTTGGGAATAGCAGATTCGGATCCCAGAATTAGAGAAACTGTTCTTTCATTGTTAGATGAACGATTTGACCGCCATCTGGCTCACCCTGATAATATTCGTTGTCTGTTTATAGCTTTAAATGATGAAGTGTTTTCTATTCGGGAAATTGCTATTATCATAATTGGTCGACTTGCACTATATAACCCCGCTCATGTTATGCCTTCTTTGCGGAAAACAATCATACAATTGCTTTCCGATTTAGAATATTCCGGGAACAGCCGTCAAAAAGAAGAAAGTGCTCAATTATTAAAGTTACTCGTATCCAAAGCTCGAATGCTTATAAAACCTTACATTGAATCTATTATCCATGTTATCTTACCAAAAGCTTCTGACCCTAGTCCAGGAGTTTCCTCTGCAATCATTTCTGTTCTCGGTGAATTAGCAAGTGTGGAAGGAGATGACATTCCTACGGACGTTCGCTCTTCTTTCATGAATCTGATTTTATTCAGTCTTCAAGACCAAAGCTCAACTTTGAAACGGTTGGCATCTTTGAAATGTTTAAGGCAGCTCTGCGGACCTTCTGGCTATGTTATTCAGCCATACATAGATTATCCTTTTTTACTAAACATTTTAATTGGAATTCTACAATCGGAGCAACCCACTCCTATTAAAAGAGAAGTTCTAAGGACCTTAGGTGTACTAGGTGCTTTAGATCCTTATACTTATTTGGCTACAGAGCAGTTTTCTGATAAATTACAAAAAAATCATTCAACTAGCCAAAGCTTTTTCTCGAATCTGCTTGGTGCTCAGTATGACTCTTTAGAAAATTATGCCATGGTTGCCGTTGTAACCTTAGTTGGAATTCTTAAAGACAGTTCTTTATCAATGCACCATACGTCGGTCGTCCAAGCAGTAATGCATATATGCTCTCAATTAAAATATAAGTCTGTGGTCTTCCTTCCCCAGCTGATTCCTACATTTCTACAGGTAATGACAACTCTGTCTCCTTCATCTGTAGAGTTATATTTTCAACAACTCACAACTCTTACTTCTATTGTGGGACCAAAGATAAAGGATTATATATCCGATATTTTCAATCTTTCAAAGGTCTTTTGGAATTCTTCTATTTCACTTTTACTTGTAATTTTAGATTTAATTGATTCAATCGCCGTCGCATTGGGAGATGAATTTAAGTTTTATTTACCCCAAATCCTGTCTTATATGTTGAAGTCCTTCTCTTCGGATACAACACCAGCTAGGGTGATCTCCTATAAAATTTTACAATCATTTGTGATTTTTGGATCTAATACTGAAGAATATATGCATTTGGTGCTGCCCGTTATCATCAGAAGCTTTGAACGGGACTCGGTTCCATTGCAATTTCGAAAAAGTGCATTAAAGTGTATTTTTCAACTTTTACAGCTAGTTAATTTTTCCGACCATGCCTCTCGCATAATTCATCCTTTAGTACGCATGTTGACGAAGTCAAACAATGAATTAAAGGTTGTTATAATGGATACATTGTGTGCTGTGGTTTCCCAACTAGGTTACGATTATGCCGTCTTTATTCCTATGGTTAATAAGGTCCTTGTGCATTACAAAATAACCCATTCAACGTATGACCTTCTTGTATCAAGATTACTTAAAGGTGAACCGTTACCAAAAGATTTGATCGCCAATGAATTTCAACAGATGTCATCTTTGAAATTTGAAATAGAGGACCCGCCTTTGACCAAACTACCTGTAGACCAGTCTTCATTGAAAGCTTCATGGGAGGCGTCCCAAAAACTCACTCGAGATGATTGGCAAGATTGGATACGGAGATTTAGCGTCGAATTGTTGAAAGAATCACCCTCTTCAGCCTTGAGGTCTTGCTCTACTCTGGCTGGTATCTACCACCCACTCTCCCGCGATTTATTCAATGTTAGTTTTCTTTCTTGTTGGGAAGAGTTGAGTGCGAGTAATAAGAAAAGTTTAGTAAAATCAATTGAGACAGCATTAAATGCACCGAACATTTCTATTGAAATTTCTCAAATTTTACTCAACCTTGCTGAATATATGGAAAGAGAGGATCATGCTCTCCCAATATCTATTGAAGCATTAAGCGAACACGCTTCGAAAGCTAATGTTTATGCTAAAGCTTTACATTACACCGAATTACAGTTTATGGAAGAAACAAAAGAAGATGTTAGTATTTGCACTATTGAATCGCTGATTACAATCAATAATCATCTACAACAATCCGACGCGGCTGTTGGTATGTTGCAGTATGCTAAACAACACAAACATTTCAATCTCAAGGAAACTTGGTATGAAAAACTTCAAAGATGGGATGATGCTTTAGCAGCCTATGAGACGAGGGAAGCTGATGGTGAATCTTCATTCGAAATTAGTTTCGGAAAACTGCGATGCTATTTTGCTTTAGGTGATTGGGATCACCTGTCTCATTTGGCTCAAGAAACATGGATTGTATCCGAACAGGAACATCGTGAAGCTATTGCTCCACTTGCAGCAGCTGCTGCTTGGGGTCTTGGTCAGTGGAGTTTAATTAGTGAATACGTCAGTGCCATGGATAGAGAACCTCAAGAGAAGGAGTTTTTTTCTGCTATTCATGCCGTACATATGGGACAGTATGAGAAAGCTTATTCGCACATTGAAAGGCATCGAGATATACTTGTAAATGATCTCTCTTCCATTATTGGAGGAAGCTACAATCGTGCTTATGGCATAATGGTAAAGTCGCAGATGTTATCAGAACTTGAAGAAATAATCAATTATAAGCAAAATGAACCATTAGAAGGGAATTTAGATTCTTTGAAAAAAACATGGAGGAAAAGACTTGAAGGCTGTCAGAAAAACGTTGATGTTTGGCATAATACTCTGCGCTTTAGAGCTCTCGTATTTTCTCCTACGGACTCTCCACAAATGTGGATTGAATTAGCTGACTTATGTCGTAGGTCTGACCGATTAAAACTGGCTGCTAAGTGCTTGCATTACCTAATGGGTTGCGATCCTTCAAAACCGTACCCTATTGATTCTTTGAAATCAATAAATCCTCGCGTTGTATACACCTATTATAAGTTTTTATGGGCAAATAATGACAAAGAAGTTGCTGTAACAAGCTTAGAAGAGTTTACGAGTTATTTATATTCAAGGAATAAACAAAATCGACTAATACCGTCTTTGGATTTAGGCGAATTGTCGAATGATTATGAAGTTAATGACGAACAATCATTTCTTGCAAGGTGTTTTCATAAACAGGGAAAGTGGAAAAAGGTGCTACAGCGTTCTATGTCAGAAGAAAGTGTAAGGGAAATACTTAATTCTTATTATAATGCGACAATATGTGACAAAACCTGGTATAAGGCTTGGCATTCTTGGGCACTTGTTAATTTTGAAGTCGTTGGGTACTATGAGCAATCTGATGCTGGCATTAGAAAAGAAATGTATTCCCAATATATTGTTCCTGCAATTAGAGGTTTCTTCAAGTCATCTGCTTTAAGTCCTAAAAATTCTTTACAGGATATTTTGCGGTTATTGAACTTATGGTTCAAATTTGGCGAACACAAAGATGTTGCTGCTGCGATCACGGAAGGGTTTTCAAACGTCCCTATGGATACGTGGCTGGAGGTAATTCCTCAATTAATTGCACGAATTCACACATCCAGCACATCTGTTCGTTCGTCAGTTCATCAGCTGCTTTCTGATATTGGCCGTGTTCATCCTCAAGCACTAGTTTACTCTTTGACCGTGTCTTCTAAGTCTACCAATATTCAGCAAAAGCATTCCGCTAAATCGATTATGGATAGCATGCTTTCACATAGTGATATCTTAGTACGTCAAGCCCTTTTAGTCAGTCACGAGTTGATTCGAGTTGCTATTTTATGGCATGAGTTATGGTATGAAGGATTAGAGGAAGCTTCTCAGGCGTACTTTACAGAGCATAATGCGTCTTCAATGATTGAGATTATCACGCCTCTTCATGAAATCCTAGAAAAGGGTCCTTCTACTTTATCGGAAGTTTCCTTTGCGCAATCATTTGGATATGACCTCCGTAGAGCTAAAAATTGCTGGGAGAGGTATTTGAAAAATGATGATTTGACAGAGCTCAATCAATCATGGGACATATATTATCAAGTTTTCAGACGTATCCAAAGACAGCTGCCCAAAATCAAGCATTTGGAATTGCAATATGTGTCTCCAAAACTTTTGGATGCTTGTGATTTGGAGCTAGCCGTGCCTGGAACGTATGGACATAACAAGCCTGTAATTAAAATTGCTCATTTCCATCGCAAATTTGAGGTTATCTCTTCAAAGCAGAGGCCTCGACGGTTTACTATTCGTGGTAGTGATGGGAAAGATTATCAGTATGTTTTAAAAGGACATGAGGATTTGAGGCAAGACGAGCGAGTTATGCAGTTATTTGGCCTTTGTAATACCTTGCTGACAACGGACTCAGAGACTTTTAAGCGAAGACTTAGTATAGAAAGGTATCCTGTCATACCTCTATCACCGAATTCTGGTTTACTTGGTTGGGTGCCTCATAGTGACACTTTACACTCATTAATTCGTGATTTTCGTGCTAAGCAACATATAATGCTGAACCTTGAGCATCGCATGATGTTACAGATGGCGCCTGATTATGACAGTTTAACTCTTCTACAAAAACTAGAAGTGTTTGAGTTTGTTTTAGCAAATACAGATGGCCATGATTTATATCATTTGCTTTGGCTCAGAAGCCCTAACTCAGAAGCTTGGTTAGATCGAAGGACCAGTTTTACCCAAAGCTTGGCTTTAATGTCAATGGTGGGGTACATATTAGGACTCGGTGATAGACATCCTTCGAACTTGATGATGGATAGATTTACTGGTAAAGTAATCCACATTGATTTTGCTGATTGCTTTGAAGTTGCCATGCATAGAGATAAATTCCCCGAGCACATACCGTTTAGACTTACTCGTATGCTTATTAACGCTATGGAGGTAAGTGGTATTCAGGGAACTTATACAATTACATGCGAACACGTTATGAGAGTTTTAAGATCCAACACGGAATCTTTAATGGCTGTTTTGGAAGCATTTGTTTATGATCCGCTGATTAATTGGAGGTTGATGACAAAGGGTTCGTTTGGAGTTACAACGAATCTAAAAGCAGGTTCAAGCAGTGTGGAAGAGAAAAGCCGTTCTTTTGTTCATCGAATCCGGCACTTGGACTACATCAATGCTGATGAAAATAATGATTCTGAAAACTTGAATGAAAGATCCATCCAAGTTTTAAAGCGAGTATCCAATAAGTTGACCGGAAAAGACTTTAATTTAACGGAGGAATTACCTGTTAAAATACAAGTGGAAAGATTAATCCAACAAGCAACGGCGCCAGAGAACCTTTGTCGCTGTTATGTGGGATGGTGCAGTCTCTGGTAACTCTATTTTTTTCCGAATTTATGTATTGTATGTACTATTTATTACCTACGCGGTGCTTCTTGTTTCCACTGCCTTAAATTTTATTTCTGTTTGCGTGGTTATATATTATCTATTGACGATAGCTAAGTAATCCAAAAGATATTTGAATCTTTTTGAATGTTTATAGCTTAATAGAATGAAATCTAAAGAGATATATTATATTGCGTTTAGTACTCGCTCTATTCAAAGGTTTGAGCCCTTATATAGTCTCGCATGAACGGTATAGCGATGATATTCTTACTTAATTCATTCACACGTACTCTCTTACATTGTTTTTTCTTGTTTTGGATTACATTTTCATTTACGTATGATATCGTATTAAACGACGTTCCTACAATGTATGAGCTAGACTTACATACAAACAAATTAGAGTCCTTTCTATCATAGACCTCCAATCGCAAAAATTTTACACACAGTTTTTCTAAATAATCTTGAGAAAAGGTCTTTTTTCGTATTACAGAGATGGAGATTTTAAGGTAAGTAGGAAAACCGAAATGAAATTTACCAACATAATGAGTTAGTACGGTAATTGGAGCTGGATATCCGATATACAGAAGCTATTTGTTGCTGGAATTACCAACGAAAGCTAATCAGTTGCTCCCAAAGGCTTTTCAGATTCGCAGCAATGAACCAAAAAGCGTCGGTAAGTATTTTGTGCTTTTCGACTTATTGGGAAGAAGCAACTAGACGCTAACTCATTTAGATGAAGAGCGACGACGATTAATGGCTTACTGGTGCGTTTATGGATGCGTAACTTCATTTGAAGCATTGGTTGGCAAGTATTTACGTTGGTTTCCTTTCTACAGCACTGCCAAGGTTATCCTGTGGATATGGTTATTAAACCCAAAAACGCGCGGTTCAGAATATGTATATCAATCATACATATCGACATTTCTTCGAGAGCATAAAGATACAATTCAGGGCTGTCTCGAGAAGCTGGTTCAACTAAGTAATTCTCAGCAACTTCTGATCAGTGCTTGGGGTTTTTTACGATCAATGATTGACCATTTTCCCAAGGGAAATGATATGCCTCCTGGTTCAGATAAAGATGTTTCCAAGAAATCTTCCTAAATCACTTAATGGCGGTAATATAACAGACAGTGGGTAAATATATTAATTATGTAGCGGTTTGTTTCTTCTGCATTACCCTCTGAACTTCATGAAATGTATGAGAGCTAAGGAACATAGTTTACGGGAGTCTCATTTAATGATTTGCATTTGTACAGGTTTAATATTATTAGGTTTCATGACACATTAAGGACTTGTGAAAGTTATTAAGAACAGAAACTTGGTGTTGGATTTATTTTTTTTTTTTTTTTTTATTTTTTTTATTTTTTTAAATTTAAAAAACTACTATAGTAGTAGGTAGGTTGGTTAGTTATAGTACACTATGTATATAACTAAACTAAAACTAAAAACTAACTACTAAATAAATAAAATAAAAATAATCTTACTTACTCGTCGGT